TGATGAGAAAGATCGATCAGCTGCCTCCTGCACACCTCCCACTGGGGATGTGCCCACAACCAAGGTACATGCCCTTGACCGGAATAGAAACCGGGACTCTTGAGTCCGCAGGCTGATACTCTATCCACTGAGCCAAACCGGTGTCGGCACAAATATACTTTTTAAAAAAGGGAAAGATGGGGGCTAATCAGTTTGGCTCAGTGGATAGAGCAGATAGAACTGAAGGGTCCTGTGTTTGATTATGGTCAAGGCACGTATCTCGGTTATAGGCTCGATTCCTGAAGCACCAGGAAGCATGCGAGGGGCAACCCCCTCCCCTCCCACTCTCTAAAAATCAGTGGAAAAATATCCTCTGGTGAGGATTAACAGGAAACAAAGGAGTGGGGTTTGGCTGCTGCTTTCCTCGGGATATTGCCGTCTTCCTTGGGAGAGTTAGGTTAATGCCAGTCAACTAAATTAACCCAAGTGAACTCCAGCTGCCATGCAAAAGGCTTGCTGAGCTGCGTTTTGCCACTGCGCTCATTTTCTCACGTGTGACAGTGCAATGCATTCCTTAGATACCACTGTTAAGAGTTGCCTGCAGTCTTCAGTACAGAAACGTGCTGTATAGGTTTGCAGCCTAGGAGCTGTAGGGAACAGGAATCGCCACCTCACAATATGCCTATTTGGCATGAGGATTATTTTAGGCTGGTTAATTCTAAGAAAAGGCAGATGTAGGAGCTCTGAAAATCAAGTAGAGGTTACCCTTTGTAGGACATTTACTTTTGTAAATGGGAAATCTGCATTGGTGACAGGTCTCCCTCACTGTACCAAGAGGGTGATGACCTCACCTAGAAACTCAAGATAGGACTTAACACCCTTACCCTTGTTCACTGTGCTTTTCCCTGATCTAGAACTGATCTCTCCCCACCCCAACCGGTGTCTTCAATCTTCACCTGAAGGTATCTAAGGTTGGCTTCAACTATATTACAAGGACTACCTCATAACAACAGAATTTTATAGGACCACCAACTTAGGGGGTTGATTGAGCACCAATTAGGTGCCAGGATTAACATCTTCACAACCATTTTGATGAATTTTTGTTTTCCTGGGCCTCTTCCTTATATACAGGAGAAATACATTTTTCCTCCTGTTACAGTGATGTGTCAGCCAAGAACCCACAGGGTAGGGGAAACATTATTTTTCCTTCCCCACAGAACAGGCTGTGTAGTGGGCTGTACCACCTAGGTTTGTGTCTAGTACAGTTTGCACAACAAAAACACCAATTCATTTATCAGAGCCTATCCCCATTGTTAAGCAGTGCATGACTGTGTTCATTCCGTCAGCTGTACATATACATGCACCAGTGGAAATGTTCTATCACGTTGTAGCCCAATGGTAAGAAGTTACTACTGAGAGTAACTGGGACTGACTTCCCCAGGAGACAGTATTGACATCGTGGTTGAAGCCAGATGACGCCCCTGTGGGTTAAGGATCCTTGCCCCCAGATCACTATTACCTATGCTACAGATAATAAAACCCCTGCCCTATCTGATTTGGTTGTGGATAGAGCTTTGGCCTGCCAACTGAACAGTTCAGGTCAAGGGCACATGCCCAGGTTGTGGGCTTGAACCCATAGGGGGCATGTAGGAGGCAGCTCATATTCCCACTTCCTAAAAATATATTAAAATTCCTTTCCCAGTCCAGCTATGCCCTTAAGTTGCTGACTACAGGCTCCACCCAGGATATCTTTGTATTCAAGTATACTAGAAGCCTGGTGCACAAAATTTGTGCATGGGGGTGGTGGTTGTGTCCCTCAACCCAGCCTGCACCCTCTCCTCTATCTGGGACCCTTGAGAGATGTACAACTGCTGGTTTAGGCCCTACCCCTAGGACTGGGCCTAAATCAGCAGCCCGACACCCCTCTCACAATCTAGAACCACTGGCTCCCAACTGCTCCCCTGCCTGCCAGCCTGGGTCACCCCCAACTGTCCTCCCCTGCCTGCCATCTTGTATCCAGCCATCTTATGTTGGAGTTGTCAATTTACATATTTCTTTTATTAGATAAGTCTGGCCGAAGCCAGTTTGGCTCAGTGGTAGAGCGTCGGTCTGGGGACTGAAAGGTCCCGGGTTCGATTCCGGTCAAGGGCATGTACCATGGTTGCGGGTACATCCCCAGTAGGGGGTGTGCAAGAGGCAGCTGATCGATGATTCTCTCTCATCGATAGTTTGTAGCTCTCTGTTGCTCTCTCTTAAAAATCAATAAAATATATTTTAAAAAAAAGAAAAAAGACTGAAGTCTGGTGCACTGGGGCTCCTGGGCTGCAGCCATCTTGGTTGGGCTAATTTACACTCACTCAATTGACTGATGGGCATAGATGTATGGTCAATTTGCACATTACTTTTATTAGATAGGATATTTCCCATGCTCTTTCCTAAGGTGCTAACCAGCAGCAAAAGAAATGAAATAAAGACAAACACATGCCGAAACCAGTTTGGCTCAATGGATAGAGCGTTGGTCTGCGGACTGGAGGGTCCCAGGTTTGATTCTGGTTAAGGGCACATCCCCGGTGGGGGTGTGCAGGAGGTGGCTGGTTGATGTTTCTCTCACATCGACGTTTCTAGCTCTCTATCCCTCTCTCCTCTCTGTAAAAAATCATTAAAAAAAAACAAAAAAAAAAACAAAACACCCTACACCAGCGTTTTTCAACCGCTGTTCCGCGGCACACTGTTGCCTGGTGTGCCGTAGGTGCAGACAAGACAAGAATTTTATGATTTTTCACTATTTTGTTTACTTAATATTTCATAATAAAGTAATTATAAAATACTTTCTTTGTGTTTGATTCCTATTCAAGAGAATTACTTTATATATAGTCAATATAGGCACAGAATTAAATTTTTAAACATTTTCTAATGGTGGTGTGCCTCGTGATTTTTTTCATGAAACAAGTGTGCCTTTGCCCAAAAAAGGTTGAAAAACACTGCCCTACACAACCCATGGCCCCAAACCCTCCCATCTCAGCTGTCAGCACACTCTACTAGACTGGGGTGCAGGGAAAGCCAGGTCTGCTCCCAATCTACCTTCCCACTATTCACACCAGAGTGGTAGCTTATGGAAGGGCTTAAAATCCAGACTGGCAGTGGGATGGGTGTTTCCTGTATTTTTTTTTAAGCTAAAGAATACCACAAAAGATAGCACAATCCTTAAATCCCACGACCACTGTTTATTATAAAGGTGAACCCAGATGAGCTCATCGGTAAGATTTCTGGTAGCGAGCACGGGCACCAGGACCACCAAACTTTTTGGATTCACAGCGACGAGGATCAGCTACCAGCAGGGTCCGGTCATACTGGATAAGGATGTCTTTGATTTCCTTCTTGGAAGCTTCATCCACATCTGGAGATAAGAAATGGGATAAAGATTTAGATGACCACAGAAGCATACGCCTACTCTCTAGAGCTAAATGCCAGAGCTAGTACTTGACTTGAAGGCTGATGGGAAGGACCCACTCACTCACATTTCTGGTAGTAGGCCACCAGGGCTTTGGAAATGGACTGACGGATTGCTGTGAGAAAAACACACAAAATAAGGCACACTAGTTTTAGAAGACCCAGGAGTAGGACCTCGCTCTCGAGCCACCTCCCACTCAGGCTGCCCAGGTCCTGGGATTTACCATAAATCTGGGCCACATGACCACCACCCTTCACACGGACTCGGATGTCCACGCCCGCAAATCGCTCCTTCCCAAGAAGCAGAACAGGTTCCAGCAGCTGGAGGAACAGGGGGGAATGATAGTATTTTAGACCACAATCTGGGCAACTGAGCACCTCATTGAGCATCCTTCTCTCTCTTCATGTAGCTTCTACCACCACTGGCCTGAGTACTAGTGGGAGAGGGAGGGTTGAGCTACCACCACAGCCAGGAGCAGGGAGGAATGGAAGACCAATGAGATTGTTCAAAGCAACCTAAGCAGGCAACCTCCCTGCATCTCAGATGCCCCACCTCAGACTTCTCTGGCTTTTAGTTCAATAAGGAAACCTTTACAGCTACCAAAGCTGCCTCAAACAGCAAAAGGCACTCTTGGGCTTTTTCTGGGTTCCCCACCTGAGTTTTCCATCCTCTCAGAGAAATTACCACTATAACCTGTGCCACACACTCATTTTGCCAGGTATAAGTCTCTTGCATGTGCTTGGACACATTTATTTTACCTGCTTTAGGTATCAGATCCCAGGTCTCCCTTCAAACCACCCCCCAATCCTGCCCTGATCCACTCAGATGCCAGAATCCTTGCCTGGGTTCCCCCATCCCAGCTTCAAATACTCTGGGAGTAGTGTCAGGTATTAGATCCATTCTATTCCCCCAGTAGACTGGCAGCTCTTTGAGGGCAGAGCCTGGAGCCTTCTGGGTCACTGTTATCTCCAGCACTCACAGGCTGTGAATAAAAGCCTTCAAATAAACTGACAGTCAAAAAGAGTAAACCACAATATGTAATGTCTGCTATACCAAGGATCTTAGACTCTACCTATGAATTCTAACTAACCCCAAAACATGGATGTTATTCTTTACATTTAAAATAGCCTTAACTGTTTGACTCGGTGGATAGAGTATCAGCCTGCAGACTGAAAGGTCCCAGGTTTGATTTCGGTCAAGGGCATGTACCTTGGTTGCAGGTACATCCCCAGTAGGGAGTGTGCAAGAGGCAGCTGATCGATGTTTCTCTCTCATCGATGTTTCTAACTCTCTATCCCTCTCCCTTCTTCTCTGTAAAAATATCAATAAAACATATTTTTTTAAAAATCTAAGTAATAGACTTAATGGGAGATATTCTAATTCCGTGGTTGGCAAACTGCAGCTTTCAAGCTACATGAGGCTCTTTGGCCTTTTTAGTGTGGCTCTTCCACAAAACACCACAGCCTGGGCAAGTCAATTTTGAAAAATCTGGCGCTCAAAAGAAATTTCAATCGTTGCACTGTCGATATTTGGCTCACTTGACTAATGAGTTTGCTGACCACTGTTCTAACTTATCCTCACAACAGCCCTTGAAGGTAGAAATTATCTCCCATTTTGCAGATGATGAATTCAGCCAAGGAAGAGAAGTTATTTGCCTCAACATAGGCTGAGACAGAAATCACACGCCAATTTCAAAGAAACCGGGCCCCAAACAAAGTGAAGCCCCTTCTCAGCCAAGCAAAATAACCCCAAATTCCATTCCTGTTCTTTTAAATCTTACTGAGTTTCTACAAAGTCCTGAGTGGAGACTATTATCCCTCATTACTAATTGCAAGAAATCAGGTCGAAAAAACCTTGTGTCTCGTCATCTGGTCTCCAATTGAGTGGGCTTCCAAATATCCGTTTTCAAAACATCTTCTCAATCTTCAACATTCACGTTTTTATTGAATTTATTGGGGCAATATCAGTTAATAAAATTGTTTCAGGTGGCCGAAACCGGTTTGGCTCAGTGGATAGAGCGTCAGCCTGCAGACTGAAAGGTCCCAGGTTTGATTCCAGTCAAGGGCATGTACCTTCGTTGCAGGTACATCCCCAGTAGGGGGTGTGCAGGAGGCAGTTGATCGATGTTTCTCTCTCATCGATGTTTCTATCCCTCTCTCTTCCTCTGAAAAAAAAAATCAATAAAATATATTTTAAAAAAATTGTTTCAGGTGTACAATTCCATAATGTGCCATCTCTACATTATAATGTGTGTTCACCACCCCACATCAGGTCTCCTTCTATCACTATTTATCCTCCCATTACCCTCTTCTATCTACCCCCATCATTTCCCTCTAAACATTCGTTTTCACTCACTGTAAGCTTTTATCACATCTTCCGTACCGCCAAAACCCACCACCCTCGCCAAAAACCCATTTTTCTGACCTCAATTCAACTTCTAAACATCCCTGTTGATACCAGATTCCTCAGCTTCCAAGATCATTGAACTCCAGGAAACTGTTTATTTCAAAATCTTTCCCAGGCCTCCCTTCAACCCAAACGCCCGCCCTCAGCGCCAGCACCTTGTATTGAAGCGTGCGCGGCTCGATCATCTCCAGGGGCCGTCCGTTCACCTTTATGAGGCCGTTGCCCCGTTTGCAGTGCGCCACGGCTGTGGCGGTCTTCTGCAGAAAGCGAGGGGAGAGACGAGGGCCACGTGAGATCAGGATTCCGGCTCCCATGTAGGCCCCAGAAACCTGCCCATCGACCTCTTCCAGACCCCGGGTTTCCCGGCCCCTCTCAACCGGCGCCCGGCTCACCTTGCGTCCGAAGACCTGCACAGACTGCAGAGGCCCCTTGGATGGCATGACTGCGGGAGTACACCAGAGATGCTCACCGCGCGGCGCCGACACCGGAAAAGGGAAACGCAAGGCCACACGGGTGGCTTTACAGGATGTGCGCAGGCGCTTTGAGCACAGCGTCGCGACGAAAAGAAGCTTTACGGCTGCTGAGGTAGCCAGAGGGCGGGACTTCCGCTTGGCGGCCGGAAGACACATCTCAAGACCGGTAGGCGGGACCCGGGAGTGGAAGGGGCGGGGCCTGAAGGTTGTCGTGTGGCCTAAGGGTGAGGAGCACACGCGGTTCTCGACATCTTCAGCCCTCATTGGTCACAGCGGTTCTCATTTGCATCCGGTCTTTACTAACCTCCTTCCTACCCCAGCTAACTCCGATCCTAAGCCCCCAACGAAAAGGCCTCTCTTAACCCTCCTCACTCGCAGACTTCCTCCCAAAGCCTCCTCCGCCAGAATCTTCCCTCCGGAACCGACAAGTCAGGCTGGATTCCCAGATGCAGGATTCAGAGTTCTCCTACGCCCTGGAGCCCACCTTTCACCTGGGTCTTCTCTTTCCCGAGTCCTCTCAGAAGTCCACTTCTGTATCTGCTACTTGGAGTCCCTCACTCTGGATTCCTTTCCCTTAATTTCCCTCCACTCAATGGCTTTCTCCCCAATCGTTCCCCCCACAATCTTTCCAGAACCAACTACCCCTAGTATCCCCTCCTCCGGAATCTCCCTTTCCCCCTAATACATCTTTTCTAGAACCACCCCCCTAGAATCTCCTTTCACAAAATCTTCCTTTCTTTCGGAGCCCTCTCCCTCAAAATCGACCATCCTTAAGAATTTATTTTCCTTCAGAGCCTCCTTTCCCCAGCAACTGTCATCCTTGGAATTCCTCTCCCAGAGTCCTCCATTCCTTAGAGACCTGCCTCCAGAATCTCCCTCTCAGGCTCCTTACCTGGAGTCCCTACTATCCCCTCCATCACCTCCACATTCTCTGTCCCCGGGCCCCTCTCCGCAGAATGCCTCCCTGCCCTCACCCCATCCCATCCGAGCTACCTCAGGAGTGCCTTGTTCCCCCACTCAGGATGCTCCCTTCCCAGCCAGGAGGCTCCTCTTTAGGCTGTAGGGAGGGAGCCCACTGTTGCCTCAGTTTCTCTGGCAGCTCTGGGTCTGGGGTCCAAGGTTCAAAGGGGTGTGGTAATTCTTCACCTTTTGCCTGGAGGCCTGAGATAAGGAGGAGGTTGGTGGGCTTAGAGTCCAGCTCCAAAAAGGTGAGAGAGCCAGAGGGAAAGGGCAGGGAGGAAGGGAGTGCCCACAGGGAGTGCCCTGGAGGGACACACAGACATAACAGCCCAAGAGAGAGATGGGGACACTTGGAACAAAAACACAAAGAGGCCAAGGGAGAAGAGGAGGAGAAAGGAGACACCGGTCAGTCAGAAAATACAAACGATGGAGAATCAGAGTCAGAGGCCAAACTGCAGAGAAAGAGACAGACAGGGACAGGCAGGCACAGAGATTCAAGATATGTGGGACAAGTAGAAGTAGAAAGGATAGGAAAGACCCCTGCTATGTACCTTCAGACATTGATAAGGCCTAGCACAGTGTCGCCCAGTGAGAAGACGGCCAAAGGCTGCACCCACACACACCACGTGCTACTATCTTATGGGCCCGTTTGGGAGAGGAGGAGGCTTCCAAACTCTCCAGCTGATCCTCATGTACTAATCAAGCCTCTTATCTGTCTGGGTGTGTGTGTGAGTGTGTGTGGCAGTAAGCCCCCTGACTCAGACCTTCTCTGGAGTCACAATCTTCCCTGCCTCTTGGAGAGCATTCCCTGAGTATCTGTGGATTGAGTGGAGCTGGACAGGGAGGGAATGGGGCCATTCCCTTCACCCCCTCCAGTCTTCCAACTTGCTCCCTCACTCTGTACCTCTTGCTTCCAGGACCCTGAGCCACTGGGCCACGGGACCAGAGAAAGCCTGGGGGTAGGCAGGGTGCCCATGTGGCCTCTCCTCCTGATAAGGCCTTCAGGGGGCTCAGGACCACCCTCTGTCCTTGGGAGCCTTTCTTCTTCCTGGTTCTCATCATGAAGCTGCTGGTGAGGAGCAGGAGGGGAGAGTCAGCAGACGGGCAGGGAGGGGAAGCAGGGGCATGTTTGAGGAAGGTCAAGCTCTCCCCCTCCAAGATCTGATTCTCCTTCCTACCTCAAAATTGTAGGGAAACAAAAATGATGGCAGGCTCTACACCCCAGATGATCTCTTGGTGAGTATTTCATTAGCTTCTTAGTGAAGTTGGAAGTTTAGGAAGAATCCACTAGGCTTGGAAGACATGACTGTTAGCGGCAGAGGCACTGGGTGTCAGTCCATGACCCAGCCCCAGTCTTGACAAATATATTTTGTTCACTGCTGTCTCTGAAGTCTAGGAGGATGATGGCACATAACAACAACAAATGAAGATGATGGTTATAGCTACACGTAAATAGTGTTTACCCTGGGCCAGATACTAAATGCTTTAAGTATATTAGCTTATTTACTAATTACACTGAACCTCTGAGGTGGACAGGCGATTGTGTGTGTGTGTGTGTGTGTGTGTGTGTGTGTGTGTGTATGTGAAGGTTGTACACTGCACAAGGATCCCATATACTCAAGGACAGTATTCACATCCTGGACATAATAGCCAATTTTCAGCAGATATTTCGGCAGTAAATATCTTTTAAAATATATATATATTTTATTTATTTTTTTACAGAGAGGAAGAGAGAGGGATAGATAGAGAGTTAGAAACATCAATGAGAGAGAATAATCGATCAGCTACCTCATGCACATCCTCCACTAGGGATGTGCCCATAACCAAGGTACATGCCTTTGCCCAGAATCAAACCTGGGACCTTTCAGTCTGCAGGCCGACGCTCAATCCACTGAGCCAAACCGGTTTTGGCTATTTTATTATTTTAAAAAATATATTTCTTTTGATTTCAGAGAGGAAAGAAGAGGTAGAGAGAGATAGAAACATCAATGATGAGAGAGGATCATTGATTGGCTGCCTCCTGCATGCCCCCTACTGGGGATCAAGCTTGCAACCCTTGGCCAGAATTGAATCTGGGATCCTTCAGTCTGCAGCCCATGACATTCTATCCACTGAGCCAAACTGGCTAGAGCAATCTTTATTTTTTTATTATTATTTTTAAGTATAGTGTTTTTTAATTTTAATATTAACCCTTACCCAAAGATATTTTTCCATTTATTTTTTTAGAGAGAGTGGAAGGGAGCGGGAGAGACAGAGAGAGAAACATCGATGTGAGAGAGACACATTGACTGGTTGAATCAAACCTACAACTGAGGTTCCTTTGACTGGGAATTGCACCCCTGATGTGACCCTTCAGTCCATAGGCCAACACTCTAATCACTGAGCAAAACCAGCCAGGGCTCTATCTGCTGAGCCAAACCAGTTAGGGCAAGTTCTGACAAACTTTTACAACAGGCAGCCACATTTCCATCACCCCAAAGCATCCCTCACGTTCCTTTGAAGTCAGTCTCCACCTCCAGTCCTAGGCACTAAGGTGCTTTCTGTCTGAATTTTGTTTCCTCTAGAATTTCATATGAATAGGATCATATCTACATATTCTAGTGCTGCTTCTTTTACTCAGCATAGTGCTTCTGAAATGTATTCAAATGTGTATCAGTAGCTTGTTACTATTGCACTGTATTGATGTGCAGCAACTATTTATCCATTCTCCTAACAATGGATATTGGTTGTTTCCAGTTTGAGGCTATCATGCATCTCTCTCTCTCTCTTCTCTCTCTCTCTCTCTCTCTCTCTCTCTCTCTCTCTCTCTCTCTCTCTCTATTTGTAGGTATTCTGATATGCTGCTAGGGTTGAGAGTTGAGAACCACAGATACACCAGGGAAGAATTCTCCACAGGGAGAAAATGAAGGTTCCTTCTCTTTCTTGAAGTAAATGTCTTTCTGCAAAAGTGCCAAAAGGCATTTTATACATGAAATCTTATTTTTTTTTATTTTTTAAAAATATGCTTTTGTTGATTTCAGAGAGGAAGGGAGAGGGAGAGATAGAAAGGAACATCAGTGATGTGAAAGCATCATGGAGCAGCTGTCTCCTGCACACCTCATACTGGTGATTGAGCCCACAACCCAGGCATGTGCCCTGACCGGGAATCAAGCCCAGGACCCTTCAGTCCGCAGGCTGACACTCTATGCTAGGGGTATCGAACTTAATCAGAGAAGGGGCCAAAATCTAAAATCCAGCCTAAATCGTGGGCCGAATGGTTTACTGAACAGTCATAAACTGTCATTGTGATGGAAACGCAGCGGAGTGCAGTGATGACAGCGCGGTGCAGGCCACATTGCAAGGCCTGGCGGGACGGATTTGGCCCGCGGGCCTTGTGTTTGACACACGTGCTCTATGCATTGAGTCAAACCAGCCAGGGCGTGAAATCTTACTTTAATCCTTACCCAAGGATATGTTTTTATTGATTTTTTTAGAGAGAGAAGAAGGGGGAGGAGTGAGAGAGGGAGAGAGAGAGGAAAAGAGAAAGAAAAAATGGAAGCATGAAATATCATTTTAAAGAGTTGCTGTGTAAAGAAAGCAAGCTTACAGAAAGGGCATCATTTCTTTAGGGTGCCGAGACCATTCCCAATCTGTCTTGGGTTCAGTTTGGGGGATTGTTGGATTGGGGAGTTTGTACTTATGCAGAGATACACCCAGGTATTTTGACTCTGGTAATTGCCTTGTGTGCCTGCTGCCAGCCCAACAGCACTCCATTCCCCTGTAACTAACAAGATGTACAGTAAATTTCTGTAAATTGAATCCTTGCTTATCAATTAGCAATGTGTTCTGAAAGCTTCAAACGTTTTTTTGCCATCAGGTTAATTTTTCATATCTCTCCCTCATGCCTGGTTCTCTTTGACACCTCTCTGATGAATAATTATTGGACTAATACATAAATTCACATTTAATCAACTTAGGGACACTGCAAACAAAATCACGGGCGTTGAAGTCACCCAAGCATGGTGGGTCTGCAACTTTCCTGTTAATTTTTCTTATTTCAGTTTTCTCGTCTTGCAAAATGGGGCTGCCTACCTCCTAGGAATGTTTAGTAGGGGTGTCGAACTCAATCAGAGAAGGGGCCAAAATCTAAAATCCAGCCTAAATCGAGGGCCGAATGGTTTACTGAACAGTCATAAACTGTCATTGTGATGGAAACGCAGCGGAGTGCAGTGATGACAGCGCGGTGCGGGCCACTTTGCAAGGCCTGGCGGGACGGATTTGGTCCGCGGGCCTTGTGTTTGACACATGTGGTTTAGAGGGTCCATGAGATAACGTATACTTTATTTGATAATTTGTTATTATTTTTTGCTAATTCCCGCCTTCTTACGCATGGCACGCCGCGTTGGAGGTCTGGACGACATTCTGGGCTGGAAAAGTCCGGGTCCCAGAAGGAAGAATTGACCTCCTATTTGACTCTCCCAAGATGTCGGCTCCAGCTGCCACGTTCGGATAGCTGTGCCACTCTCAAGATGGCTCACCGGACGTGCGTCATTAGGCATCAGCCCCAGAAATTTCGCGTTAGGCGAAGCCAACGAGCAGATTCTCGCGAGAGGTTACGTCAGTCCCATCCAGGCGTCGTGTGAACTGCAGCTGGTGCCGAAGGCGGAGGTGGGACCGGAGGGGTGTGGGGTAGGTTGGTTGGCGACCCAGCTGGCCCGGGGGTCGCCGGGGTTAGGGAGATATAGAGCCCACACTTAGGGACTCTGGAGGTGTAGCAGGGGGCGTAAGGAAGTTCCCTTTCGGGTTCACGGTTGCCAGAATGAGGCTGCCGGAAGTGCGCTAAGAGGCTTTTTTTTCCCTCTTCGGGAAACAGGCTCAAGGTGGGGTTCTGGATTGGGGGGTACGCTGAGCCCGCCGTCTTTTCCCTGCAAGAACAGAATATGTCGGACAGCGAGGACAGCAATTTCTCTGAAGAGGAGGACAGCGAGCGCAGCAGTGACGGCGAGGAGGCTGAGGTCTGTGGCTGGGACGCTGGGGGAGGCATTGAGGCGGGGACAGGATCTGGGCAGAAAGGCTTCTGTGCGAGATCAGCGGGGATCAACATGAGCTCTGGTTTACGGGAGCTTTCAGGTTGTCGGGAGAGAGAGAAGTTGGCAAGCCCAAGTCAAGCAGAGCATCCCAAGGCCAGGGATGCCACAGGTACGGTGGGATAACAAAATCTGGCATAAAGTAAGCACTCATTATTAGTTTTTATTTTTAGGCTTGCCCAGTCATTCCAGAAAAACATTTTTATTAAAATATATTTTATTGATTTTTTTACAGAGAGGAAGAGAGAGGGATAGAGAGTTAGAAACATCCATGAGAGAGAAACATCCATCAGCTGCCTCCTGCACACCCCCCACTGGGGACGTGCCCGCAACCAAGGCACATGCCCTTGACCGGAATCGAACCCGGGACCCTTCAGTCCGCAGGCCGACGCTCTATCCACTGAGCCAAACCGGTTTCAGCCAGAAAAACATTTTTAATGTCTAGTATGTGTAAAGCACAATTCTTTGCCCTGGGACTACACTAGTAAACAAAACAGATTTAAAAAATCTTTATTCTTGTGAAAAAAACAACTTTGGCTTTGTGAATGTAAATAAATAGAATTGATGGGTAAATCATTTAGTAAGCTAGAAGGTATTCTAGAGTAGAGAGAAGGGGAATAGGAATCCTGGTTGCATTTTGAAGAGGGATTGTCAGGGTGAGTATGAGTGGGTGACTTTTGACAAAAGTCTTGTTGGAGTGACGTAGTAAGTCATGCCATACGGAAAAGTGTTCCAGTAAGGAGAAACAGCAAGTGCAAAGTTGGGGGCGCATCTGTGGTGTTCAAGAAGTAACAAGAAGGCCAGTGGGCAGAATCAGAGTGAGTTCAACAATAAGAGAAATAAGAATCAGATGGTGTAGGGCAGTGGTCAGCAAACTCATTAGTTAACAGAGCCAAATATCAACAGTACCATTGAAATTTCTCTTGAGAGCCAAATTTTTAAAACTTCTTCTAATGCCACTTCTTCAAAATGGACTTACGCAGGCCGTGGTATTTTGTGGAAGAGCCGCACCTAAGGGGCCAAAGAGCCGCATGTGGCTTGCGAGCCACCTTGGGTATAGGATCTTGAAGGCTGTGGTGTGGAACTTGGCCTTAACTGAGTGAGACAGAGCCATGAGGGTTTTGAGCAAAGAAGGAATGTGATCTAATGTTTTGAAAGGATCAATCTGTTTTGGGGTCTGTTGACTGTCCCATTTCAGGAACTGTTAAACATTTCCTGGGACATAACTGAGTTCAGATAATCCGCTTATTCACAGTTATTCTCTTTTATTTCGTTTATTTCTGATTTACTCATTTATTGAACAAATAAATGTTTGAGTATTTACACTGTTCCAGATACATCCTAGGTTTTGGAGAGAGAGTGGAACAAGGCAAATCTTTGCTTTCATTGAGTTTAGTAGGCAACAATTTACAAACTAATAAAGAAGATGACATGCTGATTATAGAGATCTCATTTGATCTACAGAAATGTAAATTTATTTTGTAAGTTGGTTGCTAACACTTGAGCAATTTCAGTAAAAATCAAGATTTCCTGCTTTCTAGGAAAATGGGAGGAGCCAGCAGCCTGAGACTCAGGACTGTTCTGCACACTAGCTCTTTGCTTAAGAAGTGGCAGCCCTCTTTAGAGCAGGGAATTTTCTCTAGTTCCCAGGATGTATCAGTTGCCATTTATCCTCTTGCCTGTCTTGTGGCAGATTTAAAGAAAAGGAAAGATTTCTTATACTTGTTGGCGGAGAGTGCCATGGTTTTCCCTTGAGCTGTCCCACTTATTTATATTGTCTGTTTGTCCTCTGTAGACATTTGACTGATTGTCAATCCCTGTGTCCTTTGGAAAGTCCTCAGCTCCCACTGAAGGGTTGGAGGAATTGGGATATCGTGGTGGGGGCGGGGCCTTTGCTTCAGGTTGTAGTTCTGGGTCATGGCTTCAGGATACTTTGCTTGTGGTTAAAGCCTGATGGTAATGAGACCAGGATCCTCCGTTCCTTTCCTAGCTGGGGTAGTCTGGTTTGTACTGTGCAGGTCTCACTTCCCTAACGCCACAGTAGGCTGGCTCGTCTGCTGTCACCAGGTGAGGCGGAAAGGTAGTGTCTTACTGCCAGAGATAGGACTGGATTGGCTTTTCTGACAGCCAAATGTTGGCATGGGTCCTGGGGATAGACGTGCAGGGATGGTAAATAATGGACCACTTATTGGAGAGATCAGTTGGTTCACTATGCTCATTCAACAAGTGTTCCTTGAGTTTCTGTCATATTCGGATCACAGCCTTCCTCATGGAGCCCTCTGTTTTGGGGTAGAGAGTTTCATAAACGGGGATGGTTGCTTGAGGGGGATGGTTAGAACAGATGGTATAAGAGCATGCTCAAGTCCTGAGGTAACACAAACATAGTAAGTAGTGAGGGCTCTCTCTTGAGGAAAGAAGGCTTTGCTGGGACTGTGCCAAGGGAATGATGACAAGGTTTCTAGAAATTATGCAGTGATTCTAGTAATTTGAGTTGTTAAAATGCGGGGCTTTGCCCTAGCCGGTGTGGCTCGGTTGGAGCATTGTCCCATACAATAGAAGATGGGAGGATCCATTCCAGTAAGGGCACATACTCGGGTTGTGGGTTCAGTCCCCATCTGGGCTATGCTGGAGGCAACCGATCAATGTTTCTCTCCTCCATCCTTTCTTTCTCAAAAAAAGTGGGCTTTAAGGGCTGGTTAGGATTATGTGTTAAGAATTTTTTGTTTTTTCTGGGTGGAGGCTGATTGAATTCAACAAATATTTATTGAGTACCCATTATGCGCTAGATATTGTTCTAGATACTTGGGGCACAGCAGAGAACAAAACAAAGGTCCCTGCCCTCATGGAATTTACAGTCTAGACTTTCTGACCACTTTGCCTGCACGCTGTCTATGACCCTGGGCAAATCTCTTCTTAGCTATCCAGTGTGGGAAGAAGCAGGCCTAGACCAGACATGGGTAAGGTATCTGGTGCACTGTAGGTGCCAAACAGATACCACCTCCAATCCACTACCAAAAAATAGGTCAGGCTGGAACATGACTTTTAACAATAAAATATAAGGCAGAAGGGCAGTGGGAGGGCAGCCGGGTGGTCTGGTGTGCTGCTGCGCAGGGTCTGGGCTGTCTACACAAACTGCTGCTGCTGCTTGGTGGCTGCCTTACTGTCAAGGTCCTTGGCCTGCTCTGTAGCTGCCAGTGTTGTCTCCTTTGCCTTCTCCTTGCCTGTCTCAGCAAAGGTTTTGGAAGGGGCCTCACCTTGCGGTTTGGCCAAGATGTATTCAAAACCCTTCATCATCATGGTCACATTGCTTTTGAATGGGTCGAGACCATAATTCTGGAGATGCCAAATAAGCTAGAGGAGACCCAAGCTTCCTAATGGATTTCGTTCCAGCGGCTGTTATCAAGAGTTCACACTGTAAACAAATTGTTCCTCCACAACCATCAGCCAGGCATGGTTGATGTTCAAGATCAGTGTTTCCCAAACTTTTGACCTATGTGTACCCCTTCTATAATTCCCGTAACGCTGAGTATCCCTCGTATTCATGAGAACGTAGAATTAGGCGCGGCTAAGTACGGTGCAGTGCATATCCCCACCAAACTCTTCCCGTACCCCTGGGGGTACGCGTATTACACTTTGGGAAACACTGTTCTAAATGAAGGTGGTCGTGGTCTGGTTCTGTGGTCCACATTAGAATCTTCCAGGTTGTACACTGAGTGAGCAACATTGGCAGGAAATATTCATGTGGCCCAGTGGGGCATCCTGTTGGTCTTGGTCCGGAATCTCTGGGACAGGAGCTTCTGGTTAGGGGTCACCTCCCGGTGCACTGTGTCTTCAGGCAGCACATGTTTGCTATAGGGGTTTGGGCACTGCTGCCAGAAGGCAGCGAACACTTGGTCCCAGGAACTCCAGAGCATGCTCCGGCTCAGGAAATACTTCATCATTGTCCCCATGGGGCAGGATCAGCCAGCACCTGAGCACCATCAGGGTTGCCAAGCCCAGGGGACACACAGTGTCCAAGCCAGGGCTTGGGGCCTGTCTTCCAGGCACTAGCTCAGTCATCACCCCACTGCGCCCCACTAGCTGCCACTGCCATGAGTTGTTAGGCGCAAACATTTCTAAAGTTGTTTTCTGCCCCAGGCCTGGGCCAAGTGATATGGGGACTCGGTGGTGTCTGAGACAGCCTGGGCCCTGCTCTCAGTAGTTAGGGCCTTGATGGAGAAAGCCTAGAGGGTGTGCCTAGCTTTACTTAGGGTGTAATGGGGAGAGGGCAGACATGACTTCCTGGAAGGTGGTGGGTATTATTGTTTTTATTTTATTATTTTTTATTTTTTAAAAATATATTTTATTGATTTTGTACAGAGAGGAAGGGAGAGAGATAGAGAGCTAGAAACATCGATGAGAGAGAGTGTCATCGACCAGCTGCCTCTTGCACACCCCCTACTGGGGATATGCCCGCAACCAAGGTACATGCCCTTGACTGGAATCGAACCCGGGACCTTTCAGTCCCCAAGCCGACGCTCTATCCATTAAACCAAACCGGTCTCGGCATGTTTTTATTTTATTTTATTTTATTTATTTATTTTTTTAAATATATTTTATTGATTTTGTACAGAGAGGAAGGGAGAGAGATAGAGAGCTAGAAACATCGATGAGAGAGAGTGTCATCGACCAGCTGCCTCTTGCACACCCCCTACTGGGGATATGCCCGCAACCAAGGTACATGCCCTTGACTGGAATCGAACCCGGGACCTTTCAGTCCCCAAGCCGACGCTCTATCCATTAAACCAAACCGGTCTCGGCATGTTTTTATTTTATTTTATTTTATTTATTTATTTTTTTAAATATATTTTATTGATTTTGTACAGAGAGGAAGGGAGAGAGATAGAGAGTTAGAAACATCGATGAGAGAGAGTCATCAATCAGCTGCCTCCTGCACACCCCCCACCGGGGATATGCCCGCAACCAAGGTACATGCCCTTGACCGGAATCGAACCCGGGACCCTTCAGTCCCCAAGCCAACGCTCTATCCATTGAGCCAAACCGGTCCCGGCTCGGCATGTTTTTAAATATATTTTTATTGATTTCAGAGAGGAAGGAAGAGAGAGAAACATCAGTGATGAGAGAGAATCATTGATTGGCTGCCTTCTTCATGCCCTCCACTGGAGATCGAGCCTGCAACCCTGATATGTGCCCTTGACTGGAATCGAACCTGGGACTCTTCAGTCTGCAGGCCTGCCACTGACGTTCAATCCACTGAGCCAAACCAGTTAGAACTGTGGTGGGTATTTTGATTGAAGTAAAAATGAGAGGCAGAGGAGAGTAGTGGTGTTTTTTAAAAAAATACATTTTTTGCCCTGTGTGGTTTGGCTCAGTGGATTGAACGTCGGCCTGTGGACTCAAGGGTCTCAGGTTTGATTCCTGTCAAGGGCATGAACCTTAGTTGCAGCTCATCCCCTGTGGGGCGTGTGCAGGAGGCAGCTGACCGATGTTTCTCTTTCATCGATATTTCTAACTCTCTATCCCTCTCCCTTCCTCTCAGTAAAATATCAATAAAATAGGTTTTAAAAAATATTTATTTTTTATTGATTTCAGAGAAGGGAGAGGGAGAGAAATATAAATGTCAATGATGAGAGAGAATCATTGATCGGCTGCCTCCTGCATGCCCCCTACTGGGGATTGAGCCCACAACCCTGGCCTGTGCCCTGACCAGAATAGAACCGTGATCTGATCCATAGGTCAACGCTCAACAACTGAACTATACCAGTAGGCCAAAATTATTATTTTCACCAAGGATATGTTTTCTTTTTTTTTTTTTTTAATATATTTTATTGATTTTTTACAGAGAGGAAGGGAGAAGGTTAGAGAGTCAGAAACATTGATGAGAGAGAAGCATTGACTAGCTGCCTCCTGCACACCCCCTAACTGGGGATGTGCCCGCAACCAACGTACATGCCCTTAACCGGAATCGAACCTAGGACCCTTGACTCTGCAGGCCGACTCTCTATAAGGATATGTTTTCATTGATTTTAGAGAGAGAAGCATCAGTATGAGAGAGAAACATCAATTGGTTGCCTCTTGTATGCGCCTGGACCGGAGATCAAACCTGCAACCTTTTTGGTGTATGGGATGATGCTGCAACCAACTGAACTATCTGGCCAGGGCAGGGGGCTTATTCTTTACCTGAGGTTTGAGGGGAGCTATGGCCGTGTTATAAGCCTGGGACCTAATGATCAAATTCATGTTTTAGATCATAGTTTCTCAAGACTATAGATGCATTCCAGGTTGGGGATGGTGGTGAAGAAGAAATGCTATAGGTGGAATAAGGACAAGACGTTCAGCCACATGCGCCCCACTGCTACCACTGCCATGAGTTGTCGGGCGCAAACATTTAGTGAAAAAGTTCTTGTTGTTGATCTGTGTGTTTTTCAATTTAGTTTATACCCTGTCTTTTGATTGGGTCACGGAAGTTGGACATAGAAAAAGTTTCACTTTGGTGCTACTGTGCCTCTGGCAACCTCTCTGAAATTTCTTAGTCTCTGTTTATCAGGGAGAACAGGCCTTTGGCTTAGAGTCTACAACAGGCAAAGTATCCTGCTGAGACTTAACATTGTATTGCTCATATCTTTATGGTTACTTTCTATTTATGACAAGATAACCTTCAAAAAATTTTTGTTACTTATGAACTATTTTAAAACATAGGAACATTTCTCTTGTAAAGTAAGTAAAAATGAGTGAATTTAAAGAAAATATCAGACAAATGGGTTGTATTGATGTGAGCATGGCAGGAAGTTAAAACATTAATGAAGAAAATATTACAGTTGGGAAACACTGTTTTGTAGGGATCACTGCCTTCTGTGACTGGTAAGGGGAGAGGGATTATAGGTCAAGAGACCAGAAAGAGGGCTGGGCAGGGATCCAAGTTTCAGAGGGCAATGTTTTGGACTAGATGTTCTGTGGGATGAGGAAGAAGGGATGCACTGGGAAGATGAGGCTCAAAAAGCAGAAAGGTCATCAGTTTGATGCCTAATGGGGAAGACATGGAGGTCAGTTTGTGATTTAATGTGAAGGACTCAGAGGACATCCTGGGGAGGCATCCAGGAAGCTGCTGGCATATGGTGGTTTTTAGTTCTGGAAAAAAGGGGGACTGGAGACAGATGGGGTGTCATTTGCAGAGAGAGGAACTGAAGTTGGGGAAGGTAAAATGGCCAGGGAGGGAGTGTATAGTGTGAGAAACAAAGTGGGCCCTTGAGGGGTGAACACAGTAACAGGACCTGCAGAGGGGTAGTCAGAGAGTTTGGGGAACAGCCAGGGGAGCATAGTGTGACAGATGCCAAGGGAAGAGCATATTGTTAGGGAGGCGGTGGTGTGAGATGTCTTGTAAGTAAGGACCAACTAAAAAGATTTAGCAGCAAGAGGTGGCTAATTTGAGCACTGTGGCCTGGAACACAGAGAGATGGGAGTTCTTGGCACAGAGATGTGTTTCACAGCCAAGAGAATGGGTGAGATGGCACAGGGAGTCGTACAGAAAGCCAAGAACCAAGCCTCATGGAGCTAACAAATGGAAAGGCCTGGTGGGGGCTAGCAAGGAGGTCTAGTGGAGGGAGGAGTCCAGGTCAGCTCCCAGATATTGGTCAGGTAGATGGTGATGCTGTCACTGAGAGAATGGCTACCAGAGAGACCTGGCCAGAGTGGAAGGGTGTGCACACAGCAGAGTGCGCTGAAGTCATGTTTGGGGGTAGCGAGATTGGTGTCTGGATTTTGGGTTAAAGATCTCTGGTGCCCCATCTCTTCTGACTCTGCAGGTAGAGGAGGAGAGGCGGAGCGCAGCAGGCAGTGAGAAGGAGGAAGAGCCCGAGGAAGAAGAGGAGGAAGAGGAGGAAGAATATGATGAGGAAGAAGAGGAAGAAGATGATGACCGACCTCCCAAGAAACCGCGCCATGGTGGCTTCATTCTGGATGAGGCTGGTATGTCCCAGGGCTGGCGAATGCTGAGCAGAGGCTGGATTTCCTTCAGCCTCTTCAGTTCTATTTCTTGAATGTACTTAAACAACATTTGGTAAATGTCAAACATAGTAGTAGGATGGTATGTGGAGCCCCCATGTCCCATCATCTTGTGTCAACAATTAACAACTTAGCCCAGCCAGTGTAGCTCAGTGGTTGAGGGCCGACCTATGAACCAGGAGGTTATGGTTCGACTCCAGGTTGGGGCACATGCCTGGGTTGCAGGCTCAATCCTGGTCTGGGGTGTGCAGGAGCAGCCGATTGATGATTCTCTTGCATCATTGACGTTTCTATCTCTCTCCTTCCTTCCTCTCTGAAATTGATAAATAAGTATTTTTATTTATTTGTTTTTAAAATATATTTTATTGATTTTTTACAGAGAGGAAAGGAGAGGGATAGAGAGTTAGAAAAATCAATGAGAGAGAAACATTGTTCAGCTGCCTTCTGTACACCTCCTCCTAGGGATGTGCCCGCAACCAAGGTACATGCCCTTGACCGGAGTCAAACTTGGGACCTTTTGGTCTGCAGGCCGACGCTCTATCCACTGTGCCAAACTGGTTAGGGCAATAAATAAGTATTTTTTAAAAAACAAATATGCCCTGGCCTGTTTGGTATAGTGGACAGAGCATCAGCCCAAGATAGGGTCCTGGGTTTGATTCTGGTCAAGGTCATGTACCTTGGTTGCAGGCTCAATCCCCAGCCCTGGTCGGGTAGCCATGCAGAAGGCAGCCAATTGATGTGTGTGTCTCTCTCTCTTTCCCCCTTTCTTCCACTCACTCTAAAAATCAATGGAAAAATATCCTCAGGTGAGGATTAACAACAATAAAACAAACAAAAAATCAGGTAGCAGATGAGTACCAGATTGTTCTACTTATTCTTCCTCCACTTACTGCTGGATAATGTTAAAGCAAATCTCAAATACACAATTTTACCCCCAAATATTTCTGTATATATATTCCTAAAAGATAGGTCCTTTTATTGTATTAAAATTTAGTTTTAAAAAAGTTTTTATTGATTTTAGAGAGAGAAACATCAACATCTGTCTGTCTCCAGTACCCCCCTATTCCCCATGGGGATTGAGCCCACAACCTGGGCATGTGTCTTAACTGGGAATCAAACTGGGGACCTCTTGGTGCCTGGGTCGATGCTCAACCAGTGACCTACATCAGCCAGGCTTAATTTCTTTTTAAAATGAATTGATTTAAAATATTTTTAAAAATGTTTTTAGAGAGAGAGAGACAACTGATTTGTTGTTCATTTATTTATGCATTCATTAATTGTTTTTTGTACCATATGTGTCCTGACTGGGGATTGAACCCGCAATCTTGGCATATGATTAGAACACTGTAGCCAATTGAGCTACTTAGCCAGGCCAAGATAGGTCCTTTTAAAACACATAATCACAATGCCATTTAAAAAACTGACAATGCTCTGTGCTTGTCCTGGAAAGCTCAGATGATCTAGAGATAAATAACAGCACAGGGTAGTAGAGGCCAACAGATCTTTTTTTTTTTTTTTTTTAAATATATTTTATTGATTTTTTACAGAGAGGAAGGGAGAGAGATAGAGAGCTAGAAACGTCGATGAGAGAGAAACATCGACCAGCTGCCTCTCGCACACCCCCCACCGGGATGTGCCCGCAACCAAGGTACATGCCCTTGACCGGAATCGAACCCAGGACCCTTCAGTCCGCAGACCGACGCTCTACCACTGAGCCAAACCGGTTTCGGCGAGATCTTTTTTTTTTTTTTTTTTTAAATATATTTTATTGATTTTTTATAGAGAGGAAGGGAGAGAGATAGAGAGCTAGAAACGTGGATGAGAGAGAAACATCGACCAGCTAGGGGATGTGCCCGCAACCAACGTACATGCCCTTGACCGGAATCGAACCTGGGACCTTTCAGTCCGCAGACCGACGCTCTACCGCTGAGCCAAACCGGTTTCGGCAAGGTCAACAGATCTTGGTCCCTCCTGGCCTGGCTTTGCTTTTTTCTCCATGTGAATTTGGGCAAGTTGCTATATGTCTCTCTGAGCCTCTTGTCCCCTCTGTACAAAGGGAACAAACAGTTCCCTGCTTCAGCAGGGATAATTTGAGGATTTGGGAGACCATGCATATAAAGCACTTAAGGCTGATGGCAACCCAGAGTGCAATGCCCAGCCTAGAGTGGGCCCTTAGCAACAGGTGGCTTTTTATTTGTGATCATTTAGGCTCACATTATATATGCTGTTCTATAAACTGCTTTTCTCACTCAATGCTTGTGCCGGTGGATATAACCTAAATAATTTAGGTTAGAAAGTTAATTTGTGTTAAAGTTTTCTGAACAACCTGTGGCACCCAAGTGCTCAATATACATTAGCTACTATCATTATCACTGAAATAGCTATTTTTTCCGCTGGCTGCATAGTGTTCCATAATGTGTTTTATTTATTAAACAGGTTCTTGTTAGACATTGAAGTTTATATTTGTCAGTATTTTAAGTAGCACTGCTGTGAGTATCTTCACGTATTTTGACACACATATGCAAGTTATTATCTAGATCAGGATTCTTATTTGTTTTTTTTGGGGGGGGCCTCTTTTGCAGTCTAATAAAGTCTATAGATCTGTTCTTAGAATTATGTTTTGAAATGTGTAAAACAAAATACATAGGTTTCCAAAGAGAAAACACAGTGTCAAACTGTTAAAATACATACGTTTCCAAAGAGAAAACAGAGTGTCAAACTTAAAGGAACATCATTAACACATTTATTTATTTATTTATTTATTTAATTTTTTTAAAAAAATCAATCTTTATTGTTCATATTATTACAAAGGTTCCTCATTTCTTCCCCCCTCCACCAGGTTCCCCCCCCCTCCGCCCCCTCCCCTCCCCCACTCCCCCCCCGTTGTCCTCATTTATAGGTGTAGTTTATGTTCAGTCTCTTCCTCCCTCCCTTTCCCCGATAGTAAATCCCTTTTCAGATAGTAAATCAGTTACTTAGCATTTTCTCATATCAATAATACCTCCACATGCCCAATGATACATTTCACACAAAAGACATTTCCAAATAGGTCACATGTGTCAAACACAAGGCCTGCGGGCCAAATCCGTCCCGCCAGGCCTTGCAATGTGGCCCGCACCGCGCTGTCATCACTGCACTCCGCTGCGTTTCCATCACAATGACAGTTTATGACTGTTCAGTAAACCATTCGGCCCGCGATTTAGGCTGGATTTTAGATTTTGGCCCCTTCTCTGATTGAGTTCGACACCCCTAAAATAGGTCAACCAGCCTCATCCAGGCCCCACCCAAGGCACTCACAGATCAACACCCCAGCCCTATACTAACTCAACACATCCAGATCTAAGCCTTCATCACTTGATTCAGCAGACCCTCAAGTTCCCACAAAAGTTTCCAGCCATGTCTGAGAGGCAGCCGTGGGGCAGGGGCAGGCGAGAAGCGAGCTGTTCCGGGCCTGGCTGCTTCGGGCCTGGCCTCTGTTGCTCTGGTTCGTTCCACAACCAGCTGCTCCGGGTCTAGTCACCGCCGCTCCCGACCTAGTTGCTCTGGACCTGGCTGCTGCTGCTCTGGGCCTGGCTGCACCCGACCCGGCTGCTTTGGGCCCGGCTGCTTCGGGCCTGACTGCTCCCAGAAGAGGCATATGTTTTTAAAGCTTTTTATATCTGTGGCCAAATATCAGCCCCCACCAGCCATACATGAGAATACTTCATTTCCCCACACCCATGTAAAGGGAGTGCCTTGGAACACCACCCTCCATTTTCTGGGGACACTCTTACCCCAGGGAAAACAGCAGAGGGGCAGAAGATGCTCTGGGTATTCCTGTTGGAGAGATTCGGTCCTTTCTCAAAAGCAGAGGGGCAGGGAGTCCTAGCTTAGAGAAAAGGTCTAAGACAGCAGATGGGTGCAAATCAAAAGAAAAGAATGGCTGGGACGGTTTGGCTCAGTGGATAGAGCGTCGGCCTGCGGACTGGGGGGTCCTGGGTTCGATTCCGGTCAAGGGCATGTATCTTGGTTGCGGGCACATCCCCGGTGGGGGGTGTGCAGGAGGCAGCTGGTTGATGTTTCTCTCTCATCGACGTTTCTAGCTCTCTGTTCCTCTCAATTCTTCTCTGTGTAAAATCAATAAAATATATTTTAAAAAAAGAAAAGAAAAGAATGGATAACATGTCATGTGACCAAGATGTGGGCCACTAGGGATACTTATGTGTTGGTGATGGGAGTGCTTGGGTTACTGTCCTTTCAAAAACAAACAAACAAAAAAAAACACTATATACATACATATATATATATATATACACATATATATATATATATATGTATATATCTCGATTTCAGAGAGGGAGGGAGAGGGAGAGAAAGATTGAAACATCAATGGTGACAGAATCGTTGATCGGCTGCCTCCTGAACATCCCCTACTGAGGATTAAGCCTGCAACCCGGAATTGTACCTGGGACACTTCAATTCCCAATCTGATGCTCTATCTACTGAATCAAACTGGCTAAGGTGGTCACTGCCTATTAAAAGGTTACATATGTGGCTCTACCCATTAATGCTTTGATCCAGCAATTCCTTTTTAGGAATTCACTCCACAGTTAAACTCACAGAGGTACATAAAGACATGAAGACAAAGACACTTGCTGCAGTCCTCTTTGCAATTGCAAATGTTTGGTGACCTAAATGTTCATTGATGATAAGGGCCTGGAAAAACTAATTATTGAGCAGAAATCAGACAGCATATGCATATGAGGCATGTCTGCTATGCAAGAGCTCCAAGCTAGTGTTACTGCTCAGAGCAGTGTTTAAAAAAATTGTGTGTGTGTGTGTGTGTTTGAGAGAGGGGGGGGGGAGAAGGAGAGGGAGAGAGGGAGAGAATAGTGATGGGGGTTTCTTATATATGCACAAATTATCTCTGGACAAGAAATGCTACAGAGTTACCTCTGAAAAAGAAGACTGAGATGGTGGGGGTTAGAAGTGGGAGGGAGACTTGCTGTACACTTAATGTCATCTATACAGTTTGGGGTTTTTTCATCATGTGCTACTATCACTATTGTTTAAGTTTTCAGTGTACTATTTGATGCATACAGAAGAGTATTTGTAAAGTATTGAAGTGCCTGACCCTGAAGCTAGGCTGCCTCTCAGGTACCAGTTGAGTCTTTGGGCAAGTTAGATAACCTCTCTGGGTCTCAGAGCCCGGATAAAATTGGAACAATGATGATAACTCTTAGGGTTTCCAGGAAGATTCAGTGAGGAATCTAGCAAGTATGCAGAACAGGGCAGGGCACATAGTATAATCTCAATAAGAGGTAGCCATTATAAATGTAAGAGCATGATAATAAAGCCAATCAACCATGAATTCTGTCTTTAAAAAACAACAACGATATACCTGTCTTCCCTTATAGTTGAGAGGGAACTTTTCTGCTTGCCTACTTAGATTTTTCTTTTAAGGTGGATCTCTGGGAAGGATTGAGGGGAGGGATGGTTTAGAGCCAGGTGGATTTACATAGGAGACCTGACCCTGCTGCTTGGAGCAGCCCTGTGGCTTCAGGTGAGTACCTCACCTGCTTCAGCCTCAGTGTCCTGACCTGGAAGACGGGGGTTAGTTGTGCCCACCTCCCAAAGGAGTTTTCCTGGAAGCTGTTGTCCCTGACCACTTGGCCTTGTTTCAGATGTGGACGATGAGTATGAGGATGAGGACCAATGGGAAGATGGAGCAGAGGACATCCTAGAGAAAGGTGTGTGTGTGGGCCCACCACTAGGGGATGTGACCCAGAGGGTCCTGAGACCCCATCCTGCACCCCCATGCCCTGCACCATCCCAAACCCCACCGTCCTCACCTCGCTTCTTTCTGTCCTTGCCGGAGAGATCAGCTAGCTCCTACCCTTTTCCTTTGAGGCCCATGAGTTGGGGGGCGGGGGCTGTAGAGTGGTAGGTATTGTGGGGAGAGGACTCTGGGATCCCAGGACCCCAGTAAATCCTTTCTGGGGGTTATAGGGTGGGTGGGCCCTGTCCCAAGATACCCCCCACTTCCTGGGCCAGTGCCCCCCTTCCCTGTTATTTTCCGTTTTGTGCGCCTCATACATTTCGGCTTCTCCCCCAATCACCTGGTGCCTGGCCTTTACTTTTGATTTTCAACCTTCTGTGCCTCTCCCTTTCCCTTCCCCCAACCCATTGGTTGATTTTGCTGCTATAATTTGGCTCATACTTTGTCTGCCCTCGCCCACCACCACCACCACCACCACTACCACCACCACCTCTTCTTCCTCCAAGTAGAAGAGATTGAAGGTAAGAACCTGAAAAGCGTGATTCCTCAACCCTCCTCCCGTATCCTGACATCTCCTCTTTCCTGCCCTCGGCACCCTCCCTCATCCCTGATCCCTGTTCGTCCCTGGGGTCTTTCACCATGTTAGGGTTCAGAGTAAGGGGGTTCTGGGTCCAGCCTCTAGCTGTGATTGGCCTGAGGGTGTATATTAGTGTATGAGTATTGTCGGAGGTGTGGATGCAGGGATGGGTGGTGTGGGGTGGAATTCAGGGTGTGTTTAGTCAGTGGCTGTGAGATGGGGAACAGCTGGACAGTCTCTTCATGAGAAGCAGAAACCTGAGCAGGATTTGGGGGGTGAGAGTTGGGGGTTTCCTCAGTGAAGTGTGTTCTCCCCAAGGCCCACCTCTGGCCCTCTTAGCCCCACTGCTTTCTCCAGGCCCCTGCTCTTCACCTTCTCTTACCTCATCTGCCCATTCTTCTGCAGCCTCCAATATTGACAATGTTGTCCTGGACGAAGACCGTTCTGGGGCTCGCCGCCTACAGAACCTCTGGAGGTAAGCAGGGAGGGGGAAAGGGGTGAAATTGGCTCCCACGGGGGGTTTTGGGGGGTTTCTCCTCAACCTCCCATTCTTGTTTATCCTTCCCCCTCTCCTTCCAAGGGACCAGCGAGAAGAAGAATTAGGCGAGTATTACATGAAGAAATATGCCAAGACATCTGGGGGAGAGACGTAAGAACATTGGATGGGGGGATGGGGACCAGGAGAGGTGGTCGCCTTGTGGGAAGGGTCGGGGTCTGACAGAGCTTCACCTCTTCTTCCCAACTGCCCTTTTCTCTCCAGGGTGTATGGAGGGTCTGACGAACTCTCTGATGACATCACTCAGCAGCAGCTGCTCCCAGGAGTCAAGTAAGGGGGTGGGATAGGAGGGCTGAGGTGGAACTCTTGTACTGTACTTGGATGATGTGCCCATACAAGTCATTCCTAAAATCAATCAGGACACGGTCACACAGGCAGTGGTGGGTGAGAGGAGGGAGGGAGGGGTGAGAAGGCACCTTTCTCTCTCCGTATGTATGGAAGAATGGGGAAAGGAGATGCAAGAGGAAGGATGGGTGTGATTTTTTGTATGTTTCATGATGAGACAATTTTACTAAAGGGTTTTCTTTCCCTCTCCTGTCTAGGGATCCAAATCTGTGGACTGTCAAGTGTAAGGTGTGTGCTCTAGCGTCATGGCTTAGGGGAGACAGGGAAATGAGGGAGGTGGCTTTGTCTGGGAGAAGTGTCCATGTGTCTTTTCTGAATTTCCTTGGCCTGATTGCCTTTCCACTCTTCTCTCTCCCCTCCACCTCACTGTCTCCCACCTTTTCTTTCATGCTGTTCATCACTCGCGCTCTGTATTTCTCCTCTCATGTTCCTCTCTCTCCTACTTTTTCTTGCCTGATGACTCTTACTGTTATCTCTTGTCCTCTTTCCCATGTCTTGCCCTCCAACTCATCTTGTCTCATCTTGTCTGCCTCTCTTCCAGATTGGGGAGGAACGGGCCACAGCCATTTCCTTGATGCGCAAGTTCATTGCTTACCAGTTCACAGACACGGTACGTGTCAGCAGATGGCTTTGGGGGTGGGGGGCCAAAGCCCAGAGGGAGGGAGAGTGTAGATTCAAGGGTACCACTGCCTGTCAAATGAGCTGCTTCAGCTAAGAAAAAGCTACTCCCTGAATTGAAGTGTTCTGTGTGCCCTGTCTTCTCTCTTTCTGCATTTCTGGCTGGGTTCCCAAGCTCCTGTAGCCCTCTGGAAGTCAGCCATTTAGCTTCCTGAGCTTTTTCTACCTGAGAGTGAGTTTTGCCTATTCACCAACCCTGTTGGGTAGCTGTCATCCTTTAGTGTTTGAGAGTCCTACTGTGGGACAGTTTGACTAAGGGGGTCAGGGAACAGGTCTGTCTTGAGGAGAATTCCTTCTTTTCACACAGTCATCAAACATTTGCTGAACTTTTCCTCTGGGCTGGTTCTTGTACTGGGAGATGCTGAGGATACAGTGTTGACCATGCCAGAGCTGGGCCCTGCCCTTTCAGGGCTCACTCAGCACACAAAACATGAGGTAATGCCATCTACATGCAAGGCAGCAAATGCATTAAGGGCACAGATCTTTCTTCAGACTGCCAGGGTTTGAATCCGGTCCCTGCCACTAACTATCTTTGTGACCTCGATCGAACCACTTCCTCTCTGGGTCCTGCTAGGGCCTCAGCATCATTAGGATTAAATAGCTGGGGACATGTCCAGCAGCTTGTGTTCAATAAATGTAGTTGTTGTTAGAGATATACTTCTCAGTTTTGGAACCAGGAAAAACCTTAGAAAGGGTGTCCTCAAAATTTGTGAAACATGGGGTCACTGGTGTAGTAACTTTCTTACTTAATGTGCTTTGTTTTGGCTGAGTGTATTGCTTTTACCTGCCGAAGCAGTGGTGTACATTAGTGGGGCCAAGTAGACAGTTGCAGGATCTGCAAATTATGATTTTAAATGTACACAAACCTCAATATTGTGCCCTGGGCAAAATTCTAGTAGCCCAGTTTGAGTTATGACTCTGATTATTGTTTTTGTTTTTATTTTTTATTGATTTCAGAGAGAGGAAGGGAGAAGAAGAGAGATAGAAACATCAGTGAGGAGAGAGAATGATTGATTGGCTGCCTCCTTCATGCCCCCTGGGGATTGAGCCTGCAACCCAGGCATGTGCCCTTTAGTGGAATTAAACCCAGGACCCCTCAGCCCGCAGGTTGACACTCTTATCTACTGAGTCAAACCAGCTAGGACTGTTTTTGTTTTTAATGAGCAAAATAGTACACATATTAAAGCTCAGATCTCCATATCTGAGTCCCATTTTTTACAAGTAATTACTGTTGGTTTGTATGTCTTTCCAGATCATTTTCTCTGCATGTTGAAAATTATATCTTGCTTTTTTAATAAAACACAAAGTGCTGTCTTATTGTACACACAATTCTGCAGCAAGCCTTTTGTCAATGCCATAGTCATCTTTCCATGCCCAGTAAATATGAGTGGTTCCCATTTTTTACTGTCACAACCGATGCTGAAATAAATTAATTGTATGTTTTTTGTTGTTATGAATCCTCACCTGAGGGTATTTTTTTTTTAATTCAATCTTTATTGTTCATATTATTACAAAGGTTCCTCATTTCTTCCACCCTCCACCAGGTTCCCACCCCACCCTCTGCACCCTCCCCACCCCATTGTCCTCATTCATAGGTGCACAGTTTATGTTCAGTCTCTTCCTGCATCCACCACTCCCCCTTACCTGAGGATATTCTTTCCACTGATTTCTAGAGTAAATGGAAAGGAGAGAGGGAGGGAGAGAGAGAAAGAAAGATCCCTGTGAGAGAGACATAATGATTGGTTGCCTCCCGCATGCACCCTAGCCAGGGCTGGGGATCGAACCTGCAACTCAGTCAGGCATATGCCCTTGACAGTTATTGAACCTGTGACCCCTTGATTTTTGGTCTGACACTCTAACCACTGACCCAAAATGGCCAGGGCTAATTATGTGTTTTTTTAAAAATTGAGATGTAGTCTAGCCGGTGTGCTCAGTTGTTGAGCACTGACCCATGAGCGAAGAGTCACCAGTTTAATTCCCTATCAAGTTGTGGGCTCTATCCCCAGTAGGGGGCATGCAGGAGGCAGCTGCTGGATGTTTCTCATTGATGTTTCTATCCCTCTCCTTCCTCTCTCTCTAAAATAAATAAAAACACATTTTTTAAAAATTGAGATATAATTTACATTCCATAAAAGTTATGGTCTGGTGCATGATTCTTTTTTTTAAAATATATATTTTTTATTGTTTTTTTTACAGAGAGGAAGGGAGAGAGATAGAGAGCTAGAACGGTTTCGGCGATGATCCTTTTTATTTATTGCTGGATTTGGTGTTTTATTTATTTTTTAAAATATATTTTATTGATTTTTCACACAGAGAAAGAGAGGGATAGAGACTTAGAAACATCGATGAGAGAGAATCATTGATCAGCTGCCAAGGTACATGTCCTTGCCCGGAATCGAACCCGGGACCTTTCAGTCCGCAGGCCAACGCTCTATTCATTGAGCCAAACCGGTCCTGGCTGGTGTTTTATTTTATTAAAGATGTTTGCATTTGCCGAAACAGGTTTGGCTCAGCGGTAGAGCGTCCGTCTGCGGACTGAATGGTCCCAGGTTCGATTCCGGTCAAGGGCATGTACCTTGGTTGCGGGCACATCCCCAGTAGGGGGTGTGCAAGAGGCAGCTGGTCGATGTTTCTCTCTCATCAATGTTCCTAACTCTCTATCTCTCTCCCTTCCTCTCTGTAAAAAATCAATAAAATATATTTTTTAAAAAAATGTTTGCATTTATGTTCATAAGGGATATTGGGATATTGTTTTTTATGATGATCTCAGGGTAGTACTGAATCATAGGGTGAATTGAGAAATGCTTCCTTCTCTTCTCAAAAGAGTTTCCTGAAGGATTGATGTTAATTATTTAAATGTTTAATAGAATTACCAGCGAAGCCATCTAGTTCTGGGCTTTCTGTGTTTATGTAAAAGGTTTTTTTGTTTGTTTTGTTTTGTTTTAATTAATTCAATGCCTTTGCTTCTTGCAGGCCTATTCAGATTTCCTATTTATTTTTGTGTTAGTTTTGGTAGTTTGTCTTTCTATGGAAAACGTTCATTTCATTTAGGTTATCTAATTTGTTGGCAGGCATTTGTCCATGGTATTGCCTTGTTTCTTTCATTTCTGAATTTTGTCACTTGAGCCTTCGCTGTCTTTTTAAAAAAATATTTTATTGATTTTTACAGAGAGAGGAAGGGAGAGGGATAGACAGTTAGAAACATCAATGAGAGAGAAACATCTATCAGCTGCCTCCTGCACACTCCCTACTGGGGATGTGCCTGCAGACAAGGTACATGCCCTTGACTGGAATCGAACCTGGGACCCTTCAGTCCACAGGTTGACGCTCTATCCACTGAGCCAAACTGGTTAGGACCTCTTTTTTTAAATTTTTTTTTATCCGTGTTAAAGGTTTGTCAAAGCTTTTGATCTTTTCAAAGAAGCAACATTTGCTTGTAGGGGCTTTGCTGTTGTTTTTCTTAAAATTTTTAAAAATTTATTTGAGAGACGGAGAGAGAGAGAAACATTAACTTGTTGTCCCACTTATTTACGCATTCATTGGCTGATTCTTATATCTAGGCTGACCGGGGATTGAACCCACTACCTAGGCATATTGGGATGAAACTAACCAACTGAACTCCCTGACCAGGGCACTATTGTTTTTTAAAAATATATATTTTATTGATTTTTTATAGAAAGGAAGAGAGAGGGATAGAGAGTTAGAAACATCGATGAGAATCATCGATCAGTTGCCTTTTGCACACCCTCCACCAGGGATATGCCCGCAACCAAGGTACATGCCCTTGACCGGAATCGAACCTGGGATCTTTCAGTCCACAGACCGATGCTCTACCACTGAGCCAAACCGGTTTCGGCTATTGGGTTTTTTCTTTTTCTTTTTTTTTCTTTTTTTTTTAATTCTCTATTTCATTTGTTCCCATTCTAATCTTTTTTTTTCTCCCCATTCTTTTTTTTTTTTTAATAGGTTTTGTTTGTATTACACTTATTTATTTTTATATTTTTATTGATTTCAGAGAGGAAGGGAGAGGGGGAGAGAGAGAGAGAGAAACATCAACAATGAGAGAGAACTACTGATTGGCTGCCTCCTTCATGCTCCCTACTAGGGACTGAGTCTGCAACCCAGCATGTGCCTTGACTGAAATTGAACCTGGGACCTTTTAGTTCACAGGCTAATGCTCTATCCACCTAATGCTCTATCCACCTAGCCAAACCAGCCAGGGCTATTTTTTTTTAAGTTGGCATTTACAGCTGTGTACTTCTGAGCATGGTTGTCTTCACATTCTAAGTTTTTAGTATATATGTTTTGTTTCCAGTCTTGTTTGTTTGTATACAACTGCAGCGAACATCTTTGTATCCATGTCATTGGGCCAACATGTTTCTGTGGGATGAATTCCCGGGAGAGTGACTGCTCAGGTGACAGTTGTCAGCAGTTGTGTCTCACTGTCTTCTCCCATGGCTCCTTGGCCTTGCAGCCCCTGCAGATTAAGTCGGTGGTGGCACCGGAGCACGTGAAGGGCTACATCTACGTGGAGGCCTACAAGCAGACCCACGTGAAGCAGGCCATCGAGGGCGTGGGCAACCTGCGGCTTGGCTACTGGAACCAGCAGATGGTGCCCATCAAGGAAATGACAGATGTGCTCAAAGTGGTGAAGGAGGTGGCCAACCTGAAACCAAAATCCTGGGTTCGCCTCAAGCGAGGCATCTATAAGGATGACATCGCACAGGTGCTTCTGCCTGGGGATGGGTGGCCATGGGAGTCAGGACTCATGTTCACACTTCTGCTCCTTTGTTCTCACCTCCTCCTTCCCAGCCCCTTTCCTAGTGCAGAGAGCAGCACCCCACTCAGATTAGGTGAAGCAGAGCCTAGGTTTTGTCATGAGCACACAGGAAATGGATGACCATTCTGTGCATGATGAAAGCATGTTGAGTAAAGATCTGAAAGAGGTGAGGGAATGAGGCACGTGGAGTTATTGGGGAAATGTATTGGGACGTAAGATAGGACCATCTCTTACTGAAGCAGTGTGGCAGGTCGTGAGCTCAGGGAGGCCCATCATTGGGCTCTGGCTTTTGCTGGAGTAAGATGGGAGGGCTCTAAGGGATACAGTGTGACTTTGTTTTTAATAGAATTACTCAGGTGACTGGTTCTCAAACTGCGGGGATGTTGCCCCCAGGCTATATTTTAGCAATGTATGGAGACATTTGTGGTTATTTCAACTGCAGAGTTGATTCTGGCATCTAGTGGATAGATGCCAGGAATTCTGCTAACATTTTACTATGCATGGAACAGCCCCCCACAATAATTACCTTTCAATAAATTAAAAATTTTTTTACCTGGCTGAGAAACAATTGAATAGACTACATGGAACTACAGGAGCAGGGAGACTAGTGATTCCATGGTGAAGGTGGCAGTGATGGTGGTTCAGGTCTAGGCTGGAGTAGTAGAGGATGGGAAAGAGGTCAGAGTTTTTGAAGGCAGAGCTGACAGGACTTGTGACAGATTGGATGTGGAGAAAGAAAGGAGTTAAAATTACTCCCAGGTGTGCCTGAGCAGAAGGAAGGGTGGAATGGGAGGAGAGTGGGAGAGAAGCAGATTTGGGAAACAGGAGGTCAGTTTTCATTGTGCTACGTTTGAGGGACCTTTCAGCCATCTAAGTGGAGGTGTCAAATCAATTTCAGAGTTGAGGGGAGACAGGCTGGAGAGAGAATTTGGGAGTTGCCAGGAATCTGGTTTCCCATCACTCTCTATCCCTATCCCTCCTGTATCTCTTTTTTTCCTGTGTCTAGGGTCAGGTAGGCTGGGCCCTTCCTGATCACTCACTTGTCCTCAGGTGGATTATGTGGAGCCCAGCCAAAACACCATCTCTCTGAAGATGATCCCACGCATCGACTATGACCGCATCAAGGCCCGCATGAGTTTGGTACCCTGGGGATGTGACACCTCTGGGGGAGAGGGAATGCTTTACCCCAGTGGTGGCCAAGCCCTACCTCACCTTCCCACCCGTGCCCCTTTTCTTCCACAGAAAGATTGGATTGCTAAAAGGAAGAAGTTTAAACGGCCTCCACAGAGACTGTTTGACGCTGAGAAGATTAGGTGAGTGTCCTTGGGGACTGTCTGGGTTGGGTCCCCAGAGCTGTGGTGCAGAATGTGCCTTTGCAGTTTGCCTCACAGGGATGGGCCCCTGACAGGTTTAGTTTGGGAGTGGTTAGCTGCGAGGATAGCCTGAGCAAGTCACTTAACATCCTCATGCCTCAGTTTTCTCTGCTTACAAACAATAGTAACAACCTGCTTCCTTGGATTGTAGGGAGAATTGAATGAATGAATATGCATGTGTGCCCAGAGTATCACTTTGCATGTAGTAAGCATGATTAATAGTATCATATATTGAAATGGGATTTATCGACACGCCAGGTTTTACAAAGTCTCTCCCCCTGATATCTTGATGCCCAGGCAAATAAGATGAGGGTATAGAGCCCCTACCCTCAGGTGTCTCCCTCCCCTCCCCCTCCCCAGTTAGATGGAACTCAGAGCAGCGCAGGGATTCCAGCATTACAGATCTAGCAGGATTTCCAACAGGAAGGTAGGAGAGAAGGATATAGAGAAACAAGAGCTGCCAGTGACTCTTGCCCTCTGATCTTGTTCTGGAATCCGTTGTGAGTCAGGCAGACAGTTTTTCATCATCACCATTTTAGAATGTGCCTTTTGATCTGGATTCATAGACCTGGCTCATACCTCCCATGACTGAATTTGACCCATTTACACCACTGGTTCCACCCGACTGAACCTTCCTTTACTTTGTAGTAGAGAGCAAACCAGAGTGACCCCTCCCTGCCCCCCAGCGAGCTGAGGCAACAGTGCCCTGACATAGCCAGCAGAGCATGCGTGTCCCTCTCCCAAATGCACCCTGTGAATGAACAGATGTTTGAGTGAATGGCAGGTGGAGCTCAGCCTGCTCTTCCATACATCTCCCATTTGGGGAATGGGAGAGGCTTTCCACTCCACAGAACAGGAACTAAATGTCTCCCACCCCACATGCAGGGCCAGTAGAATTAAGGAACAGGCTTCGCGGTCCCTCCCCCTCCATTTGAATCCTGACTCAGGCTTACAGCTGGGCCATGTGGTAGGCCTTTCCGAGCCTCATTTCCCTGGAAAATGAAGAGTGTATTACTGATGTCACAGGTTTTGGGGAGGAGTCAGTGAGGTAGTGTGTGTTCAGGCCAGGCACGGGCTGAGTGCTCCATGAATGTTAACTCTGAAATTTTGTCCAACTGGTATTTACTGTGTGTCTGTGATGTGTAGACACTTGGAGGGGAAAAAGAGGAGTCCCTGCCCCTCTGGAGCTGCCGTTCTGGTTAGGAAGGTGAATCACACAGTAGTTAATTAGTGCATGATGCGCTGTGGTGACAGACAAAGCAGGGAAGGGGCAGTGGGGTGCAGGAAGGTGGGGGCTGCGTGGCTGCTCCTCTCTGTGTTGGATGGCATGGGATGGTCATCCTGAAGTCTTCCCTTGCCAGTGGAGGAGACGGGTACAGCAGATTCTCTTTTTCTTAAAGTATTACATATGTCCCCTTTAGCAGATTCTCTTCTTAACCTTCCCTTCCAATCTTCTCTCTCTCACAAAATCCCAGGTCCCTGGGGGGCGATGTTGCCTCTGATGGTGACTTCCTCATCTTCGAGGGGAACCGTTACAGCCGGAAGGGCTTTCTGTTTAAGAGCTTCGCCATGTCTGCTGTGGTGAGGGTCCCAAAGGGTCGTGCTAATGGCAGTGGGGAGGGGGGAGGCCAAGCTTTCCCTCCTGCAGCCCAGGCCCTGGAGCAGTGGGTTATCTAGGTCTTTCCAGGTAACCCTCAAGTCAGGAGTGTCTCTAGGGAATAATTCTCACTGACACTGGCTTACATCCTCTTCCCTTTGTCTCTTGGGGATCAGATCACAGAGGGTGTGAAGCCCACACTCTCGGAGCTGGAGAAGTTTGAGGACCAGCCGGAGGGTATTGACCTGGAGGTGGTGACTGAGAGCACAGGTATTTGCTTTTGTCTGTAATTTAGGCCAAGGAGGAACAGGTGGCTCATGGCAGGCAGCCCCCATGTCAGCCCCATGTCTGCCCCTGCAGGGAAGGAAAGGGAGCACAACTTCCAACCTGGGGACAATGTGGAGGTATGTGAGGGTGAGCTCATCAACCTGCAGGGCAAGATTCTCAGTGTGGACGGCAACAAGATCACCATCATGCCCAAGCATGAGGACCTCAAGGTAGGTACCCTACTGTCCACATGTATATACTGGGATGAGGGCATGACATTGTAGCATGAGTAATATGAGGTGGGTGCTGGGTTTAGTCTGCATAGGAGTGTGTATGTGTGTGTGTGTGTCTGTGAGTCCGAGGGCTTGTCTAGGCTAGCATGGTGGGCCTAGGGTGGGGCTGTCTCCAGGTGATCTGAGAGAGTGTTGAGTCTGGTGTCATGTCTGGGGACAGGTTGGCTCCATGGGATAAAGGGTTGTCTAGGCTGATCTCTTGTCTGAGTTCAGCTGTCTCTGGGGAGGTCTGAGGGTTATCCCGATGGATGACCTAAAGTAGTCTGGTGTGAGCCTGGAGTAATCTTGGCTAGGGTCTTTTCGAGAACTTGAATGGATACTGAGGATGGGTGGGGCAGGTGATTTGTGGTTGCTTTACCTGCTCATTCTCCCCACACCCAATCCCCAGGACATGCTAGAGTTCCCGGCCCAGGAACTTAGGAAATACTTCAAGATGGGGGATCATGTGAAGGTGATTGCTGGCCGATTCGAGGGTGACACAGGCCTCATTGTGCGAGTGGAGGAGAACTTTGTCATCCTCTTCTCTGACCTCACGATGCATGAGGTAGGTCAGAGGGTGGGAGCTGGCTGGATGTGCTTCGAGGAGAAGACCCAAGCAAGGCAGGCCAGCCATTTGGGCCCTGCTTCACTCCTCTCCCTCTCTTGGCAGCTGAAAGTGCTCCCCCGGGACCTGCAGCTCTGCTCAGAGACGGCATCAGGTGTGGATGTGGGGGGCCAGCACGAATGGGGAGAGCTGGTGCAGCTGGACCCTCAAACCGTGGGTGTCATTGTGCGACTAGAGCGGGAGACCTTCCAGGTGTGTGTGCTGCACTCGTTGGGGGCTTCCTCTCTCTTCCTCTTTTCATCCTGGGAGGTGGCAGAGTATGGCAGGGAAGAGCCCAGGCTGCTGTGTGTTGCAGACCTGCCTCTGTCGCCCATAGCTGGCTGTGTGAGATTAGGCGGGTGGCGAGTCAGTTACCCTTTCTGTGTTTCCGCTTCCCACCTATAAAATGGAGATAGTGGCAGCATCTACCTAATTAGTTGTGAATGAATTTCTGAGGTTAAATATGCACCCTGGTATTCGGTGCTTGTTAAAGTAAGGGGTGTTGCCAGTACCCTCCTTCACCCAATCTCATGAATGTGGGAGCCACACAGCATAGTGCTTTGAACCCTGCATTCTGGATTCACATCTGTGTTACTTTGGTACTGTGTTACCCTGGGCTGCTGTCTTGCCCTCTCTTGGCCTGAGATACCACATGTGTAAGATGAGAATCATGACAGCATCCATCTCAGAGGGAAGTTTTAAAGCTTCAGTAAAATCTTATCTGAAAGATTTAGCATGGGGCCTGCCTGGTACAGAGTGACAGGTAAACATTAGCTATTATGTTAATATCTACTCCTCTGCCCATCTCTCCAGTTCCTGGTGTTCAGTCAAGGGGGTGGAGTCTGATTTGGAACATTTTCGATTGACCCAGTGCCCAGGGGCTGGCGCTCTGACGTTTTGGTTGACCCAGAGCCAGGGAGCCTAGATGTCCTGCAGTCTCCCACAAGGAATGATCTTTCCATTTAAGGGAAGCCTTACTCTAGGTCACTATTTTCACTTTCACCCCTCAATATCTCCCCTCTCCCTTCAAAGGTGCTTAATATGTATGGGAAGGTGGTTACTGTCAGGCACCAGGCTGTGACTCGGAAGAAGGACAACCGATTTGCTGTGGCCCTGGACTCGGAACAAAACAACATCCATGTAAAAGACATCGTCAAGGTCATTGATGGCCCCCACTCAGTAAGTATGAGCTGCTGCCCATCAGCTGCATCTGAAAGAGTAGGGGTGGCACAGCCATGAGTGACCGTTCTTTTTCCTCCAGGGCCGGGAGGGTGAGATTCGCCATCTCTTCCGCAGCTTTGCCTTCTTGCATTGCAAAAAACTGGTGGAGAACGGGGGCATGTTTGTCTGTAAGACACGTCACCTGGTGCTGGCTGGGGGCTCAAAGGTAAGGTGGGCATGGTGGCACCTTGTGTAATGGGTGCCTGGCTTGGCTCTGCAGCCTTCCCTGACCCCAGGAGAGACAAAGAATGGGCTTGTAGAGAATTAGAGGGGCAGATGTCAGTGTTGGGTCCTCAGCAAAGTGTGAAGAAAAAGGTTTATTGGGTTTCTGAGCTGTTTACTAAATCATTCATGCATTTGGTTTTATTGAGCACCTATTAAGTGCCAGACATGAGAAAAGTAGTGGATAAGAGGCAAACCTGTCCTCTTAGAGCTGTTACTTTGGATAAGTACATACATGGCCCAACATGTAATGTGGGGTGAGATGACAAGCACTAGAAGAAAAATAAAACAGGAAAAGGATACAGAGAATGATGGGGAGGGTGGTGCTGCTTTATTTTTATTTTATTTTTAACTTTATCTTTATTCTTAAGTTTTAGAGTTATACCTTTAAACATTTTTTTTGAGGTTGTTCCATTTATTTATGCATTCATTAATATGTGTCCTGATCGAACCCACAACCATGATGTATTGAGATGAAGCTCTAACCAACTGAGCTATCCCACCAAAGCTCAAGATACACCTCACTTAAAAAAAAAAAGAAAAAAAAGGAAAAAAAAATTTATATATATATATATATATATATATATATATATATATGTATGTTATTGATTTTTTACAGAGAGGAAGAGAGAGGGATAGAGAGCTAGAAACATCGATGAGAGAGAATCATTGATCAGCTGCCCCTTGCACACCCCCCACTGGGGATGTGCCTGCAACCAAGGTACATGCCCTCAACCGGAATCGAACCTGGGACCTTTCAGTCCACAGGCCATCGCTCTATCCACTGAGCCATACCCGTTAGGGCTTTTTTTCCAATTTTAGTCTATGTTTATTGGTGCCAACAGTGACTCTTTTTTTAAAAAATTTAATAAGTCTTTATTGTTTAGATTACAATTTTTTCCTTTTCCTCCCTTAGCTCCTTTCCACATGGTTCCCACCCCACCCTCTTCCCTTACCTCTATTGATTTTTTACAGAGAGGAAGGGAGATAGAGAGCTAGAAACATCAATGAGAGAGAAACATCGACCAGCTGCCTCTTGTACACCCCCTACCGGGGATGTGCCCGCAACCAAAGTCCATTTCCCTGACTGAATCGAACCTGGGACCTTTCAGTCCGCAGACCGATGCTCCACCACTGAGCCAAACCGGTTTCGGCTCTGCTTTTGTTTCTTGGCCAGGAAACTCTTGATCCTGAAAGTCTTGTGGGAAGACATGGTGAGGGAGAGGCGAGCGCACGCACCTCGATGGCGGAGAAAGAGCTAAATACCTCTTGTTTTAAGATGATCAGACATAGACATATTCAAATATAAGTATTTGATTTTACTCCACAGTCTATCTAGTTGCTATTTGTGACTGCTATGGAACATTCCTCTTACTACAATAGTCTTTACTCTGGGTGTGTGGCTGAGGTTACAGTGTGGGTTTTGATGGTGCTATTGATAATGCCTGCTTCATTTCCTTTCATTCCATTACTCTAATTTGCTTTCTTTAAGTGAATTTTATCCTGGGTCAATATAATAATATACGTTTAGAATACTATTTTGTTTACGAATGTTGAAAAGTGATCCAAAATAGTTTTGGGGCAACATAATGCCTATTTTAAATTTCAGAAAATCTGTCTGCCAAAACTAGTAGTTACCTAAAAGTAGTTCATCTTTGCCCTGTTGGCATGACTCAGTGGTTGAGCATCATGGTTTAGATTCCCAGTCAGGGCATATGTCTGGGTTATGGTAGTAGGCTTGATCACCAATAAGGGTCTGTGTAGGAGGCAGCCAATCAATGATGTGTGTGTGTGTGTGTGTGTATGTGTGTGTGTGTGCACGCGCACCCATATATCTTTCCCTCCCTCTCTCTCTCCCTGTTCCTTTCTCTCTGAAATAAAATAAATAAAATTAAAAACAAACAAAAAACCTTAAGAAAAAAAAAATTAAAAAAAAAAAAAAAAGTAGTTCAACTTTGTTGTAGTTGTCAATGGAACAGAACATCCTTCCTTAGCAGAGAGTTATCCTATGTGCTGTTTAGGTTACCTTGCATATTTTCTGCTAGAGCTGTGTATATGCTGCCCTGTGGGAGGCAGGAAGGAAGGGAAGGTGGACTATAAAGGAGAGCACTCTCTCTACCAGAGGTGTGGTTATTATTTATTTTTTAAAAATATATTTTTGTTGATTTCAGAGAGGGGGAGAGAGGGATAGAGAGAGAGAAACATCAACGATGATAGAGAATCATTGATTGTCTCTCTCCTGCATGCGCCCCACTAGGGATTGAGCACGCAACCTAGGCAGGCACCCTTGACCAGAATAGAACTTGGGACCTTTCAGTCCATATGCCGATGCTCTAGCCACTGAGCCAAACTGGCTAGGGTGAGGTGTGTTTATTTTAAAAGTAATACAGAATTGCATGATCGACTTTGTTAAGTTTAAATTTATTCTGCTGCTCTAATCCACTAACAAATGAAAAATGGTTCTGATTTTTTAAAAACCCGTACGTTTTAAAGGCTAAATATTACTGATAATATGTACATACATTAATAACATTTTTAACATGATATATTTCATTTTCATCTTACTTTCTTTGTGTTTGTGAGAAACCCAAAGGAAGTTTATTGGCATTAAAGAGAAAAATGTCTAATAGATATTTATAATGAAAGTTTTCCTAGCTTTTTCCTTATTTATTTTTTTTAACTACTATGGTCTATAACGGATAAGGATAGGAGGTAGAGAATGATGGGGGGTGCTGCTTTAGATAGCGGAGGTTAAGGAAAGGCCTTAGGTGAGCAGAACCTGAGTATATTTGTGGAGAGCCACATGAATATCTCAGGGACACAGCAAGTGCAAAGGCCCTGACGGGTATTTGCAGGAAGGTTCTATAGAACCAGGTGTCAGAAAGAAAATCAGGCCTGGGATCTGGGTAGCTAGGACTAGGAGGTGGTTTCCTTAAGGCCCTGCAAATGGGATGATGAAGTCTGTGGCATGCAGTTTTTGTGTCACTGGGGATTTAAATTCCTGACTACCACATTTCAGTTCCACGCCTCGACTAGGGCCTCTTGATTAACAGGCCCACGAAGGCATAGGAGTGGTGGCAGTTTCCACAAAGGGAAATTGAGGTATTGTCACCAGAAGGAGGTGGGGATGGTGGCCAGAAGGTTCAAGTAGGAACTGTTCTCAAATGCAGGCAAGCAGTTTGGCAAGGGGGCTGGGAGTCAGTCACCCAGACCCTGCCTGTCAGTTCACTTCTTGTTCCTCCTTTAGCCACGAGATGTGACCAACTTCACCTTGGGTGGCTTTGCCCCAATGAGTCCCCGGATCAGCAGCCCCATGCACCCCAGTGCTGGAGGTGAGGGGGAGTCAGGATGGGGCCTTGTCTGGGGATTGGGGAGGGAGGTTCAGCCCACAGTCACTGAGTGCCTACTCTGGGCTGGCTCAGTCAGATGGGGCTCACAGCCTAGTGGAGACCAGGCCCTGCCCCATAGTGACAGCCCAGGGTGGTCAGGGCTGTGATCGGAACCCCAGAGAAGGCTTCTAACCCAACAGGGGAGGAGAGGCAAACTGGTGAAGAGAGGGTTTGTGAGTACTCTAGCTGGGCACAGAATGTGAGGGGAGGGCATGGCCCTGGGACTGGTGGTGTTCTTTTCCCCCCTCAGGTCAGCGTGGTGGCTTTGGTAGCCCAGGTGGCAGCAGTGGCGGCATGAGCAGGGGTCGGGGGCGAAGAGACAATGAGCTCATCGGCCAGACTGTGCGCATCTCCCAGGGGCCCTATAAAGGTGATCTGTGGAGGCCATGTGGAGGCCCGGGGAGGGGGCATGGTGAAGGAGAGCCCCACCCAGTCTGACCTCCTACTCTCCACCAGGCTACATTGGTGTGGTGAAGGATGCCACGGAGTCTACGGCCCGAGTGGAACTGCATTCCACCTGCCAGACCATCTCTGTAGACCGTCAGCGGCTCACCACAGTGTACGGGCTGGGCCAGGGCAGGCTGGGAGTGGGTTGTCAGGTGGTGAGAAGGCCTACTCACCCCGCTAGTTGTCTCTGTCCACAGGGGCTCACGGCGCCCGGGTGGCATGAACTCAACCTATGGGCGGACACCCATGTATGGCTCCCAGACACCCATGTATGGTTCTGGCTCCCGCACACCCATGTATGGCTCTCAGACACCTCTTCAGGATGGTGAGTGCTCCCCAGGGGACAGGGAGGAGGCGTTATGTGGGGGGGACTGGAGAACTGGAGATAGAACAGTGCTGAAGGACACTCTCTCCTGTCACAGGCAGCCGCACCCCGCATTACGGCTCGCAGACACCCCTGCATGATGGCAGCCGTACTCCTGCCCAGAGTGGGGCCTGGGATCCCAACAACCCTAACACGCCATCACGGTGAGGACCAGTTGCTGAGGGCACAAGGTTTTCTAAGCTACTGTGAGTGTGTGCCATGTGTGAGTTATGCTGGGTGTCTGGGGAGTAGAGGCTCACCCTGAATTCTCTGCTTCCAGCCCTGGCTGGTCTGTGAAGGAGTAGGCATGGCTGGGACAAAATAATCTTTCCGATTCAATAGCACACTGGTTAAAATCTGGGTTTGGAGATTGTGTGACTTTGGTCATATGACAGGTTGTGTGACTGTGAGCAGCCTAATCTCTGACTCTAGACTCCTCGGTTGTGAAATGGAGGCTTCCAGATGAGGCTGTTGTAAGGTCTGGTTACAGTGCTGTTCTGGAAGCATTTGCTACATTGTTACGATCACCATTTTAAACAGACTTCTTTCTCCAACAGGGCTGAGGAAGAATATGAGTACGCCTTCGACGACGAGCCCACTCCATCCCCACAGGCCTACGGGGGCACCCCCAACCCCCAAACACCTGGCTACCCAGACCCCTCATCTCCACAGGTTAACCCGCAGTACAACCCACAGACACCGGGGACGCCAGCCATGTGAGTCCACTAGGGTAGCCCTCATTAACTCCTGCCCAAACTCTCCCCAATGCCACCACTTCCTCTTCCTTGTCCCCAACAAATGGCCTCTTCACTCCTTGTCTCTGCAGGTACAACACAGACCAGTTTTCCCCCTATGCTGCCCCCTCTCCACAAGGCTCCTACCAGCCCAGCCCTAGTCCCCAGAGCTACCACCAGGTGGCACCAAGCCCAGCTGGCTACCAGAACACCCACTCTCCGGCCAGCTACCATCCCACACCCTCGCCCATGGCCTATCAGGTGCTGGTTAGCTGGCATGTACCTTGAGGGTGGTGGCCTAGGGTGGGTCTCAGGCCTTTAAGGACAAGCAGCTCAGATGACCTATTCCCAACAGTACTGCCCCTCTCTCTCCTACAGGCCAGCCCCAGTCCAAGCCCTGTTGGCTACAGTCCGATGACACCTGGAGCGCCCTCCCCTGGTGGCTACAACCCACATACACCAGGCTCAGGCATTGAGCAGAACTCTAGTGATTGGGTAACCACTGACATCCAGGTGAAAGTGCGGGACACCTATCTGGATACGCAAGTGGTGGGGCAGACGGGGGTCATCCGCAGTGTCATGGTAAGTGGGGCTCAGGCTGGTGGGTAGGCAGGCATTCTCTCCTTTGGGTGTTCCATAAAGTCTGTTACGTTCATGACTGGGGTTCCCGCTGCCTGGAATAATGATTGCCACCCATGAGCATGGCTACTTTGTGATATTCTCTTATGAGATCAGTTCCGTAACATGGACTGAATGCTCTGTTGTGCCAGGCTTCACCCACAGCGCGAGGCACCCACAGCCCCTGGGCTCTCCCTGCTCCAGGACTACTGGCCTCTCCGTTTTTTAGTCACCGAGTTCCCTCTAGCCTCAGGACCTTTGCTCATAACTTTCTTCTGTCTAGAATTCTCTTCCTTTCATTCTTTGTCTAGTTAACTTCTCTATCTTCAGGAAAGCACCCAGGCTATTTCAGGTCTATATCTTATAGGTCCAAATAATTCTTTCTCATGGACCTCTGCCTAAAAGCTTTAAGTTTGCCCTGGTGACTCTTTGATTACTAATCCTGTCTTTATTCCTAAATAGTCCCAGTTCTTAGTTGAAGAACTGGCACCTTGTTTGGCTCACCAGTAAATAGTGAATTAAACATCAGAGACCAAGCAAGACAGCTCCAGGCTCTGCCCTCCCAGATTTCATATTCTAGTGGGACTTGTTACCAGACATGCCCCGACAGCCCAAGTGGCCAGAGCTGGACTATGGGAAGCCCAGAGGGCAAACTCAGAGAAGGCACCTTACCGACTTTGGAGGGGTCAGGGAGGGCTTCCTACAGGAGACATTGCACTGAGACCTGAAGAATGAATCGGAGTAAGTGGTTGGAGAAGGGGTTAAGTATGTTCCAGACAGAGAGGACACTCAAAGGCCTAGAGGTGAGGGAGTTGAAGTATGTTCATCATGTCTGGATGCCAACCTGGGGAATGTGGACTGTGTCCTGAGGACACAGAGATCATGGAAGAATCTAAGCAGGGATCAGATATGTTTTTTGGAATTAATTCACTATGTTGCCCTATCAAGGTGATGGGTGGTGAGCCTGGGGACTAGAAGCTGGGGGAAGGTCAGGCTGCACTACAGGGCCTGCGGAAGAGGGGGGTAGGAGAGAGGAGGGAAACACCCTCAGGAGGCTGAATGGACAGGCCTCAGAGCTGGAGGTTGTCAGTGAAGGAGCCAAGACAAGGTTCAGAGTCTGGCTGGGGACTGAGGGATTGTAGGGCCATCCCTGGCCCAGGAGGAGCAGATGTGTGGAAAAATCTGAAGCCATTTTAGGATGAAGAGTTAAGTGTCTGAAAAGCAGTGTCCCTTTTGGCCTAAGGTGGCTTCATTCTGATGCTTCTCTTGCTGATCTGGTCACCCTACCCTACATACGACTCCAGACCTTGGAACCTGGCCCAGCCTTGGCCTTTCCTGCTGTGTCACCTTGGAGAAGTGACTTCTTAGAATGAGCACTGAGCCCAAGTCCCCTGCGTGTGAGCATCAGCCCTAAGTTGGGAGCAGGTCAGGTAACCAGGTTGTCCCCACCCTCAGGGAGGCATGTGTTCCGTGTACCTGAAGGACAGTGAGAAGGTTGTCAGCATCTCCAGTGAGCACCTGGAGCCCATCACCCCCACCAAGAACAACAAGGTAAGGAGGGACATGGCTGTGAGCACGGGCTGCGGGCACTGGGCTGCGGGCATGCACATGACGCCATGCCCACTCTCCAGGTGAAGGTCATCCTGGGCGAGGATCGGGAAGCCACAGGAGTGCTGCTGAGCATCGATGGTGAGGATGGCATCGTCCACATGGACCTCGATGAACAGTTCAAGATCCTCAACCTCCGCTTCCTGGGGAAGCTCCAGGAGGCTTGAGGCAGGCCGGGCTGGTGAACTTTGGCAGACATCTGGCAAATAGAGGGTGTCCCTTTTTCCTTTCCTAGTCCTTGGTTCTGACATAGGATTCAAGTGTGGAGCAGACCCTAGCTTGGTTGTTCAGTATTTCCTTTGTTTCCCTTTCAGGATTCCTATCTTTCTCCTTGATGTTTATGGGAATCACAGTAGAGTCTGGGGGAGGGTCCTCATCTTCCTTTATCCCCCCTTCCTCAGCTTGCTTTTATGTTAGGGTCTTACAATAAAAAGCTGTCAAAAGTCCTGTGTGTGTATGTGTGCGCTAATATGAAAACATTCAAACTTGTAATGAATTTTTGTGAGTTTATTTGAGCCAAACTGTCAACAATTGCTAGGAAGCAGCCGAAACCGGTTTGGCTCAGTGGATAGAGCGTCGGCTTGTGGACTGAAAGGTCCCGGGTTCGATTCCGGTCAAGGGCATGTATCGGGTCTAGTAATAATTAATGTCGTTTTTAAACATTCGTTTAAAATCTTGCTTGGTGTTGACTTGTATTGACATAACCTTCAAACACGTGGTATCTACAGAACGTGTGAAGTGCAATTAACAAGTTTTGCTTGAAAAAGTTTGTGTTTGGTTTTTGTTAAAAAACTAGGGCTAAGAAGATGGCGGATGAAGAGCATATTCGGCACTGCATGCTTTACGAGTTCCAATTAGGAAGAAAAGCAAGTGAGGCTGCAAAAAACATCTGTAGTGCTCTTGGTCAAGATGCAGTTAGCGCCAGAAAATGCCAGCGTTGGTTTGAGAAATTTCGCGAGGGAAATTTTTCGTTAGATGACAAGAGTGGTCGAGGCCGTGTGTCCAATTTTGATCAAGAAGCTCTTCAAGCTCTTTTGGTGCAAAATCCTCAAATTACCCAACAAGAGCTTGCGACAACTTTAAATTGTTCACAAAAAACAATTTCCAATCAATTGCGTGCACTTGGCAAAGTCCAAAAGTTTGGAAAATGGGTTCCTCATGAGTTGACCGACAACAACCGTAATCAAAGAGTCACAATTTGCAGTTCGCTCCTCTCTCGTCAAAACCGTTTGCCGTTTTTAGAGCAAATTGTTACCGGAGATGAACAATGGGTGCTGTATGTTAATTTGAAAAGGCGGCCTCAATGGTTGGACAAAAATGAGGCTCCGCAGCCCACGCCAAAACCTGACTTGCATGCGAAAAAAGTGATGTTGTGTGTTTGGTGGAATTTTAAAGGAATTCTTCATTATGAACTTTTACCATCTAACCAAACCATTACAAGTGCAGTGTATAGTGCCCAATTGGAAAGGTTAGCCCAAGCTTTAAGAGAAAAAGAACCTGCGCTGATTAATCGGAAGGGCGTAATTCTTCACCACGATAACGCACGACCGCATACTGCAAGAATCACTGCTGAAAAACTGCGCCAGTTGGAATGGGAAGTTCTCCCTCAACCTGCATATTCTCCTGATATTGCCCCTTCCGATTACCATTTGTTTCGTTCTTTGCAAAACTTTCTTCTTGGAAAAAAATTTAATAATGAAGAATGCCTCAAAAATGCATTGACCGAATTTTTTGCATCAAAATCACAAGAATTTTACAACAGAGGGATTAAAATGCTTCCTGAGCGTTGGGCACAAGTAGTAGAAAACAACGGCAACTATACTGTTGATTAAATTTTGTTGTATTGTTTAAATAAATTCGATTTAAAAAATATTAGAAAACGACATTAATTATTACTAGACCTAATACCTTGGTTGCAGGCACATCCCCGGTGAAAAATCAATTAAAAAAAAAAATACATATATATATATATATATATATATATATATATATATATATATATATACACACACACACACACACATGACCTCCTGGTTCATGCGTTGACTCTCAACCAGTGAGCCACACTGGCCAGGCCCAACTTTAAAAAACAAACAAACAGCCGGGACCAGTTTGGCTCAATGGATAGAGCGTCGGCTTGAGGACTGAAGGGTCCCGGGTTCAATTCCAGTCAAGAGCATGTACCTTGGTTGCGGGCATATCCCCGGTGGGGGGTGTGCAAGCGGCAGCTGGTCAATGACTCTCATCGATGGGTCTGACTCTTTATCTCTCTCCCTTCCTCTCTGTATAAAGTCAATAAAATATATTAAAAAAAAAAAACAACACCAAAAAAAACAACACCAAAAAAACAATTGCTAGGAAGCAGAATCTCAATGGATTTGGACAATTCTCTGGAGAATAGCAGTTCTTCACCTTGTTTTATACATTGTAATCAAAGGAGATGTGAGTGGGTTACATGAAATCCATTGGTGATAGATTCTTTTTTTTTTTAATTTTTAACATTTATTTAAAAATATATTTTATTGAATTTTTACAGAGAAGAAGGGAGAGGGATAGAAAGTTAGAAACATCGATGAGAGAGAAACATCGATCAGCTGCCTCCTGCACCCCTCCCCCCCACTGGGGATGTGCCCGCAACCAAGGTACATGCCCTTGACCGGAATCGAACCCGGGACCCTTCAGTCCACAGGCTGATGCTCTATCCACTGAGCCAAATTGGTTTTGGCTGGTGAGAGATTTGAGAGATTGGAGAAAGCAAAGTGGGGTGGGGAGAACCTCTGGAGATTGGATAAAAAGTAAAATTATTTTTAAAAAAATGATAGATGCATACTTCTTTTACTTAGGTGGGTGCAGGATAGTTAACAGTTAATAATCCTATCTAATAAAAGAGTAATATGCAAATTGACCATCACTCCAACACACAAGATGGCTGCCCCCATGTGGACACAAGATGGCAGTTGGGAGGGACCACATCTGCAAGGGAGGGCAGTTGTGGGCGATCAGGTCAACAGGGGAGGACAGTTAGAAGGGACCAGGCTTGCAAGGGAGGGCAGTTAGGGGTGACCAGGCCAGCAGAGGAGGGAAGATGGGGTGACCGGGCCAGCAGAGGAAGGGCAGTTGGGGGATCCAGGCCTGTAGGGGAGAGTAGTTGGGGGGGACCAGGCCTGCATGGGAGGGCAATTAGGGGTGACCAGGCCTTCAGGGGAGGGCAGTTAGGGGCAATCAGGCTGTTAGGGGAGCAGTTAAGCATCAATCAGGCTGTCGGGAGAGATTAGGGGGTGATCAGGCTGCCTGGCAGGAAGAAGTGGTTAGGGGCAATTAGGAAGGCAAGCAGGAAAGCAGTTGTGAGCCAGCAGTCCTGGATTGTGGGTCCTGGATTGGGTCTAAAAGGGCAGTCTGACATCCCTTGTGGGGTCCCAAATTGGAGGGTGCAGGTTGTGCTGAGGGGCACCCCCCCTCTGCACAAATTTTGTGCAACGTGCCTCTAGTTCACACATGTCAAACACAAGGCCCGCGGGCCAAATCCGGCCCGCCAGGCCTTGCAATGTGGCCCGCACCACGCTGTCATCACTGCACTCCGCTGCTTTCCATCACAATGACGCGCGGTGACATAGGAGGCTTGTGATCTCGCCGGCTTGCCGTACTTGCTATCTATTACGTATGCGCATAGATAACAAGTCACACGAGATTCAGGAGGCGTGACCTATAGTCCGGCATCCGATGTGGTTGTGCGGGTGGCAGAGCAGAGGAGAGAGTGAGTGTGCGGGCATAAAAAATACACAGCAGAAGCTGCCAGTTCCTGGCATAAAGTGCAGGCATAAAAATCGCAACAGAATCTGCTATCTGTACCCAGCCAGGCATTTATTGACTGACTTTTTTTTTCTCCACTCCATCTGCCAAATCAAGCTATCCCTGTGCAGTTTTCAACTTTTTCCTTCTAACACAGATTTCCAATAAACTACATCTTTTATTGCCAATATTGATCCCAAAATGTTCAGGAAAAGAAAAGTTGACGGTGAAGGCAGACAATTTAATGACAAATGGGAAAATGAATACATGTTTGTGCTTAGAGAGGGCAAACCAGTGTGTATATTGTGTTATGAGACAGTGTCGGTGATGAAAGAGTACAATATATGTCGTCATTTTGACACCAAACATAATGTTAAGTATGGCAAATATACTTTGGAAGAAAAGCATAAAATTGTTAAAGAACTAAAAGGCAAACTACAATCACAGCAGCAAATGTTTACAAAGGCTACAGCGAAAAATGATGCTGTAGTGAAAGCAAGCTTTATAGTGGCTGAAGAAATTGCCCGTACTTCAAGGTGTTTTTCAGAGGGTGCCTTTTTGAAGCAATGCATGCTAAAAGTGTGTGAGCAAGTATGCCCAGACCAGATACAGAGTTTTCAAAATGTCAGTTTGTCAAGAAACACCATTGCAGATAGAGTTCAAGAACTCTCAGGAAATCTATCATCACAGCTGGCCGAACAGGCATGCAGTTATCTCGCTTTTTCACTTGCTATCGATGAAAGCACAGACAACACTGATACAGCGCAGCTGTCCATCTTTATACGTGCTACGAAGACTGACCTCTGTCACTGAGGAACTTTTGGATGTAGCTGCCATGCATGGGACGACGACTGGTAGAGATATATTTGAGGCTGTGGAGAAATCTATAAATAATTTTAAATTACCCTGGGAAAAGTTGGTGGGGCTAACTACCGATGGCGCACCTTCAATGTGCGGAGAAAAGAAAGGCTTGGTTGGAAAGAATGCAAAAAAGTCACTGCCACACACCCTTGATTACTTATCATTGCATTATCCACCAAGAGGCTATGTGTGGAAAAGTTCTGGACATGAATGACATAATGACCACAGTCATTAAAACTATTAACTTTATACGGGCACATGGCCTGAATCATCGCCAGTTCCAGCAGTTTTTACAGGAGGTGGGTGCAGAGCATGGAGACGTGCCATACCACACAGAAGTAAGATGGCTGAGCAAGAGCGCAGTCCTCAAAAGATTTTTTGAGCTCAGAGAACAAATTGCTCTTTTCATGGAAAGTAAAGGAAAGCCCTTGCCTGAACTGTCAGATCCCGCCTGGCTATGTGATTTTGCTATGATGTGTGACATATGCGAGCATCTCGCCCAACTGAATCTGAAGCTGCAGGGACGCAAACAAGTCATCACGAAGATGTCTGACATGATCACAGCATTCCAGCGTAAACTTCAACTATGGAAGTCCCAACTGGAACAGGACAATCTTGCCCACTTTCCCGTTTGTTTGAGTATCTCAACCACTATTTCTGGTACTTTTCCTTGCAGTCGGCTGGCTACCAAAGTTAGCCGTTTACTAAGTGAATTTGAGCGGCGCTTCTCTGACTTTAGAACACAGCACTCAGGCTTTGACATCTTTGCCAATCCTTTTACAGTTGATGTCAACAATGTGCCCCATCACCTTCAGATGGAGATAATCGAGCTTCAGTCTGACAGTGGCCTGAAATCAAGGTTTCAGGATGTTGAAATTGAGGACTTCTACCCTCTACTGCCCCCTGACTCAATGCCAGAGCTCCGACTTCATGCTGCCCGTATTCTACCCATGTTCGGGAGCACCTATCTTTGTGAACAGATGTTTTCAATAATGAATCTGAACAAAAACAAGCACAGATCACGCATTACCGATGACAACCTCCATGCTGTTTTGCGGGTTGCTACAGCCCAAGAAATAAAACCGAACATTGACTCATTGATCTGGGGAAAACGGTGTCAGACATCTAGCCAGAAAACAAAACAATGAGCATTTTAGGTACATTCCAATATTACTGTTTTGCTTGATACCAATATTACTGTTTTGCTTGATAGCATGTGAGTTGGTTAACAGCACTGTTAAGGAAAAGATTGTTCCACTCATTTTAAATTCACATTTCTGGTTAACACTGTCAGTTTATGACTGTTCAGTAAACCATTCGGCCCGCGATTTAGGCTGGATTTTAGATTTTGGCCCCTTCTCTGATTGAGTTCAACACCCCTACTCTAGTTAATAAGTGAAGGAATTTATGGTTTCAGTCCTGACACCAAAGTGCATTTGGTTGTGCCCTAAGGGGTCCTGAAAAAGGGAAGGTACAAGTAACCTTGACATTGCTAAGATAAGTTATCAAAGATGCAAAAAGACAATAGGCTCAGTTAAGGTAAAGAGGAACTTTGTCAGAGAAGACACTGACTATCCACCCTAAGTGTTTTTAGTTAAAAGTTATAATTTCAGACCATCCTTAGTGGTTACTTTATTTCTCTGAGTTTGCAAAACTGTCATGCAGGCCTTCCCTGAGCTTGTCAGGTTAGCATGTAGCTTTTGAAAAAAAAATTTTTTTTAATCCATATGTGGTTATAACTGGGGTAATTTTTAGACCCACTTGCTTCCATGGTGTGTGGTCTTGGGCAAACAACTGGGTCCTACCTAAGCTTCAGTTTCCCCATGTAGAAGATGATACTTCCTACTCCGGGGGGCACTTGAGAGGAATGTCTGAGAAAACATGGTAAAGAAGTTAGAACAAAACCTGCCATGCGACTGATGAAGTTACGTCTTACTCATGTTTGAGTTGTGTGGAAATCAGTCAATATCCAGACTCAGGAAACCTAAGTTCCTCCTGTTGTGCTGTCCTTTCTCTTGAGCCTACATTGTGGTGGCCTAAGAATTGCTGTAGCTTGTCTGATGGCATGGAGGTATAGACAATGGAGCTTAGTACTATGACCTTCCTTCACCTTCCTCATTGATACTAATATCCTTTTACAAATGTAACAATCCTATATAATAAAGAGGTGATATGCAAATTGACCATCACTCCAACACAAGATGGCTATCTCCATGTGGACACAAGATGGCCAGCAGGGCCGAAACCGGTTTGGCTCAGTGGATAGAGTGTTAGTCTGCGGACTGAAAGGTCCCAGGTTCAATTCCCGTCAAGGGCATGTACCTTGGTTGCGGGCACATCCCCGGTAGGGGGTGTGCAAGAGGCAGCTGGTCGATGTTTCTCGTTGACGTTTCTAGCTCTCTAGCTCTCTCCCTTACTCTCTGTAAAAAATCAATAAAATATATTTTTTTAAAAATCAATAAAATATATTTTTTTAAAAAGAAAGAAAGGATGGCCAGCAGGGGAGGGCAGAGACCTGCAGGGAGGACAGTTGGGGATGACCCAGGTTGGCAGGGGAGGGCAGTTGGGGGCAACCAGGCCTGCAGGGGAAGGCAGTGTGTGTGTATAGGGCACATGTGTCAAACACAAGGCCCGCGGGCCAAATCCGTCCCGCCAGGCCTTGCAATGTGGCCCGCACCGCGCTGTCATCACTGCACTCGGCTGCGTTTCCATCACAATGACAGTTTATGACTGTTCAGTAAACCATTCGGCCCGCGATTTAGGCTGGATTTTAGATTTTGGCCCCTTCTCTGATTGAGTTCGACACCCCTAGTATAGGGGGAGGGGTGTGTGTGGGGGGGCCAGGCCAGCAGGGGAGGGCAGTTGTGGGAGGACCAGGCCTGCAGGTGAGGGCAGTTGGGGGCGACCAGACCTGCAGGGGAGAACAGTTGGGGAGGACCAGACCTGCAGGGGAAGGCAGTTAGGGGTGACTAGGCTGGCAAGGGAGGGAAGTTAGGGGTGAAAGGGCCAGCAGGGGAGGGCAGTTGGGGGTGACCAGGCCTGCAGGGGAGGGCAGTTAAGTGTGACAAGGCTGGCAGGGGAGGGCAGTTAAGTGACAAGGCTGGCAGGGGAAGGTTGTTAGGGGTGACCAGGCCAGCAAGGGAGGGCAGTTAGGGGCAATCGGGCGGCAAGGGGGCATTTAGGTGTTGATCAGACTAGTTGGGGGAGTCATTAGGGGGTGATCGGGCTGGCAGGGAGAAGCGGTTAGGGGCAATCAAGAATGCAGGCAGGGGAGCGGTTGGGAGCCAGCAGTCTTGGATTGAAGAGGGATGTCCCAAATTGGTGAGGGTGCAGGCTGGGCTGAGGAACAGCCCCTCCCCCCATCCCCCGCATGAATTTAATGCACAGGGCTTCTAGTGTATTATAAAATATTTCAAAAAGATATACCAGGAACACCTGTGTTCCCACCACCCAGTTTAGGAAACAATATGTACCAAATAGCACCCTAGCACCCACTTTAACAGCACCCGCAGTCCATCCCCCCATAGGTATCCACAACCCTTAATTGCATTTGTCTTTTGTTTTGTTAATCCTCACCTGAGAATATTTTTCCATTGCTTTTCAGTGTGTGTGTGTGGTGGGGGGGGGGGGGGGGCAGAAGGAGAAACATGATTGTGAAAGACATGGATTGGTTGCCTCCATCAGGCTCCAGGCCCTGTGGGGTGGACAAGGAGCCAGCCCAGGTACCTGGGCTTGTGCGCTTTACCAGGAATGGAACCCGCCACCCTTCTGTGTGCAGTCTGATGCTCTAACCATTGCACCACATCGGCCAGGGCCCATTTGTCTTTTGACTTGGTACTTTTACCACCATAGTACTTTCCCCTAAATGTTATATGGTTATAAGTGGGGTAATTTTTAGACCCACTTGCTGTTTAAAAACATGCTTTACATGTTTTTAAAGTTCACATAAATACTATCAGACTTTCCCCTCTCAAACTAATTTGAAGGAGATCTATTGTGGCTACCTATGACCGCTAATTGATTTCCCACACTCCCGACACCTCCCGTCGCGGCCGCTGTTCCTTTAGCTGCAGGCTCCCATGAAATGGTTGGCTTGCCCACCTGGGAGGAAGGGCAGCAAGGGGTCTGAGAACAGGAGCGCAGACAGATGGCCTCCGTGTGAGGCAGCGAGCTTGTGAGGGCTGGCAGCCTGAGGGTTTCAGTGTGGGCTCAGCTTTACCTCTGGGCAGGTACTGTAGCGGGGGCGCTGGAGTAGGCGGGCTCCCAATCCTGTTAGGCGCGCGGGGGCAGGCGGAAGGGCCGCTTCAGGTGTGCAGGGCCGCAGCTGGACGCCCGAAGCCCTTTGTCTCTCTCGGGCTGCCGTCCACGCGGCCCGCCCCTGCGTCCCCATTGGCCAGAGCCCCGCCCGGGACAGGAGGGAAGAGGGGCGAGTGGGCGGGGCCCATGTGACGTCAGCGCAAGATGGCGGCCTCGGCGGCGCGGGCCCTGCGCTGGCGGAGCGGGCTCTCGCTCGGCGCGCGGGGCTTGTGCGCGAGGCTGGTGACGCTGCCCCCGCGGGCCTCGGGCCAGGTGAGCGGGACGGTGGTGGGCTCCGGCTGCAAAGGCCCCTTCCTGGATTTCCAGGCGGGTCGCCGCTCCAGGGTTCTGGGACGCAGCACCTCAGGGTGCTGAATGGAACGCCGCCCGCGTTTCGACTTGTCCCAGCCTCCCGGGGTGACCGACACTTGCTCCCCAGCGGTGGGGTGGGTGCTAGGGGCTCCAGGACATTCTTTGGACTCCACTTTCTTTGGACACCACGTGGGTGCCGGGGGAGGAGGGTCACCTGTTCCTCAACTCGATGGCCGCTCAGGGAACAACTTGAGGGGAAGGGACTCGGGACGCTGGAATCGCTGCCTGACCCTGGGGGTGTTTTCCCCGCGGTAGTGAAGGTGGTGAAGTAGATGTTGTTAGGGCTTTTGATTCGACCTGCCTCCATGTTGACTGAGAACCAGCCTTTCTGACCTTCAGCTCCATCACTTCCGTGCCCTATTCCCCAATCCCTAGAAGAGCGATAGCAGCCCCACACCCCAGCTCCCCGTCCCGGCTCGCAGTCTCTTCCGCTCTATAACCTGGGCTCCGGACATCAGGATGCCTTAACTCCCTGTTCTGTCCTCTGTGCGCCCTCCATTGCTCTGCTCCTCCGTTCCAATGTTCAGCCAGGCTCCTGATCTCATTTCCCCGCCCTGCTTTTCTGGGCTCCAGGTTCTCCAGTCCTTTGCCTGCAGTATTCTGGGTTCCAGGCCTATCAACTCTTGAATGTCTCAGACAGTATTTCTTTCTTTTCTTTTCTTTTCTTTTTTTTTTTTTTTTTAATATATTTTATTGATTTTTCACAGAGAGGAAGACGGAGGGATAGAGATTTAGGAAACATCGATGAGAGAATCATAGATCAGCTGCCTCTTGCACACCCCCTACTGGGGATGTGCCCACAACGAAGGTACATGCCCTTGCCCGGAATCGAACCCAGGACCTTTCAGTCCGCAGGCCGACGCTTTGTCCACTGAGCCAAACCGGTCCCGGCCTCAGACAGTATTTCTTGACCCCTCTGAGACACCCAGTCAAACTGCTGGCTGCCCCTCCAGGGACATAATCCCAGGGGCTATGTGGGTGTCTGCTTCCTGGCTCCGGACCTTGATTCTTTTTTTTTTTTTTTTTTTTTAAATATATTTTATTGATTTTTCACAGAGAGGAAGAGAGAGGAATAGAGAGTCAGAAACATCGATGAGAGAGAATCATCGATCAGCTGCCTCTTGCACACCCCCTACTGGGGATGTGTCTGCAACCAAGGTACATGCCCTAGACCGGAATCGAACCTGGGACCCTTCAGTCCGCAGGCTGACGCTCTATCCACTGAGCCAAACCGGTCCTGGCCGGACCTTGATTCTTATTGGACCAGGGTGTTGGAACCATCCTGACCATCTCTCTTCTCATTTGGCTAACCAACGCTTTCTCAATTGTAGGCCAAGGAGATCGGGAGCCGCCCAAGCACTAAGGCCCAGGCCCAGGCACAGGGGTCACAGCAGCAGCAGCAGCAGCAGGGCACAGAGGGTCCCAGCTATGCCAAAAAAGTCGCACTCTGGCTTGCTGGGCTGCTTGGGGCTGGTGGAACCGTGAGTGTCGTCTATATCTTCGGTGAGGGACATATTCCTGTCCTGTAGTTTTGTTCTGTTGGCTCTTTATCCTCCTGCAGATGCTTCCCCTCTTTATCCATCATCATTCCATGGCTCCTCCTACAATAAGACAGTCAACTAGAACAACAGTTGCCAACCGGTGGTCCGAGGACCACTGGTGGTCCGTGAGGTCCGAAACGTTGGCCAGCGCTGAACTAGAACATCTACCTTGGAAAGTGGGAAATCTCCTTTCTTCTCTCATCTATTCCCTGTGCTCAAGGTTCCACTGTATCTAGTTGGTTTTGTATTAGTCTACAGGGAATAAGTTGGAAGAGGAGAAAATGGGGAAGGATAGGCCTGGATCAGCCTCCTAAATTGCCTTTTTCCTCTGTACCCAAAACTCCACCCCTCACTAGTCCCTTTATCACTCAGAGACCCAGGAGATCTGGCCCCATTCCCTCGTTCCTTAGAGACCCGGGCTTCCTGACTATAAGCCCCCTCCACTCAGTTTTAGGAGACCATGTTTCAAGCCTTCTTCCCTTACACCCAAGAATCCAGGGCCTCTACTTTTTTTCTCCCTCATGGCCCAAGAGATGGGGTCCCAGTTCCTCTGGTTCATCTCTGTCTTCCTTGCAGGAAACAACTCTGTGGATGAAACTGGTGCCAAGGTAAGGGGGAAAGACACCCAAAGGCCTTGCTAGGGGTCTCATCCTGTGGATGCCACACACACCCTTCCCCTCCTTTGGTTAATTCAGGCTCATTTCTGGTCTGGAGTGAGTCTCTCCCTCCCTGGCACCTTTGCCTACTTCCAGGGCCCTGGAGATGATTCCTTTTCTGGGTGTGATGGGGTTTTGCCTCTGCTATCTCAAACCCTCTGTTTTTCTCTCTTCCGCATAGATTCCCGATGAATTCGACAATGGTGAGTAAACAAGCATAAAATCTGGTCCCCTGACCCTCCCTACTCTGCCATTTGTAGGGATGTTGCTCTGCCCATATGGTGCCCCTCCTCCTCCTCCTGGAGATAAGGCAGTCAGTAGCTAGATGACTTTTGGGGGAAGGGCATTACAAAGCCCCAGTCCCTTTCTCTGGCCCCTCAGCCCTGGAGCAGATGGTCAGGGACAGATGGGGGGAGGGGAGTCTGGGGTGGGAGTGCATTGGGAGAAGGTGCTGTCTATTGCCAGACAAACATGGCTTCCTGTGCCTTAGATCTGAGCATATGCAGCCCCTAAGTTCCTCCCCTTTTAACAGCCTCTTCTCCCCACCCCAAGCCTCTGCCCCATCAAGCTCCTCATTTCCAAAACTGCCTCCTTCCTCCCTCCCCCTTTTAGTTAGCTTTTGGAGGGGAGTTTCTGACAGATTGGACAGTAGAAAATAGTTGTCAGGTTTGTTTGTTTTTAAAAGAATATATAATTTTCATGGTTTATTTTTTGTTTTCCTGTTTCTTTTCTATATATATATATATATATATATATATAATTTATTTTTCAATTTATTTCAGAGAGGAAGGGAGAGGGAGAGATAGAAGCATCATGGGGCATATGCCTGGGTTATAGGCTTGATCCCAGTGTAGAGCATGCAGGAGGCAGCCAATCGACGATTCTCTCTCATCGTTGGTGTTTCCTGGTTTAAGTGAATTTACTGAATCAAATTAAAAGTACAAACTTACATAACTGCCTACTTCAACACAGTATGTTGAATGTGAGAAATGATGTGGGAGAATGATGGATTGGCTGCCTCCTGCACGCCCCCTACTGGGGATCTAGCCCACAACCTAGACATGTGCCCTGACCAGGAATCAAATCTGGGTGGTATAGTCCACAGGCGGATGCTGTATCCACTGAGCCATACTGGCTAGGGCAGTTGTCAGTTTTGTCACACCTGGCCCTTCCTAGGAGAAAAATAAAGTTGGTAGGTGCAGAAAGCTACTGTTAGTGTTTAGAAGTTTGCACAATGGGATGTTGATACATTGTTTATTTTAAACTGAGCAGGTGGGTAAATATGATGTCTTAACTGGGTAGAAACAGAATCATACTGGTTTAAACAAGTCAGTATACTGATTTTTACTGGTTAGGTAAACAAGCAGATTTAAAATATGTGGTTCCCCCTGGTCAGTGTTGCTCAGTGGTTGAGTGTCAGCCTATGACAAGGCTCAATTCCTAGTTAGGGCACGTGCCCGGGTTGCGGGCTCTACCCCCAGAGTGGGCCATGCAGGAGGAAGCCGCTCAGTGATTCTCTCTGTTTATCTCTCTCCCTCTCCCTCCCCCCCTTCTTCTTTCCCTCCCTCTTTCTCTCCCTCCCTCCCTCTCTGAAGTCAATAATAATATATTTTAAAAAGTAAAATTGGGCCGAAACTGGTTTGGCTCAGTGGATAGAGCGTCAGCCTGCGGACTGAAGGGTCCCGGGTTCAGTTCCAGTCAAAGGGCACGTACCTCGGTTGAGGGCACATCCCCAGTGGAGGGTGTGCAGGAGGCAGCTGATTGATGTTTCTCTCTCATTGATGTTTCTAACTATCCCTCTCCCTTCCTCTCTGTAAAAAATCAATAAAATATATTTAAAAATAAATAAAATAAAATTGGTATATACTAACTTAATTGGTTCCAATGTTTTGGTTTTTAAAACAAAAAATACTATGTTGAAGTAGGCAGTTATGTAGTTTATATTTTTAATTTGATTCAGTAAATTCACTTAAACCAGGAAACACCAAAGATGAGAGAGAATCATCGATTGGCTGCCTCCTGCATGCCCTACGTTGGGGATTAAGTCTGCAACCCGTGTGCATGTGCCCCAACTGGGAATCGAACTGTGACCTCCTGTCATGGGTCAGTGCTCAACCACTGGGCCTCACCGGCCGCACTATCCATCATTTTTTAACTGGACTCATCATAATGGCTTAAAGTAGGCAGATCTGGAAACCTAGTGTTTCCAAATGAACTAAATATAGTGGCATCATGTCAGCAGAGTTATAGGTGGGCTTCAAGTGGGCAGATATATAAACATTCTATTTTATACCTGGAGTGGTGTGTGGATGAAGTATTTTGAGTTAAAATTGGACAGGTGAATAAATATATTTCTTCCTGTCTGGTTGTTATGTCATTGCCTTCTACCTTTAGACTTAGAAATGAGCTGGTTCAAAACCATTTTACTTATCTGGTACATAAGTAAAGCCATGGTTTATCCAGAGGTTGAACAGTGGCTTATCATGGAATCCCTTTGTGCCCTGGTGTTCTAGATCCAATTCTGGTACAGCAGTTACGCCGGACATACAAATATTTCAAAGATTATAGACAGGTGAGAAGAGCCCTGGGCTCAGTCCCTATCCCTGCATTCCCCAGCCCCCTGCTCCTTGTCTGAATGTCTCCATTCTGTCCCTGTCCCACAGATGATCATTGAGCCCACTAGCCCCTGCCTTCTCCCAGACCCTCTGCGAGAGCCGTACTATCAGCCGCCCTACACGCTGGTCTTGGAGCTCACTGGCGTCCTCTTGCACCCTGAGTGGTCGGTGTGTCCTGGGGAAGGCAGCGAGTTGGGGACACTGGGTAGACCTGGGTGGCAGATCATGATGATGTGGTTAGGAGCGTAGCCTGGAGCCAGTCTGGGATTTAGCCCAGGCTCCACTGTGATCTTGGGGAGGAGGTGGCACTCTCATTGCCTCTTTCCATGGTGTGATGCTTCCCACCATGAACCCCTCAAGCGCCCCAAAGACGGGAAGAGCAGGCTGGTTCTGGGAATCCCTCAGGCTGGGTCTTGGTTTTTGGGGGACTCTGGGACCTCTGGGTCTCAGTGCTTTACTCTTCTCACTCTCCCCAGCTGGCCACTGGCTGGAGGTTTAAGAAGCGTCCAGGCATAGAGACCTTATTCCAGCAGCTTGCCCCTTTGTATGAAATCGTCATCTTCACATCAGAGACTGGCATGGTGAGGCCCTGGAGAAGGGAGGGCGGATCTACGTGGGGGAGGTAGAGAGCTGCAGGGCCAGCTGACTTTGTTCTTCCTCCATTGTACTCCAGACTGCATTTCCACTCATCGACAGTGTGGACCCCCACGGCTTCATCTCCTACCGCCTCTTCCGGGATGCTACACGATACATGGACGGGCACCATGTTAAGGTGCCATGTTGGGGCCATGGATGGATCTCTGAGATTGGGGGTTGAGGGTTGGCACTTCATGAGGGAAAGAGGACCCATCTCTGACCCTAGTGTCAATCCTGCTTCTGGGTCTGCCCCAGGTCTGATCCTGTCCCCAGTCTGGACTGGGCCCGTGGGCCCTTTTCCCGCAGAATCTGGCAATGAAAGTGGGGGGAAATGGGGTCTTTCTAAAGAGGGGCAAGGGGTAGGGAAAAGGAGGCTATTTTTATTTCTGTGTCTGGAACTGAGTGTCTCTGGGACTGTAATTTATGGTATCTTATCTGAGACCCTGCTGGGGTTTGTTTGACCTGAGGTCTGTTGCTATCACCAGCAACGTACCCATGGAAACAGGAGTTCATTGGTCTGTGAATGGGTCTCTGTGAGTCTAGACTAAGGTGACCAGATGTCCCGCTCTTGGCGGGACAGTCCGATTTTCAACAATTTGTCCTGCGTCCCAAGGCGTTTCAAAAAAGTCCCAATTTTTGGAAAGACTCAAATTGTTGAAAATCAGGGTGTCTGGTCACCTTAGTCTAGGTCCAAGTTCCCATATGTTTAGGGGTCTGTTGGCTTTCTCACTGTATGTTGGTGCATCTACGTAGTTCTTCAAGGTTCAAAAGGATATGAACTGTGATTGAGGGTTTGAAGGGTCTGTGTCTGTACCTGTCTTTGAGTGAGTCCCAGTGTGGCTATAGATCTGTCTGTGTTTCTTTTTTGTTGTTGTTGTTAATCCTCACCTAATTGATTTTTAGAGAGTGGGAGGAATGGGGAGAGACACAGAGAAACATTGATGGGAGAGAGACACATTGATGGGATGGAGCATGCCCTTGACCAGAATTAAACCGGGACTCTTCAGTCCTCAGGCTTATGCTCTATCCACTGAGCCAAACCGGCTAGGGCAGTCTGCACTTTTTTGTCTGGGTGAGAGGTTCACAAACTTTCAACTTGTCCCAGTCACTTGGGGCAGTGGTTGAACACACAAATGCTTGGCCTCCTCCTCAGGGAACCTTCAAGTCAACCTGTGTACCAGGCCCTGGGTCCAGGAATCTGTGTGACTAGCTCCCTGGGGAATTTGATGCCATCATCCCAGCTTGGTCTTTGGGAGGCACCTGGTGTGCAATGGTGTGTGTGTGTCTGTCTCTCCCTTTGAGAGTTCTTTGTGGGAAGGGAAAGAGCATAGGCTTTAACCTAACTTATTCCCGACTTCTAGGACATTTCCTGCCTGAATCGGGACCCAGCCCGTGTAGTGGTTGTGGACTGCAAAAAGGAAGCCTTCCGCCTACAGCCCTACAATGGTGTCGCACTGCGGCCCTGGGATGGCAACTCTGATGACCGGGTCTTGTTGGACCTGTCTGTCTTCCTGAAGAGTGAGACTGACCCCTGACCTGACTTCTGACCCTAGAGCCTTTGACCTTTAAGAGGAATTTCAGTCACTTGATTTTGGCTTGTTTTTCATGTAAACTGGGTTCTTGAGATGTGGAAGGTCCACAAACATCTTGCAATCTTTAGAAGCTTAGCATGTTTGGGGTGTTCCTCGGGAATGTTTAGAGGAGCCCTTTTAAATTGTTGAAAAGTGTTCCAGGTAGCACTGATCCCCTAGTATTTGACCTTTATTCTTGTGGGCCTGCCTGCCTCTGGCCTTCAACCTGGCTGACTCCTGCCTGCTGTGTCCCCAGCTATTGCATTGAATGGTGTGGAGGATGTCCGGACTGTGCTGGAGCACTATGCCTTGGAGGATGACCCGCTGGAGGCTTTCAAACAGCGCCAAAGCCGGCTGGAGCAGGTGGGTGCTCTGATCCCAGCCCAGGTGAAGGACATCGCAGCAGTTCTCCAGGGTCCTGACCGTGGAGTCCTGGAGCAGCCTGGCTCTGCTCTGGGCTTTGTGACCTTGAGCAGATAGATACCTTCTCGTCCACACCACCTGTCCTGTAGGGCTCTTGTAATGACGGGAAAATTGATTCTGCACGTGCTCTGAGAAAAGGGGGCAGAAAACACCACGCATTTGAGATAGATCTGGAGAGGAGTTGTCCTTGGTGGCCTTGAGCTGGTCTGGGGGCCCCAGTGTTTTGTGGACCATGGGTTGGATCAGGTCTGGAAAGAGGGATCCATGAACATTTGCCCCAAGGTCTAAGGAGTGAGTTCTGGTGGTCTACCATGATCTTGGTGACTTGAAAGTAGGACTAAGAATGGATTGTCCTAGCCAGTCTCGTTCAGAGGATATGTCGACCTGTAGACTGAAGGGTCCCAAGTTCAATCCCTGTCTAAGGCATGTGAACGGGTTGCAGGCTCGATCCCCAATAAGGGCTGTACAAGAGGCAGCCGACGATCAATGATTTTCTCTCATCACTGATGCTATCTCCTCCCTTCCTCTCTGAAATCAAAAGTATGTATTTTAAAAAAGTATAGATTGAGTCTGGGAAAGAGATTCCCTGGAATCTTGACTGAGGTTGATTAGATTCTGTGTTGGGTCCTTGGAGTAGGGCCAGAATTCCTGGGAGATTTGAGCCTGGGATCCCCCACCATCCACACAGAAGTCCTGGGGCTCCAGGCTGGGCAATGGGAGACCAGGGAACGGAACAGTGCAGTCTGGTAAAGGGTTTTGAGTCTCGCCAGCATCCATGCAGGGGTAAATAGGTTCCGGGTTCAGGAGAGGGGCCCCCAGGGAGCTGGGGAAGGTGATCATGAGGGTACTGGGATTTGAATCTGGGCTTCTATAACTCAACAGCTGGCTCATGCCAGGGTCTGGTCTCAGTTTCTGGGGTCTGGGCTGTTTTGGGGGTTTGGGGGAAGGGGTCTGGGCTGGGAAGAGGTTTAAGAAAGGTAGCTATGGGCTGAGACTGGGGATCTGGGATTCTAGGAGGAGGCTCTACTCACCCTGCTGACCTTCTCCCTCCTCTTTGCCTTCCCCAGGAAGAGCAGCAGCGCCTGGCCGAGCTCTCCAGATCCAACAAGCAGACACTCTTCTTCAGCTCTCTTACCAGCCGCCTGTGGCCTCGCTCCAAACAGCCCTGACCCGGGCCTCCTCAAACGTAGTGCCTCGGTCCTGGACCCCAGGCCGCAGTGCTCCCAGACCACGGCTTGGGCAGCCACATGTCCAATAAAGTCCATCCGAGACGCCATACTCCTGTGTCCAGAGAGTCTCCAGATTTGGGCATTGGGGTGAGGTCTGAGTGACTGATTAGCTGCTGAGCACAGAGTGGGTGCTTTGGTGGATCAGGGCTGGTTTTTAACCCAGGCCTGGTGATCTGAAAACCTGGGTCCCTACTCTGGTTGAGTCTTCTGTGTCCTGTGTAATCTGCAAAAAGTGCAGCTCCTTTTTGGCTGCAGATTCCCCATCTGGAAAAGAGAGAGAGGACTTCCCTCGGGGAGTACACAGGGAGCTGCTTAGGCTGCTGTGTAATACGTGAAGCGTGAGCTCAGTGGACTCTGGTGGACATCGCCCGATCCCAAGAGGGCAGCTGCTGCTCAGCTCTGCCAGCTATGGCCCCCTGGAAAGGTGGGGATAGAGTTGCGTGATCTGATTTATTAAAAATATATTTTTATTGATTTTAGAGAAGAAGAAAGAGGGAGAGAGAAAGATAGAAACATCAATGATGAGAGAATCATTGATCAGCTGCCTCCTACACACCCCACACTATGGATTAAGCCTGCAACCCGGGCATGTGCCCTGACTGGGAATTGAATCATGATCTCCTGGTTCATAGATCAACACCCAACCACTGAGCCAGGCTGTTCAGGCTGATCTTCTGATTGTTAATGGAAGCCAGAAATTGGGATTTTTATATTAATAATAAATCTATTTAAATGTTGGCTTCTAACTAAAGCAGGCAGACTGTCTATCAGCACTCTCAGCGGAACTTTCTACAATGTTTATACTGTTCTGTATCTGCACTGCCCAGTGGCCATGGGCTATTGAGTACTTGCAATGTGACTAGGGTAACAGGAATGGAATTTCTAATTTTGTATTACTTTAAATTGAAATATCGATAGCTTCATGTGCCTCCTGGGCCCTGAATCAGACAGCATTTATTATTTAAGAATATAAATAATATTTATATTCTGACTGTTCAAATCCCAGCTCTACCACTTCCTGTGTGATGTTGAGCAAGTTATTTCACTCTCAGTGCCTCAGTTTCCACATTTATAAAATAATAATGGTACTCCACAGTAGGTTTGAGGGCTAAATTAGATACTCTATGTAAGCTCTCAAGTAGCAGCTGTGAATTTTGAGCAAGGTACCTTTCTGCCTCTGTTTCCTCATCTGGGAAGTGGAGGTGATGATAGTACCTATCTTACTAAAGTGGTTATGTGAGCTAAATGGTACAATTCCTATTCAAACTGAACTCACATGGGGCTTGTCACCAGGCCATACTGGATACTCACAGATTGAAATAACCTGTAGTGTCAAAACCGGTTTGGCTCAGTGGATAGAGCATCTGCCTGATGTCTGAAAGGTCCAGGTTCAATTCTAGTCAAGGGCATGTACCTTGTTTGGGGTCACATCCCCAGTAGAGGGTGTGCATGAGGCAGCTAATGGGTGATTCTCATTGATGTTTCTCTCTATTCCTCTCTCCCTCTGTAAAAAATCAATAAAATATATTTTTTTAAAAAAGAAAAAAATAGCCAAAACCGGTTTGGCTCAATGGATAGAGCGTCGTCTTGGGGACTGAGAGATCCCGGGTTCGATTCCAGTCAAGGGCATGTACCTTGGTTGCGGGCATATCCCCGGTAGGGGGTGTGCAAGAGGCAACTGATCGATGACTCTCTCTCATCCATGTTTCCAGCTATCTCTCTCCCTTCCTGTCTGTACAAAATCAATAAAAATATATTAAAAAAGAAAAAGAAAAAAATAACCTGTAGGAGTTTGGCAGCCTCTCCAGCTGGCATTTAATGCTAGTACCACTTAAATATTTTAAAAGACCTCTGGTGGTGTTAATAGTAATTGAAATGTATTTGAAACTGTGTGGGCCAGGTTGAACTTCCAAACTCAAGATTTTTAAAGAAGTACACAGATGTCTACAGAGAATTAAGATACGCATCTCCCAGCCCTACGTCACTGTCTATAATGGTAGGGAATGGTTTCTTGATATCCCTAGAACTCCCTAGGATCTCAGCAGGATTGTTTGGGGTTTTTTTGCACATATTGAGAATTGGAGACTGTCTTAACCAAAAGCAAAGGTGGAGACAGGTTTATGTGTTCAGGCAATGTGATCTGGAGAGTGAGTGGAGGATGGAGGAAGAGCCACTTCAAGTGTGCTCGCCCACCACATGGGTGACGCGGTCCCACAGAACCTGAGGAGCCTTTTGAAATGTGAGTTCTGTCTGCCCACATGGCAGGAAAGAAGGAAGTGTGTTTGCCAGTTGGCCCCTATCCCCTAGTGGTCCGGTAGCCCTGGGGATTAGGCTCTGGCACTGGCTGGCGCATGCTTCAGGTGGTGTTTTGTGGAAGAACCACACTCAAGGGACCAAAGAGCTGCATGTGGCTCGAGAGCCTCGGTTTGCCAACCACTGGCCTAGGATGTTTTCCCTAAGTGCTCTAGGGCTGTATCATGGCATCACCTGAAGGGCAGGATTGGACAGTGTTAAGGCATAACCCCAACACGGTCTGAATTCCCATGTCATACCATCCGCAAGCCTATGGTCTTGGACAAGGTCTCAGGCTTTTCACTTTCCTCATAAGAGGTTAATAATGCCTCCGTCATTCATTTAATGTTTCCTAAGCACCAACTGCCAGCGTTAGGGTTCCAGGAGCTAGAGTGCATCAGTGAACAAATTTTAAAAATTCTGACTTGGTGGGACTAATAATCTCATGGAGAAGACAGACAATGGTTAGATGTTTCTTGGAGTAATAAATGGATTAAGAAAAACAGCCCTGGCTGGTGTGGCTCAGTTGGTTGGGTGTCATCTCATACACCGAAGGGTTGCCGGTTCAATTCCCCGTCAGAGCACATACCTGGGTTGCAGGCTCAGTCTCTGATAGGGGGCATGTAGGAGGCAGCCAATCAATGTTCCTCCCTCTCCATCTCTAAAAATTAAATGACTCTTAAAAAAAATATGGTGAGAAGGAATGTTTTGGGGTTTTGGGGTCTTGGGGTGCTTTTGTACATGGGATAGAACAGTTAGGGAAGGACTTGGGATGGTGTATTTGAGCTGAGGCCAAAATGAGGAAAGCCGTGGAGATATCTTGAGTGTGTCAGGCATGGCCACCTCAGGTCTTTGCACTTGCTAGTCTCTTTGCCATGAATACCCCCCCCCCCCAATCCATATGGCTTACTCCCCTCCTTTAGATCTCCGCTCACATGTCACCTCAGCATGACATTCTGTGGGCACGTAAGGAAAGTCCTGAATAGCCAAAAAGATGCTTAGAAATCCCTTTACTTCACACACAGATGTGGGAGGATTCACATCCAACACTTATGCCTGGCACAGACCTCAGTAAAGGCTGGCTATTTTTACAATCTAAAAATTTGGAGAAATCAGATTGGAATCTGTTACCCTCCCAAATTATATCCAGGGCAGGTATTTGCCTTCACTGCTGGTTCTAACGGTTGTCCAAATTCCATTTGAATGTCTCATGATGGGAAGCTCCCTCCACCTCCCCGGTACAGGGCCCAGTTTGCTTCCCAGTAAATGGTCCATGAGGCCTGGCACTACACTTTGGGGCCACAACCTGTTTGAGTAGAGGGGATGTGGAAAGGAGGGCCTCAGATGTCAATCTTGAAGTATTTTAAAGGCACTGGGGAACCATGGGAGAATCTATGCAGGAGAGTGACAGGGTGTGTGCTAAGAAGACCCCAGAGGCCAGGATTGGGATAGAGTAGGGGGTGTCGAACTCAATCAGAGAAGGGGCCAAAATCTAAAATCCAGCCTAAATCGCGGGCCGAATGGTTTACTGAACAGTCATAAACTGTCATTGTGATGGAAACGCAGTGGAGTGCAGTGATGACAGCGCGGTGTGGGCCACATTGCAAGGCCTGGTGGGACGGATTTGGCCCGCGGGCCTTGTGTTTGACACATGTGGAGAGGAATTACAGGAAGCTGGGAACTCAGAGGAGGTGCCTGACCTTGGAATGTAGGGAAGGCCTCCCACAGGAACTAGTTTGTTGACTCTAACAAAGGGGAGGAAAACCTGTGCAGAGGAACCTAGGATGTTCTGTACAATTTGACTATAGCTGTCGACTCAAAACTGAAGTCCTCAGGATTAAAAAACCTCTTTGGGTTGAATTGTTTCATTCATTAAAAAATTATTAAGAACTTATTGTCTGCCTGACTCTGTTGGGCTATGCTTTACATATTAGAAGAAAAAAAAAAAAACACCTGTATTTTCTACTATAATTATTAGCCTCTAAGTATTAACATTTTTATTCTGCAGTGCTGGGGGGAAAAGTTTACTCCACCTAAGGGCTTTGCTCAGCACCTGGCACAGAGTGAGTGGGCTGGAACACCTGCTCCTAACTTTCCTTTCTGGAGGGCCCTGGGGTTCGCAGACCCCCCCCCCCCCCAATTCATCCTGGAGTGAGGGATAGGCCTTTGATGTGAAGATGGAATTTCCTGCCCATTTGCTCCTCACACCTTCCGGAGGCCAAACGGGCAACCCAGCTGTAGCAAAGGGGGAGGGGCGCGGGGCCGGCAGATGGTGGCATTTACATACAGCTGGTAGTCCCCTCAGACCAGGGCTCCTGGCCCTGGCGTCTGCTGCATCCATGATGTGGGTTTGGGAGGACGGCTTTGTCTTGGGGAGGGGAGAACACAGCCACAAAGAACTCCGGAGCTTCATCCTGTCCACATGAGGCTATACCCACGGACCTCCCACACTCCAGTCTCCCACCCCCTCACACGGCCGCCTAGAGGCACCTGCACAGACCACAGGCTCATATCGACTACACCCAGTGGTCCAGGATCTCATGAATGCTCTTACACGTGCAGAGAGCAGCCACTCATTCTCAGTCACACAATCATGGGGTCACATACACCTCCATTCTCTTCTTAGGTAGATGCTGGCGCGAGTGCCTGTGCACACACACGCTGAATCTTAGAAATATTTACAGCCTCACAAACAGGCTTAACATACAATTGGAGACACACGTAGAGCCACATAACCTCACCTAGACACACTATCACAAAGTCGTGTATAAAACCCCCTAAACCTACCCATCCTTAGCCACACACACACACCCTCACTACATTGCCCGTATCCTCCAGACAGACTTACGGTTGTTCCAGCAGGCTCCCCTTCCCCTCGACCTCCTCCCCCAGGGCCCCCTCGAGCCCCGGAGCACTTGAAGGGGCGGAGCCGTCTCCTCAGATATAAGGCTCCGGAGCCCGCAGCTGCGGCTCCTCAGACCTCCAAAAGGCCATGGTCTGCCCGTGGATGCCTCAACTCCTGTCCTGGGCAGCGATCCTGGCGCTGTTTTTCCTTCCCCAGGTCAGAGCGGAGTGGAAAGGGGTGGATGGGACGGGGCGAGAACAGGAGGTCTTGGGGAAGGGGTGCAGGGCGAACAGGACACCCGGGTACCCGCGGTCCCCTCACCCTATGCCCCTTAACGCTCCAGGCACGGCCGGCAGGCGTTTTCGAGCTTCAGATCCACTCTTTCCGGCCCGGATCAGGCCCAGGGGCCCCCAGGTCTCCCTGCAGTGCCGGGGGCCCCTGCCGCCTCTTCTTCAGAGTCTGCCTGAAGCCCGGGACCCCAGAGGAGGCCGCGGAGCCTCCGTGCGCGGTGGGCGCGGCGCTGAGCGCGCGCGGACCCGCCTACACCAAGCAGTCCTGGCCTCCAGCTCCTGACCTGCCGCTGCCCGACGGCCTGATGCGCCTGCCCTTTCGCAACGCCTGGCCGGTGAGACCCGGCCCCGGGGGCACCCTCGTGCTGGAGTCCCTACCCAAACCTCCACCCTTTTCTGTCCTCCAACTTCCAAGGCCCCACTCGCCCCCTCGTTCCAAATTCCCGACCAGTAAGTCTACCTACCACCGGGAAACCTTTCTCAGACTCATAAACCCTACTTACTAATGACCCCACCTTTTCTGACTCCAATTTGCGCTCTAGGTTATGATCCCAGCCCTGCATGCTTGAAACCCCAAATTCCCTTCCCTCTCCTCCCTCTTCCCCCAACTCAACCTCTGGAAAGAATACATTCACAGAAGTCTGCCTCTGTTCCCTGGAGATCTCTAAATACTGGGATTCTTATCTTTATTTCCAAGTTTCCTTGCACTTAGGGACCCTCTCACACCCTGCTTTGGGGACCCCCCCCTCCCCAATCTCCTCTCACTTTATCCTTTCTCAGATCTTCCGGTTGGGGCCTGTATTTATGGCTCTTTCACCCCAAAACCCTTTCTCCCATCCCACAACCCCAAAAACACAGAGCTGAACAAACCTGTATTTGAAGTCTAAGAGCCTTGTTCTTTTGGGCAAATTACTTTCCTTTTCTAGCCTCAGTTTCCTCATCTGTGAAATGGGGACATCACGGTATTGCACAAGGGTCCCTGTTGAGGGATTCCACTAGGTTATCTTGAATATAGTCCTTACCACTTACTAAATGCTCAATAAAGGAAGCCCAAACTGCCATTCCTCCCCTGACCCAGCCCCTCTGGAAGCTGTGCCTTGCCTGCCTGGTGCCAGGAATGGTCCTTACCCCTAAACCCTGGCCTTCGTCAAGTACTCGCCCTGGCCACTGTTTTTCATCCTTTCCTCTCACCCTTCCAGGGGACCTTCTCTCTCATCATTGAAACCTGGAGAGAAGAGTTAGGAGAGCAGGTTGGAGGTGAGTGAGTGTCTCCAGTCTTGGGACTACTGTTAGAACGTGGGAGTTGGGGCCCAACGTGAGTGACACGGGCTGTCGGCAGAGGGTTTTCACAGGATTGCTGGACCCCTGACGTCATCATAGCTCCTGAGGGTGGTGCTGGGTGTTGACAGCTCCAGGGCTCTTGCCTTGTCCGTACCGAAGTGTCCTGGTACTGGACGTAGGAGTCTGTGGTCCCAACAGTGATAGATAGAAACACTTACTATCTTGGAATTAAAGCCACCAGAGCAGGATTCAGCAGCTCAGTGACAGTAATGCTCGGCCACCATCTGATTTTGAGACTCAAGGGTACAATACTTTTGGTTCTTGTACACAAAGCTCTGTCACTGTGTCCACATAGAGGCCTCAGGGAGCATGGCTGCTGCGGTTTTATCAGGGAAAATATTGAGCAAAGGTTTCAGGGAGGGATATGAGGTGATCTTATCCTTAATTCGGGGAATTTGATGTCATGTAAAGCCCACGTGGGTCATCATTTAAAAACATATATGTTTTTATTGATTTCAGAGGGGAAGGGAGAGGGAGAGAGAGATAGAAACAACAGTGATGATGAGAGAGAATCATTGATCAGCTGCCTCCTGCATGTCCTCTACTGGGGATCAAGCCCACAACCCAGGCATGTGCCCTGACCAGAATGGAACCCAGGATCCTTCATTCTGCAGGCCGATGTTCTATCCACTGAACCAAACCGGCAAGGGTAGAGTTGTCATCATTTTGTTATAGAAAGCTGTGGCACAATATTGGTGTGTGAAACTTTGATGAGGTGAAACTGCTCCTCTCCCAGTATTTCCAAGTCCTCAAGCAATAGGGTAACTTATGTTTTAGTAATTGGGGTCTCTGTCACCATTTTCATAAAGGAAGATCCCAAGGCACATTTTGGGAATATTATGACCTCACTTCAAAAGACCCGTTATTTTCCCTTGGCCATATAGAGACAGCAAGTGTCACAGGGTGTTAGATGTCTCATCACTAAAATACAAAGATTGTGGTGCAACCCTAGCCACAGCTTGGGCTCAGTGGACAGAGCGTTGACTTGCACACCAAAGGGTCCTGGGTTCCATTCTGGTCAAGGGCACATGCCCGGGTTGCAGGCTCCTCCTCAGCCAGGGTCCTGGTCAGGGTGCATGCAGGAGGCTACCAATCGATGTGTTTTTCTCACATCAATGTTCCCTCTCTCTTCCACTCTTTCTAAAAACAACAACAAACCCAATGGGAAGAAAAATACGTGAGGATTAACCACAAACAAACAACACACACACACACACACACAGATTGTGGTGCAAAACATTGGGGTATTTTGGCTTCTATGGAAGAGCTGTGATCATAGTGATTGTCACTGGATACTAGATGGGATTGTGACATCAAAGGTCTCAGGGCGCAGTAGGGGGGTTCACTGCGCTGCTAAGGGGGTAACTACCATTCCAGGGCTGAAAGGGGTGCTTGGGCCTTGCTAAGAGAGGCCAGGAAGAGTACGAGCAGGCGCGCTACGGCTCTATGGCTAGACTGAGTGCGCGGCCATCTGGCCGGGCATTCAGCATCGCTCCCCTCCGCAGGGCCCGCTTGGAGTCTGCTGGCGCGCGTGGCCGGCCGGCGCCGCCTGGCGGCCGGGGGCCCGTGGGCGCGGGACGTGCAGCGCGCCGGTGCCTGGGAGCTGCACTTCTCCTACCGAGCGCGCTGCGAGCCCCCAGCCACCGGGGCCGCGTGTGCGAGCCTCTGCCGCTCGCGCAGCGCCTCCTCGCGGTGCAGTCCGGGACTGCGCCCCTGCGCGCCGGTGGAGGACGAGTGCAAGGCACAGCGTGAGTCCTGAGTTCTGCCCCAACTCCTTTTAGCCCTTCTTTAGCTCCACTCACCGCCCCTGGGCCCCTTTTGCAGCATTCTTCAGGGAACGAAGGACTGGATAACCCTCACCAGATACCCCAGAACCCCACTCCAGGAAACTGGGGAATGCCACTGACTGCTGCCCATGTACCCCAGGCCCCACTCTGGTTTCACTCATGGACCTTACTCCCTTCCCTGATCAAGCTTATCCGCTTCCGAAAAACTGAGGACCTTAGACTACTCTCCAGCCCTGCCTTGGCACTCCAGCCCCCTTTCCTCTTCCTAGCATTCTTTTGCCCCAAACAGAAATCCCATACCCATTTCCATGCTGGTACTCCCCTTCCTCCCCTAATCCACACCCACTTCCAGAAGTGAGGACCAACAGAGCTGTCCTAATTCTGGGGCCCTCCCTACCCCCACCCAGAAGCTTTGCCCCCTAAAGGATCCTTCACCCTCCCTCCCTGCAAATGCAGGCCAGACCCCTTTGCCTTCTAAAGCTTGGGATCCCCGACCTCCATCCTGGGAATCCCCAGACAGCTCCCCAAATGTCTTGAGCCCCACCAAAGCTCCCAGGACTCCTAGGCTAATCCAGATCTTCCCAGACCTGCCCTAATCCAAGACCTTCCCATCTCCCATAAAAAGCCAGGTGCCCTTCCCTCATTCTCCCCTTTCCAGGCTCAGACCTTGGATGAGCTCCACATTCTTCATCCATCAGCACCGCCTCTGGAGCCCAGTGGCCTGGGTTCTACTCCTCACTCCTTTACTTTCCAGCTGGGCGAGTCGTTCCACCTCTCTAGGCCTCAGTTTCCCTGTTAACTGGGGGATACAATGGCATCTAGCCCAGAGGGTTGTCTGTCAAAAGGATGAAACAAGATGGTGCACAGAAAGCACTTAGAAACAACTCTGCCGTCATCAGTATTCCTTTTCCCTCTGCCTCTCTGTCCCCCGTAGCGGCATGCCGGGCCGGCTGCAGCCCAGAGCACGGTTTCTGTGAGCAGCCTGATGAATGTCAATGCCTGGAGGGCTGGACGGGGCCCCTCTGCACAGTCCCTGCCTCCACCAGCACCTGTCTCAGCTCCAGGGGCCCGTTCTCTGCTGTCGCTGGATGCCTCGTGCCTGGTCCTGGCCCTTGTGATGGCAATCCATGTGCCAACGGGGGCAGCTGCAGTGTTAGTATCACCCCTCCTGCTTCTTCCTGATAAGCAGTATTTTTCCCTGGGAGTTCCCACCACCCCCTGACGGGGGCTCCATGAGACAACAGCCTGGGGAAGGCCAGGGTAGCTGTTGGGGAGGGCTTCCTAGAGCTGTCCAGTCTGCATCTAGGATGGGATGCTGGGAATGGGATTGGGGATAGTGGACCCAATAGGTGGCACCTAAGGGTGGAGTGTGGGAATGTGAGTCCCGAGGGGCCACAAACTGTCCTTCCTGTGGGGGTTTGGGGTGGGGGGCGTATCAGAGAGGACTTCCTGGAGATGGGCCTAGGGCTAGGGCTTCTGAAATCCAATTTGGCTGAGGGGAGGTGACTGCAGAGGGTAGACCAGGTAAGTGGCCTGGGGTAAGCAAAGGTTGGCTGTGGGAGTGAGCCTGGTGTGACTGGGATAATGTGGACCCCCCTGGACATGCCAGCATGGAACAGGGAGACATACTCAGGGTTCACATTAGGGGAAGGGCCTTCGAAGGAGAGATCTAAGGAGGATCCATGGAAGAGGGTGGCTCAGGGCTAGGAGCTCAGGATTGGCTCTGCAGACAGAGTTGGGGAGGGCGGACGAGGCAGGCAGCAGTTGGCAGGCTAAGGAGTCGAGGTGGGAATGGGCTCTCTCAGGGCCTTCAGTGCCTCTTCCCTGTGGGTGGACGGGCAGACCAGAAACATATTATAGATAGAGGGAAGGGCGGTCTTGGGAGGGCTTTCTAGGCGAGGCCCCTGCATGCTGGGAGGCAAGTCCTGACAAGGAGCAGCCCCCAGGGTCAAGACTAAGGAAGGGGATGGGATTTTGCTCCAAGGAGACCCAATCTAACCTCCTTTTGCCCCTGCCCAGGAGACGCCCGGATCCTTCGAATGTGCCTGTCCCCGTGGGTTTTATGGGTTGCAGTGTGAGGTGAGTGGGGTGACATGTGCGGACGGACCTTGTTTCAATGGTGGCTTGTGTGTGGGAGGCACAGACCCGGATTCTGCCTACGTCTGCCACTGCCCACCTGGTTTCCAAGGCTCCAACTGTGAGAAGAGGGTTGACCGGTGCAGCCTGCAGCCATGCCAAAACGGTGAGGTGGGGAGACCAGAACATTAGGGATGAGGGTGAAGGTCACTGCAGGTCAGTGTGCAAGAGCGGGGCCTGGTTCAGACACTCCCGGTGACAGCCCTGCCTTTGCCTCCTTTAGCCCCAGGGCCTGGAGAAGCGCCCCTTTTCCCAGCCTCAGTTTGTTCTTTTACCAAGTGGGCGAGGTAATCGTCCTCCCGTAAATATTTACTGAGCACAGACAATGTGCTAGGCTTTGTTCTAGGCACTGGGAATGAAACCAAAGCCACTGCCCTCATAGAGCTGATGGGGCAGACAAACAAACAAGATAAATAAGTAAATGTGTGGGAGGTTAGATGGTGATAAAATAAGAAAAAATAAAGCCGGAAAGGGGATAGGGAGGATATATGGGCTGGAGGCAGGTTGACATTTTAGCTTGAAGTCAGTGAGGGAGGGAGCAGTGTGGGATCTGGGGGAAGATTATGTTCCAGGCAGAGGGAACAGCAAGTTGTAAAGGCCCTGAGTTAGGAACGTGCCCCGTGTGTTGAGGATCTCAGGGAAGCCAGTGTGGTTGACGCAGAGAGAGATAAGGTCAGGAGGTGACCAGGACAGATCCTATGGAACTTCATGGGCCCTGGGGGAGGATTCTGTTTTTATCCAGAAAAAGATGGATAGACCTGATTTGAACTAGGTGTTCTAAACGTTTTAATATTAATGTAAAGAGCTTGGTGCATTTTTATTATAACCAATTCTCACCAAAACACAGAGTATTCATTCTGGGCTGTCTGATACTAGGGACACAGCAGTGACCAGGACAGCTCTGGGTCCTGCCTTCATGGGGGTATCAGCCCAAAGGGGAAGACAGAGAAGGGTCATCCTCAGCTACAGCCCAGAGTAGTGATGGGGAGTGCAGGAATGGGATGGAGGGAGATTGCTAGAGGGCTTCCTGGAGGAGGGGACATCTGAGCAGACCTGAAGGTAGAGCTCTGGAGGAGAAACCCGAAAAGAATGGAGAAAAGAAGGAAGGGAAAAGGGAGAAGGCCTGGGCGAAGGCCAGGTGGTTCAGACCCGTCGTTCAGGCGGATAGAAAAAGAGACACAGGCAGCGGACCCGTGAGGCCGAGTTACGCTAATCCCAGATTTCACCCGAGGGCAAGAAGCTCCAAGCACACTCCCAGCGGCTGGTCCTGGAGTTAGGTGGAGATACAGCGGGAAACCCGGGAAGCGGTGCGGGCCGGGCGGACCCAGCTGAGAAACCCCCGGGGCGGGCGGGGGAGACCCTCCCCGGGACTGGCCCCTGACGCGCCTCCTCCACAGGCGGGCTCTGCCTGGACCTGGGCCACGCCCTGCGCTGCCGCTGCCGCGCCGGCTTCGCGGGCCCGCGCTGCGAGCGCGACCTGGACGACTGCGCGGGCCGCGCCTGCGCCAACGGCGGCACGTGCGTGGAGGGCGGCGGCGCGCGGCGCTGCTCCTGCGCGCTCGGCTTCGGCGGCCGCGACTGCCGCGAGCGCGCCGACCCCTGCGCCGCGCGGCCCTGCGCCCACGGCGGCCGCTGCTACGCCCACTTCTCCGGCCTGGTCTGCGCCTGCGCGCCCGGCTACATGGGCGCGCGCTGCGAGTTTCCGGTTCGCTCCGACGGCGACGGCGCGGACGACGACGACGACGACGACCGCGGGGGCGCCTTGCCCGCGGCCCCTCCGAGCCTGCCGCAGGGCGGCCCGCAGCGCCTCCTCCTGCCGCCGGCCTTGGGGCTGCTGGTGGCCGCAGGTTTGGCCGGCGCTGCGCTCTTGCTGGTCCAGGTGCGACGCCGTGGCCTTGGCCGAGGTCCGGGGCCTCGCTTGCTGCCGGGCACCCCGGATCCATCGGTCTTGGCGCTTCCTGATGCGCTCAACAACCTGAGAACGCAGGAGAGAACCGGGGAGGACCCGAGGTGAGGGGCTTCGCCACCAAGGGCTGCTTGCGTCCATCTCCATTGTGCAGTTGGTTTGATTCCTTGATGGGCCTTCCCGACTCCATTTAAAATATATATATATATATATATATATATATATATATATATATATATATATATATATATATATATATATATATATATATATATATATAATGATTTTTTACAGAGAGGAAAGGAGAGAGATAGAGAGTTAGAAACATCCTTGAGAGAGAAACATCAATCAGCTGCCTCCTGCACGCCCCCAACCTGTGCCCTTGACCCGAATCGAACCTGGGCAGTCTGCAGGCCAAGACTCTATCCACTGAGCCAAACCAGTTAGGGCTATTCCAGCCCTTTTCATCTCACAGTTCCTCTAGTTGGCTTTGGGTTCCCCTCCATGGTGGGTAAGGAAAAGATCTGAGAATTTAAAGAGCATGAGTCTTTTTTTTCTTCTTTTATTTCTGGCAGCCCGTCAGTAGATTGGAATTGCCCTGAAGATGGAGACTCCAGTGAGATTTACGTCATATCTGCTCCTTCGGTCTATGCTCGGGAGGTAGCTACCCCCCTCTGCTCCCTTTGCAAACATCGCACATGCTGGGTAGAGGCAGCCACACTTTGCCTGCAGCTCTCCTTTCCATATCTATAAAATACAGGGAGAGTCCTTGGAAGATCCACAACTCGCTTTTCCGTTCTGACTCAGTTTAGTTCTTGTTGCCCTTTTGAGCTGCTTGCTACCTTCCTTCTCTCTGGCAGACCTGTGGGCCTGATGAGGTCACAGTGGGGAGCCTCAGGCAGACTTCTCCACTGATTTCCCCTCACTGGGGAGAGGGGGAGGTGTAGGACAGCCCTTTCTAGTGCCTCATACTCATTTTGTTTCTAGGCCTGACCTGCTCCTTCTCCATCAGCGCCTGGAGACAGAGCTTGGATATTTTTCTGTTTACCTGATGATGCCCAACCAATCTCTGCCTGACACTTTGGAGTTCAACCTGGAAGGGGTGGCTGGTAGAATTTTACAGTTGGAAGTACATAATGGTTATTTATATCATTGAATTTTTTTCTTTCCACTTCTCCAGAGACTTCTATACTGACTCTTATTTTGATCAGCTTTGATTCATCAGGCTTTGTATCTGGTGTTGCGGCTGTTCCACTTTGTTCTCACTCTGGGGCGGAGGCAGCCTCTATCCGACACATTTCTGGGCACTATGGAGAAGGGAACAGTGCTCAGGCTCTTAACACTTCTGCTCACGTTTTATTGAGTGAAGTAGGTCACATGGTTAAGCGTGGTATCTATGGGCTGTTCGTAAATCCTCTTGTGAGGGAGCGAAGTGAGGAGTTTGAATGGAATAGAGTCTGCCGCAGATATATACCCAGGAGAGACAATGCCTGGCTAAAGGGCACAGCTACCAATCTCACCAGGTATTGACAGATTGCTTCCTCAGTCCACACTCCCACCATGAGGTACAAGAATTCCTGGGGAGACTGCCTTTTCTCTGTGTATACCTTTGCTCTATTCTATTTAAAAAGTTTTCCATGTATACATGTTATTGTTTTGGAAAACCTCAGAAAGGATCCCCTGTGACATCACCAGTTAACATTTTCGTTCTTACTGATATCAGATAGAATAGCAGACTCATTCCTTTTGTTGTCCTAAGGGAGGTGTGCTAAGATTTGCTCGAATTAAAAATTTTGGCCGAAACCGGTTTGGCTCAATGGATAGAGCGTCGGCTTGGGGACTGAAGGGTCCTGGGTTCGATTCCGGTCAAGGGCATGTACCTTGGTTGCGGGCATATCCCCAGTAGGGAGTGTGCAAGAGGCAGCTGATCGATGACTCTCTCTCATCGATGTTTCTAACTCTCTCTCTCCCTTTCTCTCTGCACAAAATCAATAAAATATATTTAAAAAAAAATTTGGATATTGGCAATTTGATACCATTCAACTGAATACTAATTAACAGGAAATTCAAGGGATACAGGAAGTCATATGATACAATGGGGATGAGTAACATACAGACTGGGGATTCTATGGGATACATGGTTGGCTTCTTCAAGAAATAATTAGCATTTCACTTCCTATTCATTAGAATGACTGTAATCACAATGACAGACAAAAACAAGTGTTGGCAAGGATTTGGAAAAATGGAGACTGTCAGACTCTGCTGGTGGAATGTAAAATGGTGAAGCCCTTTGGAAAACAGTTTGGCAGTTAAAAAAAAAAAATTTAAACATAGCCCTAGCTGGTTTGGGTCCGTGGATAGAGCCTCAGACCGAAGGGGTTTGATTCTGGTTAACGGCACATACCTCAGTTGCAGGCTCTTCCCCAGCCCCGGCCTTGGTCAGGGCACATGCAGGAGTTAACCAATCAATGTGTTTCTTTCACATTGATATCTCTCTCTGTTTCCCACTCTCTTCCACTCTCTCTAAAAATCAGTGGAAAGCCGAAACCGGTTTGGCTCAGTGGTAGAGTGTCGGTCTGCGGACTGAAAGGTCCCGGGTTCGATTCCGGTCAAGGGCATGTACCTTGGTTGCAGGCACATCCCCAGTAGGGGGTGTGCAAGAGGCAGCTGGTCGATGTTTCTCTCTCATCAATGTTTCTAGCTATCTCCCTGCCTCTCTGAAAAAAAATCAATAAAATATATTAAAATTTAAAAATCAGTGGAAAAATATCCTTGGGTGAGGATTGAAGAAAAAAAAAAATTAAGCATAGAATTACCTTATTACCCAGCACCTCTATTTCTAGGTATCTACCCAAGAGAAAAAAAAAATATCCATATAAAAACTTGGATGAACATGTTCACAGCAGCATTATTCAGAATTGCCAAAATGTGGAAACCACCCAAATAGCTATCAACTGGTGAGCGGATAAACAGAATACCGTATATCTCTACAGTGGAATATTCAGCCATAAAAAAGGAGCGAAGTACCATACATGCACACTAAACGAAAGGTGCTGGTCACATGATTCCATTTACTTTTAAAAAAATATATATAATTTTATTGATTTCAGAGAGGAAGGGAGAAGGACAGAGAGCTAGAAATATCAATGATGAGAGAGAATCATTGATTGGCTGCTTCCTGCATGGCCCCTACTGGAGATCGAGCTTGCAACCTGGGCATGTGTCTGAAAGATGAAACAGAAGGTGGAGAACCAGGATGCCAGGACTCAGGCTTTATTGGTGGAGAAGACCATTGCCAGGATGCCTTCCAGAGGGAAAGAAAGAGCACACGTGCCAGGGTGAGCATGCTTTTTGAGGGGAGGAAAAGGAAGGGACAGGCTCCCGGTACTCAGCACACGCTGATTGGTGGTTTCAGATAAGGCACATGGTTAGGGACTTAGGAATCAGGGGGCTTAGGGTATTTGGCAGGTGCTGATTGGTGGTTCAATGTACAGTCCATATAAGGTGCCTAATTAGGTGCTCAGGAATGTCCAGGCTGCAGGTGGAGTTTACGTCATTCTCTGTCCATCAGTTGGGGGAAGGGAGGATCTATCACTGTCCTTGACCAGAATCGAACCTGGGATCCTTCAGTTCACAGGCCGATGTTCTATCTACTGAGCAAAATTGGCTAGGGCACATGATTTCGTTTATAGGAAATGTGCAGAAAAGGCAAATCTATAGGGACAGAAAGTAGATTAGTGGTTGGGAGAGGGACTGGGGATTAAATAGGAAGGAGGGATCTTACTGGGGTGATAGAAATATTACAAAAAACTATTGTGGTGGTGGTACACAATTTGGTCAATTTACTTAAAATCACTTAAAACAGGTTAATTTTAAGAACTGTATAAATAGCCGAGACCGGTTTGGCTCAATGGATAGAGCGTCAGCTTGGGGACTGAAGGGTCCCGGGTTCGATTCTGGTCAAGGGCATGTACCTTGGTTGCGGGCATATCCCCAGTAGGGGGTATGCAAGAGGCAACTGATCGATGACTCTCTCTCATCGATGTTTCTAACTCTGTCTCTCTCCCTTCATCTCTGTACAAAATCAATAAAATATATTAAAAAAAAAGAACTGTATAAACAGGTTAATTTTATATCTCAATAAAGTTGTGTGTGTGTGTGTGTATATATATATATAGCAGCCCAGCTGGTGTGGCTTAGTGGTTGAGCGTTGATCTATGAACCAGGAGGTCACGGTTTGATTCCTAGTCAGGGCACATGCCTGGTTTGCGGGCTCGATCCCCAGTGTAGGATGTGCAGGAAACAGCCGATCAATGATTCTCATCATTGGTGTTTCTTTCTCCTCCTGTCCCTTTCTCTCTGAAATCAATAAAATTATATTAAAAAGCAAATAATTGCATGGGCCAGTGTGGCTCAATTGATTGGAGCATTATTCCATGCACAGAAGGGTCTTGGGATCAATTCCTGGTTGGGACCATGGGGGAGGCAACCAATCAATGTTTTTCACATTGATGTTTCTCTCAAACAAAATGAATAATTAAAAAAAAATTAATTATCAAGGGAGGAAAAGGAATGAAGAGTAAATCTATAAATTAAAAGAGATAAAAGATAAATAGGAAAAGCCCTGGCTGGCGTGACTCAGTGGTTAGAGTGTTGGCCTGCATACCAAAGGGTTGTGGGTTTGATTTCTAGTCAAGGGAACATATCTGGGTTGTGGGTTTGCTTCCCAATCCCGATTTGCCTGCTGGAGGCAACCAGTTGATGTGTCTTACATTGATATTTCTTTCTCTCCTTCCTTCCCTTCCAGTCTCTGAAAATGGAAAAAATATCATCAGGTGAGGATAAAAAAAAAAAAAAAAAAAGAAAGAAAAAAAGAAAAATAGAAAAACTATACCCTGGCCCATGTGGCTCTCAGGTGGTTGAGGGTTAGTCCACATGCCAAGAGGTTACTGGCACATGCCTGGGTTGCAGGCCTGATACCCAGTAGGGGACATGCATGGGACAGCTGATTGATGTTTCTTTCTATCCCCCCTTTCCGCTCTAAAATCAGTAAAAACATTTAGGAAAAAAAGAAGTAATGATGTGATTACCATAAAAGTCAGCATAAAAATATGATCAACAAATATGTAACTATCAACAAGTGAATCTAAAAACCAAGGGAATTAAAAAATCTGATGAACAATATTAACTGGTGAATATAATAGAATCAGAGGTATGGAAGGGGAGTGAACTGATGATTCTAAGGGAAAAGGGGAGTGGGGTGTGTGGGAAGAGACTGAACATAAACTGTGCACCTATGGATGAAGACAATGGGGGGTGGGGAAAGGGCAGAGGGTAAGGTAGGAACCTTGTGGAGGAGAGCAATAGAGGGAAAAAAATGAGGACCATTTGCAATAATATGAACAATAAAGATTTATTAAAAAAAAAAAAAAGCCCTCCAAAAATTTTTTTAAAAAAATGACCAGTGCTCTAGCTGGTTTGGCTCAGTGGATAAAGCGATGGCCAGTGGACTGAAGGGTCCCAGGTTCCATTCTGGTCAAGAGCGCATGCCTGGGTTGCAGGCTCGATCTCCAGTATGCGGCGTACAGGAGGCAGCCAGTCAATGATTCTTTCTCATCATTGATGTTTCTATATCTCTCTCTCTCTCTCTCTTCCTCTCTGAAATCAATAAAAATATATTAAAAAATATGGTCAATTGAACCAGTTAATTGTTGCCCTGGTAATGCTGCATAAGCTCAGTGGCATAAAACACTAAACATTTGTTTTTGGGGCCCCGTTTACAGGCTGGCTGGGGTTCTGTTGCTTTGTGCTGTGTTGTACAGTGCTGATCTGAGAGAGGCTCACGAATGTGGTGTAGTAAGCTCAGGGGTGGGCTGGGGGATGGCTGTGCTGCTTGCTCTGCTCCACCTGGCTTTTCATCCTCCAGAAGGCTGGCTCTGGTTTATTCTCATGACTGAGGTAGGGTCCTAAAGAGAGTGGATGGCATTGAATATGTCACTTCCCCTTCATCCTATTGGCCTAAAGCAAGTCTCACAAGGCCCAGCCAGGTTCTGGGAGTGGGGAAATGACTCCATCTCTTTTTTTCTTTTAATATATTTTTATTGATTTTAGAGAGAGGAAGGGGCAGGGAGAGAGGAAAAGAGGAAGAGAGGGGAGAGAGAGGGGGGGGAGGGAGGGAGGGAGGGAGATTATAACGAGAAACATCTATGAGAATTTCAGAAACAATGACTGGTTGCCTCCCATATGCACCCCCACCCGAGAATGAACCCAAAACCCTGACCAGGAATGGAATCGGTGACCTTTTTGTTCATAGTAGGATGCTCAACCAACTGAGTCACTCCACCTCTTGGTGGGGGAAGGAATATAGTCACATTCAAGGACAGGGGTGGGGGAATGTTTGGGAATTTTGCAATCAGTCTCCAACACTGAAGAGCCTTCTTCCTTGGGAAGGTAAACTATCCAGGCTATTGGATACAGACACACCCTTCTCTTGATGTCAAATTACTGAAAAAACAACAAACAAACAAACACCCCAAATAGGATGGGTCATGGGTGTCATTCAGATGAAGAATCCATACCTTGAAAATGGTAGGAAGCAGGACTGGCAGTGATTGCATGTTGATGGTGCTATTTTGGATGTGGAATAAATGGGACACACAGTGCTTTGACTTGTCTCTGCCTTTCTAGGTCTTCAAATCTCCTTTCATATGTGATGGAACAAGGCTAAGTAAGATCCAACAGGGGAGGGGGGAATTTTCCTTAATTTTGGGAATATCCTAAGACAGTTATACATTTCTACTACTACTACTACAACTACACTGAGAAATAACAAGCCTACATCCGCCAATTTCTGCCAATCCTCCTTCCTCATATTATCTAGCAGGTAGTAGGCATGGACTTTTGGAAATAAGCAAAATTATAGGAACTGAAGAAGTAAGAACAGAGGAAAATAACAAGTGGAATACACCATCAAATGAAGGAGTCATTTTATTAGATCATCAGCCAAGAGATCTGCTTATTCCTCTAATTCATCAACAGATACCATAGATTGAATAAATACCTATAAATTCAAGTTTCACTATATTGAATTTGTGTCATAAGGAATAACTATCATTAAAGAACTAATGGACATTAAAACAAAATCCTATTATAAAATACTATTTAAATTGAGATTAAAATAGACATCATCACCAGCCCTTGATTCCTTCTAAGATCACTCTCGAAGTTCAGAGGCAGAGAGTCCTTGCTGCCATGAACAGCTGCTGAGAGCAGAACTCAGTTTAAAAGCAAAGCTGGGAAGATGTACTTTCCCGCATTCAATGTGAAGAACTCATTTTCTTTTAAAATCAGTGACTGCATACAAACCGACGGCAGGCAGCTGAGTCCCATGGATTCCCCCTTTGATATACTTCCTGGTCTAAGGATGCCTCACCCATGGCAGAGTCTTGGCACTGTCACCATACAAATCCATTGGTCATCACAGGAGCAGAGCTGGCTGGATTATCGAGTAGGGATGACCAAGGTTCCCCAATTTGCCACCATAAGGGAAGAGTTCCTGCCCAAGTCAGCAGGCTCTGCTCTATGGCTTTATCTGGCAGGCTCCTAAGAAGCAGCTTTCGGAACAGGGAGACCATTAGGTTATTAGAGCACACAGGGAAGGAAAAGTTATTCTGGTCTAAATCCCTCACTTCACAGTTAAAGGAAGCAGAGCCCCAAAGGACTAAGGTAGAAGGCATTCCACACCAACGGCCAACTTCCAATTTTTTCTTTTTTAGCCAAGCTTTAAGGCCAAAACTTACTGCATTTAGCACAATGCAGAGGCAATAGTACATAAAGTAACCCGAATGATTACTCAAAAAGAAAAAAAAAAGTAAAATTAAAAGCCTACAAATGCACAGGAGTCAGACGGCCTGGGTTCAGATTTTGGTTATACCACTTATTCAAGCAAGTCGTTTCACCTCTCTGCGCTTCAGTATCCTTACTGGTAAAATGAGATTGATAACAGAATCTGCTACAGAAAGTTGTGAGTATTTAATAATAAACACAAAGCATTTATAACAAATAGACAAGTAATAGGTACTCAGAAAATGTTAGTTTTCAATATTACCTAGAAGGAAGTCCATTTCACAGAGCGTTAAACTGAAGTCCAGAGATGGGTAGAGACTTGCTTAGCATCACAGAAAATTGGGCTTGTCTTCCTTGGACACAGAGGGCTCCGGGATTGGTGACACGGTGGGCCAGGACTCCTGTTGGAAGCCCTGCTGTGAATCTGAATAAAGTCTGTTCCTGACCTCATAATATGGGGCCAATGTCAACATCCTGGTTTTACATCCTGCAGTCACATAAGATGCTATTATGTATATGTGAAAGTTTCACAGGAAGCCTCTCTGCTATTTTTTCCACATCGTGCGTTAAGTTAAACTAATTTAAACTAAAAGGACAAACATTTATTGGGCACCTACTGTGGCAGGCTTTGTTCTCGGAGTGAGGACTCTGCAGAGAACAAGACAAAATCCCACCCCGGAGGAGCTGTGATCAGATTCTTCCTCTTCACTTGGGCTCGGGAGTCCATAGCTGCCCGCTGAATCCTGGCTCTGTCACTTACTAGCTGTGGGCACGTGTGTAGCACTTAGCACCACAGAATTGTAAAATCTGTTACTGTTATTTTCTTTCTCTGATGGCCCCGGACTAGTCCTAGCAACTCTCCTGGCATCCTACAGGTCCCAGTGCTCCCCTCCCCACATCTCTGAGCCTCTGCTCAGGCCCGACCACACCGGATGTCAAAATTCAGTGATGGGCATGTCTCCTCTCCTGGACTGGGAGCCTGGTGACGGCCAGGCTTCCTCCTTGGGGCTCTGGCCCCAGAATCCGCCAGCATACGAGGCACTCGATACACAGGCTGAACCCGTGAATGTTAACGATGGGGGAAACCGGAGCGGGGGTGGTGGCTGGGGCATCAAGGGATGGGAGTGATCATGCGAAATTGCAGGTGCAGGTCCGCCTTCGCCGGAGCGATGGAACCTGCGTGTGGAACCCGGTGTAACAGTGCCCCCTGTGGTCGCGCGTGGAACCCGGTGCTTCGGCCGGAGGAGGCGGCGGGATCCCACCGCTGCGCGGCCTCCCCGCCGCCGCGGGGCCCATGAACAACCAGGCGCGGGCCTCACGCCCCGCCCCGCCGCGGACCTCCGCCTCGGTCCGGGCTTCGATTCCGGTCAGGCCCTCGAACCCGACCCTAGTCCGGACCTCAGTTCCGGGCCCGGCCTCGACTGCAGCCCGGACCCCCACTCCGGTCCGGACTCCGATCCCGGTCCCGACCCCGCTCCAGACTCCAACTCGGGTTTCTGACTCCACTCCGGTCCCGGCCTCTACCCCGCTCCAGACACCAACTCGGGCTCCTGCCTCTGCCCCGGTCCGGGCCTTGACTCGGTTCCCTGCCTCAGTCCCTGCCCCGGCCCCGGCGCGGACCACAGCTCCCGTCCCTGCCCAGACCCCGGTCTGGACCTCGGTTCCGGTCCCTGCCCAGACCCCGGTCCGGACCTCGGTTCCCGTCCCTGCCCAGACCCCGGTCCGGACCTCGGTTCCCGTCCCTGCCCAGACCCCGGTCCGGACCTCAGCTCCCGTTCCTGCCCAGACCCCGGTTCGGACCTCGGCTCCCGTTCCTGCCCAGGCCCCGGTTCGGACCTCGGCTCCCGTTCCTGCCCAGGCCCCGGTTCGGACCTCGGTTTCGGTCCCTGCCCCTGCCCCGGCCCCGGTTCGGACCTCAGTTTCGGTCCCTACCCCGGCCCCGGTCCGGACCTCGGCTCCCGTTCCTGCCCAGACCCCGGTTCGGACCTCGGTTTCGGTCCCTGCCCCGGCCCCGGTTCGGACCTCGGCTCCGGTCCCTGCCTCAGTCCCTGCCCAGACCCCGGTCCGGACCTCGGGTCCGGTCCCTGCCCAGACCCCGGTCCGGACCTCGGCTCCGGTCCCTGCCCAGACCCCGGTCCGGACCTCGGCTCCGGTCCCTGCCCAGACCCCGGTCCGGACATCGGCTCCGGTCCCTGCCTCAGTCCCTGCCTCGACCCCGGTCCAGACGTACACTCGGTTCCCTGCCTCGGTCCAGACTTCGACGCCGGTCCCGGCCTGGACCTCAACTAGGTTCCCTGCCCTGGTCCGGACTTCGACTCCAGCCCCTGCCTCGACTACGGTCCGAACCCCGACTCTGGTCCGGACCCCGATTCCAGCCCGGGCCCTGAATCCAACCTCAGCAACCCCCGCCCTCTTTTCGGGCCGGGGCGCGGCTGAGGTCCCCGCCGCGGGGCGGGACAAGAATCCCACGGCGACGCCCAGGGTGGAGCACCGCCTCTCCGTCTCCCAAGAGTCCGGGGCCTCCCGGGAGCTCCTTCCTGCTGTGAGTGCGTCCACCTCCGGCTCATTGGGGCCCACCCCCCGGCCCGCCCCAACGGCAGATCCAGCGGCCGCCAAGCTGACAGATCCTAAGGCTTTATCCATCTCCCCGCCTATCATGGGGACCTCCCTGTTCCCCACTTTCTTACCGATTTCTGCAAACACATTCGCCGCCCCCCGCGAGTACTTTCAAGTGGACAACAAGATTGAGATTCGAGTGATCTATTGGTGAGAGGCTGTCCCAACTCACACCTGCCTTCCTCCCATGGGAAAGGGTGGGAGGGGTGAGTGCTGGGGCTTTGGGGAATTGGAAGTAGGACAAGGGAAGGGAGTCCCAGTTCCCCGGTGGGCAACTTGGCTCTCCCTATCATCCCTTTGGGGCTAGAGAGCACTGCGTTCAAATTTCTGCTCTGCCCCACAGAGGTGAATCCTGGCTCCATAGACTTAAACTTCTCTCCCCCCCTCCCCAACTCCCTCCTCCCTCCCCTCTCCTTCCCTCCCTCTCTTCCTTACTTATCTGGGAGTGTCCTGCCCACCATGGGCCAGGCCTGAGCTGGGGATGGCGTGCTGAGCAGAGCCACCTGCTTTCCTCCCCAGAGGAGACGGGACAAGGTGTGACCTGAGGGACAAGGGGTAGGGAATTTCAGATTGGGTGGTCAGGGATAGTCTTTCTCAGGAGATGGCATCTTAGTGATGAGAAGGAGGCTGCCAAGTGGAGAGCTGGGGGCCTTGCCCCCAGGTAGCAAGGAGGAGAAAAGCAGCAAGTGCAAACCCAGAGGAGGCTGGTCTCAGGTCTGGAGTGTCCATTGTGTCAAGGACAACAGTAACAGCAATGACTTCCTTGACCTTCCTGAGACCCAGGACTGGATGCCTCTGTGGGAGGGGCTTTATCTTCCATTCAATCCCCACACCTCTCCTCTGCTCTAGAGGTCCTCTCCCCTTGTGGCTCCCACTTTTTCTCTCTTCTGTCTCTGCCAGGGGCTCTCTCTCTCTTCCCAGCTCACTATCTCTCTCCTTTCCCCATGCTGTATGTGTGTATTTCTCTTTCTCTTTCTTCCTGTTTCCTCATCTCCCCATCTCTTTCTCTTCCCATCTCATCCTTTCTATATCTTTCTCTGACTCATTGGATTCATTATTTCATTCATTCAACAACTATTTATTAAGCACCTTCCATGTGCCAGACCCATTAGGGAGACACAGCTAATAAAACAGAGATCCTTGTCCTTGTGGTGCTGACATTTTGGTATGGAATAAGTAGGACTAAGAGCAAATTATTTAATATCTTACTTAGAGGGTGATCAGTGCTATGAACAAAAAGCATCTTGGGGGGGGGTGGCCACAATTTTAACTGGGGTGGTCAGGAAGGCATCACTGAGAAGGTGACATATGAGCAAAGACCTGAAGGAGGGGAGAGAAGAAGCCATGTAGATACGAGAAATTGTATTCTGTAGAAGGCACAGCCAGCACAAAGGCTCTGAGCAGGGCATGCCTGGAGGTAGGAAGGAAGGCTATGGGGTCCCTGTGGCTGGGAGGAGATGGGGCGAAGCCTGTGGGAACGTGGGGGACTGTGGTTTTCTGCCCGGAGTGAGATGGCACTATGGGACATTCTGAGCTGGGGAAGGATGTGATCTGATGTGCATGTTCACAGCGTCCCTCTGGACTTGGGGAGAGACTGATGTGGTGTTCTCTCTCTCTCTCTCTCTATCTCTATCTCTATCTCTATCTCTATCTCTATCTCTATCTCTATCTCTATCTCTCTCTCTTTTTTTACCCTTGGCTTTCAGTGGCCTCTGAAGCTATAACCTCCGGGTGAGTAGTTTTTGGCTTTGGAAATGGGGAGAATGTGGGACATGAAGTCTGGAAGGAGTTCCTGTTTCCCATTTCTGCAAGACCTGTGACCCGGTGACAGCATGATTTCATCTCCTTCCTGCAGTACATTCTACTGAGAAGGAGTCTGGAGCAACAATTTCCAAATTGTTTAAACTTTGTGAGTTTGCTGGTTACCAGGGGAGTGAGGGGAGTCAGTGCTTCAAGAGCCCCCGGGGCTTGGAAGGAGCTCTTAGCCTTCCCCCAACCCCAACATTCCCTCCTCAGGAGGAGGAGATATCTACACAGGCTGCCGGGGAGTTTGAAGTGTTTGTGGATGGGAAACTGGTTCATTCAAAGAAGGTGATTCTGAGTAAGGGTCCCAGACAGGGCAGGAGGGTGGTGCTGGGGTCCTGGATTGTGGGAGACACACATGTCTGTTGTGCTCTTTCCCCTCTGTGTCCAGAAAGGTGATGGCTTTGTGGATGAGACCAAAATGCAGAAAATTGTGAACATTATTGATGAGCAGATCAGGAAAAGTTAACAGACAACTGGTGAGCTGGAGGTGAGGTGAGGGAGATGAGGTGGGAGGGGTGGAGGCTGGGCTGAAGGTGAATAGGTGGGCAGGACAAAGATACCCCATCCCAATCCTAGCTCAGCCAGTCCTCACTGTTATAATCAGGCATCTACAACCTTTCTAAGCCTCATTTTTTAAACCTGGGAAATCGGGCTGCTGAGATGATCTGTGAGATGCCTTATATCTTATATAATAAAGAGTAATATTATGCAAATTGATCATCACTACAACACACAAAATGGCTGCCCCGTAGGTCAAAGATGGCCACCACAAGATGGGGAGGGCAGTTGGGAGCGACCAGGCCATCAGGGGATGGCAATTAGGGGTGATCAGACCAGCAGGGGAGGAAAGTTAGGGGTACCAGGTCGGCAGGAGAGGGCAGTTAGGGGTGACCAGGCCAGCAGGGGAGGGGAGTTAGGGCCAATCGGACCAGCAGGGGAGCAGGGGAGCAGTTAGACATCAATTAGGCTGGCAGGGGAGTGGTTAGGGAGTGATTAGGCTGGCAGGCAGAAGTGGTTAGGGGCAATCAGGCAGGCAGGCAGGTGAGCAGTTGGGAACCAACAGTCCTGGATTGTGAGAGGGATGTCTGACTGCCTGTTTAGGCCTGATCCCCTTGTGGGTCCCAAATTGAAGAGGGTACAGGCTGGGCTGAGATACACATACCCTTCCCTCCCCCCCCCACATGAATTTTGTGCACTGGGCCTCTAGAAAGATAATAAATAGCGCACAGCTCAGAGTAGGGCTCAGTGGATGCCACTTAGAAATTTATCTTATTGTTATTTTAAAAAATCTGTTTGAAGAAGTAATCACAGAAAATTTCCCTAACCTGGGGAAAGAAAATGGTCACACAAATTCAAGAAGCACAGAGAGTCCCAACCAAAATGAACCCAATGAGATCCACAACAAGACACATCATAATTAAAATGTCCAAGGTTGCCAGGGCCAGTGTGGCTCAATTAGTTGGGCATCATTTCATGTACCAAAAAGTTACCAGTTCTATTCCTGGTCAGGGCAAATGCCCAAGTTTGTGGTCTTAGTCCCCAGTAATGGGCGTGCAGGAGACAACTGATGGATGTTTTGCTCTAACATCAATGTTTCTTCCTCCCTATTTGTTCCTCTATCAGTGTTTCCCAAACTTTTGACATATGTGTACCCTTTCTATAATTTTTGTAACACTGAGTACCCCTTGTACACATGAATTAGGCGCAGCTAAGCACGGTGCAGTGCATATCCCCACCAAACTCCAGAGCAATGCGTACCCCCACAAAACTCTTCCCATATCCCCGGGGGTATGCGTACCATACTTTGGGAAACATTACTCTATCCAAAAATCAATAAAAAATGTTTTAAAAACTGGCCAAGGTTAAAGACAAAGAATTCTTAAAAAATATATTTTATTAATTTTTCATAGAGAGGAAGGGAGAGGAATAGAGAGATAGAAATGTTGGTGAGAGAGAAGCATCGACCAGCTGCCTCCTGCACACCCACCATTGGGGATGTGCCTGCAACCAATGTACATGCCCTTGACCAGAATTGAATCTGGGACCCTTCAGTCCGCAAGCTGATGCTCTGTCCACTGAGCCAAACTGGTTTTGGGCAAGAATTCTTTTGTTAATCCTCACCCAAGAATATTTCTCCATTAAAAAATATTTCCTTTTTTTTTTTTTTTTTTGTGGGAAACCCCCCCACAATTCTATGTTCTTTATTTGTAACTATTCTATATATTTGAGACTGTTTAAATTTTTTTATATAAAAAAGAGATAAAAAGGATGAAATAAAATTTCAAGACAATTTTTACTTCTATGCCTGGATCACTGGAGATCAAAATTATGTCACTGATTTATAATCATTGACCATAATTTGTTTTATGGTGCTAACAATATACTTTCCCAATAATCATACTTCACCAAATCTCTTTTCGTATTAATCCATTCCTACGTTGAGGTTAACTACTTTTAAGTTTCTTGAATACAGTTATCTCTCAAGAAATAATATACTAATTCAGAGATTTTCATTAACTCTTTAAAAAATATATATATTTTATTGATTTTTTACAGAGAGGAAGGGAGAGAGATAAAGAGCTAGAAACATCGATGAGAGAGAAATGTCAACCAGCTGCCTCTTGCACACCCCCTACCGAGGATGTGCCCGCAACCAATGTACATGCCCTTGACAGGAATCAAACCTGGGACCTTTCAGTCCGCAGACCGACGCTCTACCACTGAGCCAAACCGGTTAGGATGATTTTCATTAACTCTTAAAGTTAACTTACTCAGAATATACTTGTGGATTTTTTTTCTTTCCTAAAATTGTTTTCATTCATATAATTTCATTGTATAGACTGGTATACTTAGCCAAAAGGGTACACAATTCCTATTTTAAAAAGTTTACTGAACATTATTCCTGCATCACACTTATTAGAAGAAAAATTAATTTTCCCTGAAGGCACCCTGTCTTTTCATGATGATTTATTCCCTAACTTTTTTGTATTAAAAATATAGGTTAATATGAAATTAGTAAAATGCATCATATGAAACTTCATGCTGAGCAAAACCAAGTCCAAAAAAAGTTATCATATATTAATAGCAACCACAGTAAGAAACCTCTGGCACAATTTCAAATGAACCAACATCAGAATTATGGGGGTCCCAGAAGAAGAGATAGAGCAAGATACCAAAAGCATATTGGAAAAAATAGTGACAGAAAATTTCCCCCACCTAGTGAAAGAAATAGACTTACAAGTCCAGGAAGCGCACAGAACCCCAAACAAAAGGAATCCAAAGAGGACCACACATCATAATTAAAATTTCAAGAACAAAAGATAAAGAGAGAATATTAAAAGCAAGGTGATGACTAGCAAGAACCTACTGCCAAAAATACTTGAAGTTGTCCCAGAGGTTTCTTACATTATCTACAACTTTCTGGATTCTCTTGTCTTCTTGCTTCTGTGAAGGATTGTCTTCTGGTTCTTTATGTTCCAAATCTTTGACTTGACTTGATTCTTGAGATCTTCCATTCTGTTTTTAGGACTCTGTATAACATTTTTTATTTCAGACAATGTATTCTTTATTTCTAGTTGATCCCTTATTATTTCTAGTTGATCCCTTTCACAGCTTCCCTTGAGTTGGTAGCCTCAAAATATCTGTGTTTAGCTTGGATGGGGCAGAGTTTCAGGGTGGAGCCTACAGCCTTGGCTTCCGTCAGCCCCTCCCTATGAGGTTCCTGAGTCTCAGTATTCCTCAGGGTCCTTTGGTACTCACTGCAAGCACCTCTGAGAGAAAGGTGCCCTCGAGTTTCGCCCGGTACCAAATAGTCTAGGCTCTCCTCCAATGAACCTGGAACTGGGGTTCAGTGCAGTTGGAAATGGGGTTCAGAGCAGTCTGGAGTTTTTGTTTCCTTTCCCCTAGGGCAATCCAGTGGCACAGTCAACCATCGGTTCTCTGTGCATAATGTTGTGCCTCTGGGACTGCCTTTTGCCGCTCCTCTGAGTTTCTGCCTTACAACCCAGTCTCCCTCCATATGAGCCAGGGTCTGGCCTAGAACTGAGGTTCAGTGCAGTCGGAACTGGGGCTCAACACAGTCTGGAACTTTTGTCTCCTTCCTGCTAGGGCAATCTAGCAGCAGAGTCAACAGTCTGTCCTCTGTGCATAATGTGCACGCCCTGGGACTGCCTTTCACCACTCCCCTGAGTTTCCACCTTACATCCCAGACTTCCTCCTTATGTGTCTGGGTCCCCAGGGTCTCACCAGAACTGGGGTTTAGTTTTGTTGGAGCTGGGGTTCAGCACAGTCCGGAGCTTTTATCTCCTTCCCGCTAGGGAACGCCAGCCAGGCACTCAGCCTCCCCCTCCTCTCCGGCTCCTTCCTCTCCATATGCGCACCATGTCTCTGTACCTTAGGCTTTTACAGCTCCTCTGATTTTCCTTCTGGTTTTCTCTTTCCTTCTAGTTGTAGAATTTCCAGTCAGTCAATTTTTCTGTAGTTCTAGGTAATGTCCATTTTGTATTTTAGTTGTATTTTTTTGAAATTGTTGTGTGAGGCTGCAGTTAGGCGTTTACCTATGCCACCATCTTCATTTTCTCGAGGAGTTAATATTCAGATTTCTGAGTACCTACTTTGGGCTTGATTCTAGGCCTTAGGGATGAAATAGTAGTGAACAAAACAAATACAAACCCCTGCCTCAGTGGCACTGACATTCTCATGGAGCAGACAGACACAGGCTGATGAAGGCATTTTAGAAGGACATAAGTGGCAGGAGAAGAAAGATAAAGCAGGAAAGCGGCATGGAGAGTGCTGGAAGGTTTTTCACCTCAAACTGAGTGGTCAGGGAAGACCTCAGTAGGATGGTGATGTGCCAACACTTGCAAGAAGGGGTCAAACCATGTGGGTAGAAAGTATTCCAGGCAGAGAGCAGCATGTGCAAAGGCCCTGTGATGGGAACGTGTCTGGAAAATGGCAAGGAGACACGAGTGGGTATTGTAATCCATGGAAAGTATTGGAATGGCCTGACACATAGTAAGCCTGATAGAAATGCTATGGAGTTGTTGTCATTATTGCTATTAAAACTTTTTTTCTCTTCTCTCCTCATCTTAGGAACCTCAGCAGGATGACGAGAAGGGCTGAAATGTTGCCCTCAGGGTCAGGTCCTTTTTTGATGGTGGCTGGGGCTGGGGTGGGGTCAGGTGGGGAGAAGGGGAAAATACAGTCTGTCTCCCTGTCTCCCAGTGTTCTCTTCTTACTGCGTCTTCGGTCACTGCACTCCATCCCGAGGTCTGTGGAAGTTGCCTGCTGCAGTGCTGACAGCATCTCCAACGGTCAGCCCAGTGGGGGAGGGAAGGGCAGGGTGAGTATAAGGTCAGACCTGTTGCTCCCCAGATTTGCTGCAGAAACCCAGGATACCAGGAACCCCTTTCCCTCACTGTCCTTCCAGACACCCTTGCCCTTTGTGGGTTCATGAATGCCTACCCATAGTTCACAGCCCAACCCTCTTGTATTCTGTACCAGGAAGCTTCCTGACCCTAGTTACTGACCTTTCCCTTCCCCGATGTCCTGTGAGCTTGGACCCCATTCTCTATCCCTTGGCTGTGACAGGCAGCTCTGCCCTGACCACTGCTCTTCCTGTGGGCAGGAGCTGCCTTATCCTCACTCCTTATCCCTGTGCTCAGAACAGGGTCTGGCTGAGGGCATTTGCTAGATAAATGTTGGATAGAATTTGCCACAGAAATGTGACGTGTGCAGAGGGCACTCTGTGGGCTAGGGCCCGGTGTCAGGGAACTGTATGTAGGGACAAGGGACAGTAGAGGGTAAGTACAGGAAGCTCCAAAGGACCAGGCCTGCCTGGGGCGTCTGGTTGGTAGCTTCCCCAGTCTGGGAAAATCTCCATCTCCCTCCTGGGCACCCCTGCAAGGCAGCAATGGGGAAGCTCCAGGAGCTTCTAGGGGCTCATGGATTCCTATTTTTCCCATGGCTAACAATTTATTACGTGAGCACTATGTTTAAACATCCCCCTGTGTTTCTGAGCAGGGGTAGTCCACTACTTTTGAGAGCTGGATAGGACAGAATGGGGGCTGACTTCCGCTCACAGTCCCCACCACCAGCTTCCTGCATTTTGCCAATGTACTAGGTGTGAAGGACATCTCATTGTTTTCATTAGCTTTTCTTTGATTACTCATCCTATATACCCTTAAAAATATATTTTTATTGATTTCAGGGAGGAATGGAGAGGGAGAAAGAGATAGAAACATCAATGATGAGAGAATCATTGATCGGCTGCCTCCTGCATGCCTCACACTGGGGATCAAGCCTGCAACCCCAGCGTAATGCCCTGACCAAGAATTGAACCATGACCTCTTGGTTCATAGGTCGACGCTCAACCACTGAGCGACTCATTCTATATTTGATGCTTTGTGTGTTTCTTCTGCAAATAGTTCACATTTTGAACTCTTCTTCGTCCTTAAAGACTTAGTCCTCACATGGGCTTTGGTGGAGGTCGTGGGGCAGCACCCGCAGGTCTAAATCGGGGGGTGGGGGGTGTTCGGTCCTTCCGGGCTACCTTTGCTGTGAATGGCACAGCTCACACAGTAATGCAGCTTCACATTGGCTTGGGACACTCGCTTCAGAGATGTCCCTGATGGCCGCGGCCTCTACTATGTTTAGAATGACAAACTTCTTAATGGCCTTGTCCTTGGGCATGCATCGGGCGCAGTTGGTGCAACGAATAGGCTGCACATGGCCTTGCCTTTTTTGGCATGACCGTTATTCCTTCTTTTCTTGGTCACCTTGGAAATGAGGACCCAAAAGAGCCACATTTTTTCCTTTTAAATATCTTTATTTACTTTTTAAATTGAGTTTTTGAGAGAGGAAGGGAGAGAGAGACATTGATATTGATGTGAGAGCGTCTGGCTGCCTCCTGCATGCCCCCTACTTGGGGGTTGATCCCCCAGTTGAGGGGGGTATGCCCTGACTGGGAATCAAACCAGCAATCAGGACATTTCCCAACCAACTGAACCACATTGGCCAGGGCAGTTGTTCACATCTTGTGCTGTTTTCTCTACAGGGATTTCTTTCAGTCTTTTTTTTTTTTTTTTTTAATACATTTTTTATTTATTGATTGATTTTTTACAGAGAGGAAGGGAAAGAGATAGAGAGCTAGAAACATCGATGAGAGAGAAACATTCTTTTTAGGTATTGCAAATACATTTTTCTATCTGTCATCTATTAACATTGTCCTGTGGTGACCTTTGGTGAAGAGAAATCTTTTGTTCTTTAAAAAAATTTTTTTTTTTTTTTTTTTTGATTTCAGAGAGGAAGGGAGAGGCAGAGAGAGATGGAAACCCCAACCAGGTTCTTCTCTTCTTTTGTGAGAAAATTAGTCAGTTTTGGACCTATGGCTTTTGCTTTTGAAATGGTATCTAAGATGCCCTTTTGTGCCTTTTAAAAAATTTTTATAATATATATTTTTTTGATTTTTTACAGAGAGGAAGGGAGAGAGATAAAGAGCTAGAAATGCCGATGAGAGAGAAACATTGACCAGCTGCCTCTTGCACACTCCCTGCCGGGTATGTGCCCGCAACCAAGGTGCATGCCCTTGACTGGAATTGAACCCAGGATCTTTCATTTGGCTCTACCACTGAGCCAAACCAGTTTCAGCCCTTCTGTGCCCTTTAGTAATCAAGATATTGTCCTCCATCAACTGAGGAATGCCATGGCATTTCCCCCTGTTGAGTCCTTTTCTGCTCACTTGTGAAACCCTAACTTCTATAAACAAATACAACTCAATTTTTTTGTTAATCTTCACCTGAGAATATTTTTTTCCCCATTGATTTATAGAGAGAGTGGAAATGAGGGAGGAAGGGTGAGAAAGAAACATCATGTGAGAGAGACACACTGATTGGTTGCCTGGTGCCTGTACCCCTACTGGGGGGCATGGAGTGAACCCACAATCCAAGAATCAAACCCGTGACTCTTTGGTCGTCAGGCTGATATTCAACCTCTGGACAATACCGGCCAGGGCTAAATGGTTGTTGTTTAAAGTCACCAGGTTTGGGGTTGTTTGTTATGCAGGAACTAGAGGTCTGGTGCACGAATTTGTGCACCAATGGGGTCCCTCAGCCTGGCCTGAGGGGTTCCTGATTGCGAGAGGGCATAGGCCAGGCTGAGGGACCCCACCAATGCACGATGGGGGCTGAGGAAGGATGCGGGAGGTTGGCCAGCCCGGGAGGAACTGCAGGGGAGCTCCAGAGCATGTCTGACTGTCTCTCTCAGTTCCAATCAGCTGGACCCCAGCAGCAAGCCAACCTACTGGTCGGAGTATTTGCCCCCTGGTGGTCAGTGCACATCATCGCAAGTGGTTGAGTGGCCTTAGCATATCATTAGCATATTACACTTTGATTGGTTGAATGGATGACCGGACACTTAGCATATTAGGCTTTTATTATATAGGATAGAAAACTTCCTGAGTTGTATCCTATTTAGTAAAACTGTAATAATACTATTAGCCTAGTATTTTTAGTTCTGTGAGCTGTTCAAGCGATTTGTTAAACCTGACAGGGTTGTGGGAAGTCCTGAATTCGTAGCCAGTTAGTCAGGAATACCTTAACACGTGGCTGGCATCTAAGATGAATGCAGTCTTGAGAATTAAGTCCTTAAACCTGTGGAGTCTGATGCTAACTCCAGGGTAGTGTCAGAATTGAATCAAAGTATATCACTTGGGGGTAGAAATGGAACAGATGGAACACTAAACCCTAAGAGAACTGCTAACCATAACTCAACATAACTGAGACTCTTCAGAGGCAAAGTGACAGCCCAATCTCAGTGCAGAGTAATGCAGTTAAACTTCATAGAAAAAGTGGGAGGTCATTAATGGAAAAGGAAGGGACTTCATCCTAAGAGAATGCTACATGATGACAATGATGCTGACTGGGAAACTTTTCACTGCTTCCTTTAGGAGGACCAAAATAAACACAGAGGGTCTCAAATTTCCCATTTGCGCCCCCCCCCCTCTCTTTTAATGAAGGAGTAATTATTTCCCTGATACCTTCAGGGATCTCAGGTCTTATTCCAGTTCATCTCTGACGCTCTCACAGAACAGCTGTGGTAACACCCTCCAGATTGTCTCTATAGCCCCACAAGGACTGGTAGCTTTGAAGTTTGGAGAACTGGTCTCTCTTCAAACTAATATCATATCACAACTCAAGTATCTTGACTGTCAACTTAGATACAAAGGGGACACAGTGAGAAATGTTCACACACTATGAAGTTGCTTTGAGTCCTTAGATTTCTTTTTTATTAACACAGAATGTCTACTCCAGCCCCCCATAAGGCTTCGTCAGTCCTCCAGAACCCTGGTTTCCCAAGAACCCTAGCTAGTGTAAGGTCTATGGGACATTGCAGGACAGCAGGCTGTGGAATTCTTTAAACAGTTAGTGGAGAAAAGATGGACAAGTTAGTACGTAACTGGTGTTGGGGTAACCAGGTAGCCATAAAAAATTAAAATTTTTATCTTATACTATGTATCAGGATAAATTTCAGATGGTTCAAATTTAAACAAAGAAACTATACAAATACACCAAAAAAAAAAAAAAAAGCTGAGATTGGAAATCTTATAGGTTTAAAAGAAAATGGAAAACAAAAGCAAAAGCAAAATTCTCCATGCCAAAGGGCTTTCAGGAAAACCAAGGACAAATTGACAGTCTGGGAAAAAATATTCATAACATACAGCACAAACACACAGCACAAGCAAATATCACTTTATACCAGATCAGGACACTTACAAGCATCAACCAATGAATGCATAAATAAATGGAGCCACAATTGATGTTTCTCTCTCTCAAAAAACAAACAAAAAACCCCTGATAGTTCATTGAAATGGGAATATATATGACTTTTATATGAAACAATATTTAACTTCATCCAAGAGAAAAGCAAATTAAAACTGATCTACCATATTTCAACTAGATAGATTGGCAGAACCCAAACATTTAATGGCTTATTGTAAGAAAATGTCATGTCCTTCAGTTGCTGGTGGGAGTTGCAAAATTGGACATGTATGGAGGATAACATAGCAATACTTATAAAGACCTTTCAAATTTCAAATAAGTACCTTTGACCCAGAATTCTTGCTTCTGGAAATTCATCCTACAGTTATTTTTATTTATTATTATTTTTAAATATATTTTATTGATTCTTTACAGAAAGGAAGAGAGAAGGATAGAGAGTTAGAAGCACCGATGAGAGAGAATCATGGATCAGCTGCGTCTTGCACACCCCCTACTGGGGATGTGCCCACAACCAAGGTACATGCCCTTGACCGGAATCGAAACTGGGACCTTTCAGTCCGCAGGCTGACGCTCTATCCACTGAGCCAAACCGGTTTTGGCCATCCTACAGTTATTTTATACTAGGGGTCCAGTGCATGAATTTGTGCACCTTGAAAGGAACTGTAGGTCGCCAGGCTACAGTAGGCACAGGGGCAATTCTCTGCAACCCTGCTCGACTCCTCCCACCGTGACCCCTGTGTCTCTGTCTGCCGGCAGCTCCGCTCCCACTGCTGCCACCCCCATGAGCTGACAGTGCCAGCCCTGGCTCCGCTTGCACCTGCTGACAGCATGGAGCAATTTGGGCCGTTTGCCAGCAGCGGGTGTGAGCAGCGGCTGCTACCTGGATCGCCCCTTAGGAGCAGGGGGAAGTGGAGAAGCCCTCAGGAGCAATCAGGGCCAGCAGCTGCTGCTTGCACCTGCTGATGGCGCCAAGTGATTGAGACTGCCGCAGGGCATTGGCAGTGGGTGCGAGTGGTGGCACTGGCACCGTAGTACGTGGAAGCAAATAATTTTCAGTAACCACCAGAGGCTCGCCCCGATGACAGCAACTGGTGCCCTGACTTGGTCTGGTGTCTCCCCCCACCCCCCCGACCTGCTCCATCATCCCTCTGTGGCCAATGCTTGCCATATTCTGCCCCCCGCCCCCCATGGTGGTCAGTGCAAATCATAGCGACCAATGATTTGGTTGTTCAGTTGTTTCAGTTGTGCTGATTATCTGATGCC